CAATGKTTGTTTATTATTGATGTATTTGTATATGTATACACATAAGTATATATTATATAATATGTGTATGTGTACAAGTAGGAGAGAGTGAGTGCAATGGCAATGAGAAGAGTAGTGACCCAAGTGTCACATTGACATGTGGACCACATCAAACCAACCACAATTTTGAACTCAACCGTTATTTCGATTCGAATGGGCGCTATTTTCAAATTCAAATTTCATCCCTCCCACACTTTGAAGTTCACATTTTTTATTGGTCAAGAGTGTAATTTTGACTTAAACCTTAAACACTGCGGGAACTTTCCCAAGATATTTATTTTAATGATCATTGTTATCAACACAACACTCCATTCATTCATTCATTCATTCATTCAACAGCCATCAGTACTTATAATATATAATCAATTTGCATTGTAAATGTAATGTGATCGCTTCCACCCAAATGATCAAGTTGATGCGATTGATTGGGCCAGCCCAGAGTGGTGATGGTCCGTGTCTTCTCGTTTGGTGTCGTCATGACCCGACCAATCAATCAACTAGTATGGGCAAGATCAACTGTACTATGATGCTGAGGACAGTCGGTCCACCAGATTGCTCTGCAAGTATCACTCTCAAAGGCCGTCGCAGGATCAGCCAGTATATCAATGACAATCTCAGTTACCAACTCGACCAAGATACAAGTAGCGTGGTCCCCATCACCGAGGACATCTTCCACAGTCAAAAACAGTGCCTGGTCACGTGTCTGCGAGGGCAAGCGCTTCAAAACGAGAAACATCGACGACGATGGCAATGTGGCTAACTTTGTTGAAACGAAGCAGATGATCTGGGAAGCACCACTATGCACCATAGGAGGATGGAACGCGTTAGCCACCTAACCGATGGAGTTGGTACTGTTGATCTAGCAAAGTACTTGAAGCTTTCTAGTCATGGTGGCCAAGATGTACCTGTCATACGTAACTGTGACCATCAGGTGGAAGTTGAAATGGTCGAGCCATCTGGAGATGTGGTCAATGCGTGCTCTGAGGTGCTGGATCATTGATCAGTCGACTTGCCCTTTGTCCAATGTCGCCCTGGGTGATGCGCCAAGAACTCTCCTTCATGCAGCTACGCGGCAGTGTGCCGTCTTTTGGAACCAGTCATCGCCACACAGTTCTCGGACTCTATGATCAACATGTCCAAGATTGTCAAGGTCAGGAAGGAGATCTCTGTGCTCAGGACGACGCCCGCCTTCCAAGCATACATCAAGGAGATGCTGCTAAAGAATGGAAACATTGACCTGAGCAAGCTGAAGCAAGGCGAGGCCGACCTTGTCAGTGCGTACGAAGACGACATCCTGAACGCCGACACCGTGACCTACATTGCCTACGACTTCAACGAGCAGCTCAAGGGCAATCGCATTGACTCACTCGATTGTGTGATCGACGACACCGTGACCTACATTGCAACCTACAACCTCAACTATCAGCTCAAGGGCAATTGCATGGACTCGCTCGATCATGACGAACCAGCGCGTGGTCACCAGTCCAGAACTGCACGGTGCCCACCAACTGCAAGGATTGTCAAGACAGGACCAACGTCGTGCAGGCACGAGTCGCCTTGAAGTTGTTGGAGCATCATCCGCGGATCCTCAAAGCAATGGACCAGCATCACAGTCTCTCAAATTGCACATACATTGAACAGCACCTAATGACGATATGGGCAGACAATGGCTTTTTAGATGGTACCAGTCCATGAATCATTGTTTCACGCAGCGTTAACAACATTAGAACAGACTGTCCAATATGTACAACTGTCGAATGATTCAATGAACATCGATGTGGCATTGAACTTGAGCATCATCATCAGATCACCACTGGAGTGCAACACCTCCTTTGATCGTTGACTTGTTCATTCGACTATATTAAGCAGCTAATCGACATTGAACATGGACAGGACGAATCTCAAGGATGGTGAACAACCATTTGGTCTCAAGACAGAGTTTCAATCACGATCAAGAGAGAGTTCAGAACCAACACTCGCTCACCCCCTCAGTCAGTCAATCAGTCAGTACCCGCATCAACATCACAATGCTCACTTGCCACTCATCAGCAAGCACATATTACACCACTGATCACATAGAGTATTCCATTTGGAACGATCACTCAAGCCTCAATCTAGACTCATCAACGTGAACTTCATTGATGATGACACTGAGATGGTATTGAGTGATACAAATTCAAATGGACCGTTAAATGGTCAATCTGTTAATTAAATATTTAAATATTTAATTCAAAATGTGTGTTTATAAATGTGTGTGAGTGTGTGTGTGTGTGTGTGTGTGGGTGTGCCTCTACTCTCATTGCGGTGAATGTCCTTGGACAAGTGGGCATTGACATCACTCATTACCTTATCACCCTAATTACATGTATGTACACATATATAACATTATTACAATGTTACTATAATACTATCATCATTCTAATTCATAATACTAACATTGGTTCTCTCTCACCCACCAACCATCCAATCAATCATTTCAATCAATCAAACAAACCAATCAATCTTATCAATCAATCTTCTAACATAATAATTATTTCTAGACTTGCTACTTCGGCTTTTGCCACAATCTTCTACTCTTATATTATCATATTATAGCTCTAAACAGTGTTTTCCAACACTACTCAGCCTTCTTCAACTATATTTATTATTATTAACTCGACTTATTATAATCCAATTATCAACAATGCAATTTAATTATATTCAATCTCTTTATCCACCAGCCAAGCCCCTTAGACTCCTTTTTGACCCAACAGTTCCCAAGACCTTGTTTGGGCCCATCAAAGAAGGAAAGATCAGGAAGTTTATGGTCCTGATTGACATTGGTGTGACTTATATCATTTACCCCTACGCCAAACCAATCGCACCACTGTTCGACAACAGGAGTCCCAAGATTCTATTCGGCAAAGATCAAGATGGAGTCAGGTTCTCACGCTTGGTTCCCCTTGGTGGTATGTTTACATCGAATGAACTCAATATTTCATTGTTTGAATCATTTCTGTCTGCTGTACTAACCATCACCATCCCCTATCATCTCCATTGATGATCTTCATCCTTTTCCATATCATCCAAGACATCGACATCAATCAACAACCTTCAGACCTCGGACCTGGAGTCCAACTATATCCCGCTTTACCATCCAGTCATCCAGTCACCCAAGAAGACATTGGCCACCACCAACTAAACAGATACCAATACCCACCATCACCAGATGATGAGGTGGATGAGCCTGTCCTATCTCCTCCGGTCCCTCTCCTTTTCAATTAATTATCACCTATATATATATATCTTGCCGTCGATCAAGCAGATGAGTGATGGGTAAAACCCAAATATCTCTCGGCTGGCGATTGAAACCAATCAACCACCAACAATCAACAACCTACAACAACAATCAACAAAAACTTCAAAGTCGAGTTACCAACGCACCAATCAGTGGTCCTACATCCATCACCCGAACCCAGATGACACAGTGGAGACGTTGTGATTCATTCACACGATGACCTGTCGTTGCGAGGTCCATTCCTCCAAGTCATCCAGTGCCGTGCCAGTGCCGTGCCATACCGAGTGCCATTCCGCCGAGCCAAGCCAGGCCAAGCCGAGGTGGACCTTTCCAGGACCGAATACTACTAACATTTTCCTCCCATCACCATTTGGCCATCTCCGCAAGGAGGTGGCCGTGGCCCATCATGCAAGAGGGATGGGTCGGCCTGTCATGCAAGAGGGACGGGTGGGCCCACCATGTAAGAGGGGTGGGCACGGCCTGGGGACTACACCTGTCGCTATTAGACTTTGGGCAACGTCGAGACAGGTATGGCAGCAACTTTGTTGACTTTGAGAGTTTCTTCTCATTGTCACAAGTGCTGCCTTTATTTTTTTTTAAGCCGTTGGGCAGCAACCGTGCCCAGGCGACATCATTGAGTTGTACTTTTCCAATTGTTGTTATTCTCCTTCCAAGTCACACTTGCACAACTCCTGTCTTCATCGTTTATTAATGCTTTGATTATGATCATTCCAGTTGGGTACGCTCGTCAACTTGGCTGAATGGCTATCGTCTGTCAATGATGGCAACCCGGCGGTGCGCTTGTCAGCGTGGCGTCTGTCTAGTTGGAGACAGAGGTTCTGGACTGTGGTCAACTCGAGATGGACAACTTGGCAGCATGGCGGTGGACCCAGCATGGGCGGTCAGCGTGGCAGAGTCAGGTCTGTCTAGCCAGTGGACACATTGGCAGCATGGCAGCATGGCAGCATGGCAACATGGCAACATGGCGAACGACTGTACAGATGGAAACAGAGGCTCATGGTCAATGGCTGCACGGCAGCAGTCAGTCAAGTTGGAGACAGAGGTTCTGGGCTGTAGGCAGCTTGGCGACAACTTGGCAGCGCTTGTCAACGTGGCGTCTGTCTAGATGGTGACAGAGGTTCTGGGCTGTGGTCAACATGGCTGTGGCAGCACGTCGGACGTCTGTCTAGACGGTGACAGATGTTCATGGCAACGTGGAGACACAGGTGGTGAACACTGACTTGGACAAGGACCACACAGCGGGCTTCAAGGAGAAGGTAAAAGAGAAGGGATGAAGAGAAGAAGATGATAGTGTAAGTAAGCAGCAAATGGTGGTGCAATTAGAATGTCAAGTAGTACTCACTCATTGATTGATATCATAACTCAAACTCCATGGAGTAACTCATCAGCAGTAGTGAGACAAAAAGGCAGATCAACGAGGTGAGTGATACATGTCAATGTGTTGTTTATTATTGATGTTTGTATAAGTTTAAGTATGTATATGTATTGTATATGTATGTGTAGAAGTAGTAGAGAGTGAGAGTAATGGCAATGAGATGAGTAGTAGGACAGGTGTCACAGTAACATGTGGACCACATCTAACCAACGACCATTTTGAACTCAACCGTTATTTCGATGCGAGGGAAATTCAAATTCAAATTTCATTTCACCCAATCACTTTGAACTTCACTTTTGTTTGGTGATCAGATGGACGACTTGTCAACTTCAATCATAGATAGAGGAAGTTCAATGTAATGGTTACAACAACCTTATTCATTAGTTCTTCTCTTACTGTTTATCCAATAAACATCATTCTTTCTAGTGGATGACCTCTGGTCTAGACTAGATTGGATTCCAAATTTGGAAGTTGTAACTAGGTGAGTTGTTCACAAAACTAGTTTTAAAGTCAAGTCATTCATTCATTCTTTTACATTAAAGTGTAGTAGTTGTAGTAGTAGTTGTAGGATCAGCATATCATATCACATTGATCGCGAATCCCAAAGATGGAGTGGAATAGGGGATTCTCAGCGATGAATTCGAATGGTGCGACTACGACTCCAACGATGACGGGAGCACCTCCTGCTACATCATCAGTGTTTGGAAGTTTGACCTCAATGTCGACGACGATGACACCTCAACAAACTGATACCCATCATTCAACAGCACCTCGATCATCAGTGTTTGGCTCATTGACTTCAATGAGCTCACAGACTCCAAGTGCATTTGGTACAATGTCATTCGGCATTCATCAACCCAACACAACAGCTACAACAACGACGAGCACGACACAGCCAGCATTCGGTTCTGCATTCGGTTCTGCATTCGGTTCTGCATTCAACATACAACCAACATCATCATCATCGACATCATCATCAACACCTCTGTCAATGTTAAGACCACAACCTATTCAATCGATTGTCGGATCATCAAACTTGACAGAAGGCAACAGCGCAGCATCATCATCAATACCAATATCATTTTCATCACATAGCAGCACACAAATGTCAGCTGCCGCAGCGCCTTTCATACCAAGGAGTATTAAGCCAAAGCCAGGAGCACATCCTATGGGTGCACCCATACCGCCAACAACAACAATACACAGCGCCAAGGCGATCAAGTCACCCACCAAGCTCTACATCACCAATCTAAAGATGACCAACGATGTCAACAGACTAAGGACAGCGCTCACACAGCTCTTTAGTCAACACGGTACACTGGCCTCACCGATTCAACTCATTAAGAAGGGTCCAAAGTATCACGCGATAGTTGAGTACACGACAAAGGTATGTTTGTGTGGACCACGCCTAGTCCCAAACCAACCCTTACTAATATGCGGGTATATATAGGATGAAGCCAAGCAAGCAAAGATTAGAGTAAAGACATTCGAAGACTATCCGATTATAGTTAAACAATACATTCAATCAAGTGATCATGGTATGGACTCAGCGACTACAGCCACGCCAGCTGTCGCCCCAACAACAACGACAGCAACGGCAGCAACAACAGATAACCACGCCGGTGGTGATGCGATCAGACCACTGGACGACAGTTTGAAACTTAGGTCTCAAGAGCGCGAACTTAGGTTCCTGCTACAGAGTAAGAGGGCAGCTGCCCCGCCCTCACCATCAACAAGGCTGACAGACATGAGTAGTCTGTTGTCACCAGAGCAACAACATAATGATGGTGCAGAGGCTGACGATGATGATGGTGGCAGTGCAGAGGAAGATGATGCTAATGATCACTTTGATGATGTTGATGATGCTGGCGAAACACAACAAGAATACGACCTTGACCATGATAATGGCGATGATGAAGACACAACAACAACAACATTGCCAACAGCATTCGCAACACCTCAATCAATGATGTCCCCAGATCAAGCATTGGCAACTCATCATCAACCAACGCCATCATCAACAACATACATTACAAGCCATGCTGTTGCTGCTGCAGATGGAATAGTACCATCGACTGATGGTAACAAGGTTGGAACATGTCTTGAGTTCTGTCCTGCAAAGGAGAAGGCACTGCGCGAGGTGTCCAAGGACGTCAACAATCTGGAGAGGATGCCAACGGGCGAGCTAGTGTTGGTCAAGAAGTATCGACGTAACACTGCCGAGCAATCAGAGATTGCACCTGAGGAGATACGTCCGCCCCACATCCTGGCCAAGGTCATGGACCATCTATCACACAACATTGTCGATCGCAAGGATGCCAGGTTCAGCGAGATCCAGAACTTTATTCGCGATCGCAGTCGCTCGCTGCGCCAGGACCTCACGAGCCAGCACTGCCAGGACGAGACATCGATCGACATCCACGAGCGCTGCGTGCGCTTCCACATACTCAGCCACCACTTCCTGTGCGAGGCCAGCCAGGAGGACTTCAACAAGCAGCAGAACTGGGAGCAGCTTTCAAAGTGTCTCACGTCGCTCAAGATCTTCTACGACGACCACTACAAGGCCACGGGCCACACGTACCGCAACGAAGCCGAGTTCCGCGCCTACATCATCCTGAACCTGACGTTTGCCGACATACCTGCGCGCGACCTCGTCTCGTTCCTCATCACCATCCCCAAGGAGATCCAGCAGCACCCCTTTGTCAAGTTCGCCTTTGAGATATCAAAGGCCTATCGATTGGAGAACTATAGCAGGTTCTTCAAGCTCATTATGAAGGGCACCTACCTGCAGGGCTGCTTCATTCATCAGTTCTTCAACCGTGTGCGCATCACCGCGTTGATGCGCATGTCCAAGGCGTTTGGCGCGAGGGGACAGCCGTACCCCGTGAGCGACTTTGCCGCCGGGCTCCTTTTCAGCTCGCTAGATGAGGCGGCACAGTTTGTCACCGACCTTGGACTGACTATTGGCGATTCCGATCAGATCATATTCAAGGGCGATCATATATCAACGGGTGACCCTGGTCCCAAAGTGTCACAGGTGCTGCTCAACAAGGCACCCAAGACCTTCCAGCAGACAATCGATGTGCCTGAGCAGATCACAAAGGCATATTGTCAGTTCTTGGGTATTGATGAGTATGTTCCTCCTCCTGCTGCACATGTCGCAGCCCCAGTGTTGGTCAGGTCACCAGTGTCCACACACGTGCCCTCTGTGATCAGGAAGCAGCCACCTGGTGTGACCTCCCCGCCACCAACAACACTCAAACAAAAGCCAGCAGCTGCCTCCACAACACCTCAGGTCGCATCACAATCAATCCAATCTCCAACACAACAACAAGCTACCTCATCGGCTACTACCTCCACAAGTACCTCGACGACAGATAGTGTATTTGCAAGGCCACAACCATCATTATTCCAAACAACAGCATCACCATCATCCATAACAGCATTTGGTCCAGGTCAAACGTCTTTGTCGTCGACGACGATCAATCAAACTGGCGACAATGACAAGGTTACACAACTGCCGTCGTCGGCGTCACCTTTGTTCTCACAGTTTGGCGTGAACAGTCAACCACCAAAGGATGATGACAAGGAGAAACAGTCAACGGCATCAACATCGTCCCAAGACACACCAGCCATCAACATCATATCGGCAACGCCTGTCAAGAATCCATCATCCAGCGCGTTCGACTTCACTCCTGGCTCAGGTATTCAAGTTGACAAGACACCTGCACACAGACAACAGAGCAACGACGTTGACAGTATGGTGCTAAATACACCTGCGCCTGCATCGGGTGTCGACTTGATATCTCCCATGCGCTTATCAACTCCTGCACTCAATGACCTGTTCAAGACACCTGGCGCTCCCGCCTCCTCCACTGCAGGCTTATCTTCGACACCAACCTACACACCAATGGCTATCTCCGTGATGAAGCCAACAGTGCCCGAATCACCAATGGTGTTGATGACGCCCTATGTCGAGAAGGACAAGTCTATGCTGTCCTCATCAAAGGATACCCATCCATTCCCTCTAACAGAGATCAACAAGCTTGCAGACCAGCAACTGGCCATAGTAGTCAAGTCCAAGACATCACTAAGCGCACCCGTCCTCAAGATACACAGGCCCTATCAAGAGAAGGTATGATCTTGTTGTGTTGTTCAACATCACGTAATATCACGCCGATGACTAACATGCCCCCTCAGGCCAACGATGCGATGATGAGCTACATGCTTAGACAGTGGCGATCACAGTCGAAGCAGTACTTCAACTCAATCAATCAGATGCAATCAATTGAACAGATTGTGTTCCACAATGCTGTGGCAGCAGAGACAGAGCTGGTCACACCACCATTGATCATGATGAATACCAAGCCTTCACAATCATTGTTGGATGACACAGATATAGAGATGATCAACGACAACAATGACTACATTGACAGCAAACCAATCAACATACCATTCTATTGTTATCAATCATTGGCCAAGAATAATCAGAGCGAGAGCAAGATATATTGGAAGATGTTGTACTCTACCCCATCATCATCATCGATTGCAGTCGATGACCATCTTGGACAAGCCATCAAACACTACATCACCTCGACATCATCAACGACCCAGCCAGGCAAGCCATTGTTCAAGCTGGAGCAACTGCAGATACAATACCTTCACACAACAAAGCAAAAGAACGTCACGAGGAAGCTATCAAAGAAGCCAGTCAACTTTGTCGTCCTGGAGACTTGTGGACGCAAGTCTACAGACAAACAGCCACTCTTGGCTCGTGGCACTGGTTGCATATTGTTCCAATTCAATGATACGTTCACATTGGAGAATGAGCAGCGCCTGGCCAATCTACTCAACGCTATCGCGCGTGGTGTTATTCTAGGCGGCGACAATAGTAGACGTGTGCCAATAATGTTTGTTGGAACGACTGAGAACATCTACGCCAAACAAGAGCAGGTGCGTGCCAACATCAACCAATTCATCGATAAGAACAGCGAACAATGGGCAACGGTCGTGAGCGAATGGCAGATCACCGACCTCGACCTCGGCACCCTGTACAGTCATTCTTCGCGCCAGCAGATCATCAAGACACTAGTGTGGCTGGCGAGCAACACTCCTCCAATCCAATCAGTGGACATTATGCCGCTGTCGTCCATCATGGACAACGTAATCTCGACCAAGTTGGCCGACCTCCTGCGACCTTACCACCAGCTCACTGTGCAACCCGAGGAGCTGTCCAGCCAGATGAACCTCATTACACCAAGCGCATTGATCACATACTACAATGAGCTCGTGCAGCAGCTCGCCACACTTGTGACGGACCCCGTGCTGCAAGCCATCCAGTGGCCCATTCCAGAGTTCACGCGCAATGCCCAAACCAGCACCCAATGGAACTCGGACAACAACTTTACATCAATCACAACAGCACTCAACTCAATCAAGATACCATCACTACCCAGTCAGCTTGGTAACTTGATAGCATCAATGGTCGACCATCATCATATATCAGTTGAGGACAGCCTTCGAACACATGGCTACAAGAGTCTGGCACTAACAGGTGACATCAACGTCGTGGACATGTTCCAAGCCTGGTTCCAACGCTTTGCCGACAAGCTCACCACTCAATATCTCATCTCACAAGTCAGGCAGATCCTTCAACAATATGACCTTAAACTACAAAGTATGTTTCCATCAATTCCCTCTATCACTTCCATCGCTCAATCATTCACACCAACCCATCCTAGACCTCCCAGCGCAGTATAGTTTACCACTACCATGGCATATGATCATTGAGTTGGTCATATCACATCAGATCAGTACCATACCTCTACTCAATTGTTACTACCATCCCGACCTGATGACACACTTGGCTTCATTGCCAACGAGTCATCTAACACATTCAACAAAGGATATGGCAACAATTGGTTTGTTACCATCCAGCAACATTCAATCATCATCAACACATATCAGTAGTAATAGTATCAATGACAACAGACCGACAACGACAACATATAGCAATGGTCAACAACATGATGATGACGTGCTGACTTTGGAAGACCTTGATGGTGGCTCACCGATGGACACATTCAATGACATGGCCAATACGATGAGATCAAGGAAGAGGGACTATTCAACATCATCACCTCCAATCAATCAACCAGAGGTCAAACATTTAAGAATCAACAACAATCGAAGTAGTAGCAGCATCATCAGTAGTAGTAACAACAACATCCAACCTCAAAAGAACAACAACAAGTTGGAAGCATTGTTGTATAACCTGGAGAGAGAGAAACGTGAGAGTATATGGTTCGAAGACAGTCTACTCAGATCACTCAGTAGTGGTGGAAGTAATAGTTATATCAATGATAGTAATATTAATAAACCTTGAGGACTTTGTTGATTTGAACAGACATGCGCGTTGACTTCACAATTTGAATGAATGACCAACACCAAAACAAGATATTTTATTCATGAACAGTTTAGGGATCGAATTTTCGAATTGGTGTTGCAAAGGACAAGACACACCAAAACATCCCAACTTCATTGATCTTGGCATCTTCCCTCATTCACACTCAAACACTTAAGTTATCTTGTAATAAATAGCTTGTTAATATTATATATATACTTTCTATTATATATATATATTATATTTGATAGGATGTCTGTAGAGTTGCGACCTCTAGGTATTAAGATTGAACCGAATGAGACGTTCCTCTCATTGGATACCAATCAAAATGTCATTGTACTGTCAACAAGCAGTGGCTTTGGATATATACCATTGACAAACTCAAAGGATCGTGGATTCTATTGGTATGTTTGGATCGGATAACATCATCATCTCACATACTCATTCATTCAATCAAACTCAATAGCTCGGACAAACCTATAAAGGATGTCAAGTTCTCAGCCAGTGGAATATACGCTGCAGCTCAATTCAATGATACTGATATAGTATGTGTACTATGATGTCCGACATCATAATGTTTGATTAGGAGTCATCTGACATTCATTCATTCAATCAATGAAACAACCAACTTTAGGAAATACTTAACTTGCATGATGGACGTAGAGTTATACTACAGACAAGATACAAGTCAACAAAGGGCACAACAATATTGGGATGTTATTTCTTATCATCAAAGCTTGACACTCTACTTGTCATCACAAACATATCACTCGAACTCTATCAGATCAACTCTGCACAGATTGAAATCCAATGCAAACTAGCCAAAGACGTCAAGCACAAGATACATACATTTGTCTTTTCCGTATGTCCACTCGTCCACTCAACACATTCAATCAATCATACAATCAATCAACATACTAATGTTCACGCATTACATGGTACAGGCCAAGGCATCGATTGTATTGACTTATGGAGGCGCTGGAAACACGATACAGCCTTATAAGTTCACACCTACTTATATTGAACGATTGGCAAAGTTCGCAGTGGATAGTCCGGGCCCTTTGGACCTTAATGGATTGTATCTCTCGGTGCTCAGCGGCAAGAATATATGTGTGTTCACGGATCGCAATCAAATGGCCATTTACCAGCTCAACTCTGAGGTGGTGTACCGCACGCTACACATCAAGCTGTTGATGTCGGGTGCCAACTCTATTCATTTCGTCGACAACATAATCATCATGCACTTCAATCAGTACAAGGTGTCGATGGTGTACGATCCCAACATGCTAAAGGACCCCGAGAACTTCCCCATCTCGGCCATCCCCATGGTGCTTGCGACTTCACTCACGCACTCTAGCTCGTCGGGCTCGCTCCAGCAGCTCAGCATGCATCACCCACAGCAGCAACAACAACAGCAGCAACAACTCTATCTGGACACATGGCGCTTCATCTCGCCCAACTACATCTATGACACGGCCAACGGACATTGGTACGAGGTGACGCTCAACTTTGAGAAGATCTCCAACTTCTTCCAGGTGGACACACACAAGATCATCCCATTCCTCCAGCTGCGCTCTAGCATGGGCGCCAAGCTGGCACTGTTTGAGCACATCAGGTATATCATTGAGTATCGATCAGAGTCGCTCGAGACCCTGGGCAAGATCTTCGACTCGCTCAACAACGACCTGGTGCAAAACGCTGGCAAGAACCATACACAGATGCTCTACCAACATCTCAACAAGAGTGGCAGCTCTGAGAACCTCAAGCAATCACTGGGCAGCAGCTCCACACTACTAAAGTCGTCAGCGTCATCGACAGATCTGGCGGCACAGTCGACCACTACCACTAACCTGGGCGGCAGTCTGAGACAGGATTCATTGGCGCAGAAGCCAAGGTTCGTGCCACCGCCCTCGTCAACAACGCGTCCTTCCAACGGAGTCAGTCTGAGCAGTAGCAGAGGCGCCGCCAATGCACTGAGAACCAGCAATGACACGTCAAGCGACAACATTTCACAAGGTTTGCCACATGTGCAACATGCAGCCAGCGTCAACAACAACAATGCACTATCACAATCACAATCACAAACACAATCACAGTCACAGTCGCAGTCCGCTGCAACTCAGACAAAGATTGCAACGAGAGGTCTTACAACAATCATCGTCAACTCTGAAGACCTTCACGAACATGTATTCTATCCAATCTACGAATCGTTAATTCACAAGATACAGGACATCAAGGAGTGCAAGACACGCACGCCACAGGAGCAAAAGAAGGCCCTGAGGCAGGCCGAGATGGACTCCAAGTTCCTCATCGCCGTCGTCACCGAGTACATCCGCTCACTCAACTTCAAGTACTGTGGTCGATCAGACAAGTTGTACACATTGCTAATCAGTTTGTTCATTGACAATCAAATGTAAGTCAGTCAGTCATCTGGAATGATTTCAAGTCACACACTAACATAGTCCAAACATATCAAGGTTCTCACAACTTCATCGATTCCTACAATATAATGTTGTGGAGGACTCTGAGAGCATTGCGATCAAACTGTTGGCAATTGGCGAGAGTTATCCACCTGCACTACAGCTGTCGTTGGACATGTTCAAGCGATTGAATCAACAGGACGTGATCATTTCGACGCTGTTGGAGAAGAAGCAGGTGTTGCTGGCATTGCGCTACATGCGCAGCACGATGAAGAAGTACAACGCCCATGTCAACGTCTTTTTATTGTACGCCTCACAACAGAATGACGACACACTCTTTTACACCGTCTACAAGTTCTTTGAGCAATCCAATCAATTGGACAACTGTGACAAATATGTAGCACTATTCAATGAGAAGTTCAAGCCTACCTCTGCTTCTGCTGGCCATCCACATCATCAAAGGTCATCTTCCGCCTCAACTTCATCAACACCAGGATCCGTTGTCGGTTCAACAACGCCGCCAATTACATCCAAATAAATCCATCATTCATTCCATCGTCATTCTCCATACCTACCCTTTCCATAACCCTAACCCTGACCTACCCTTGCCCTAACCCTACCCTCTCTCTAACCCTTGCCCTCGCCCAACATACTTCCCTCCTTTTTTTTGAATTAATTGTTCACCAAAGGTTGAACGACTAAAGTGCAGTGTTGGGAAACAGAGTCGAGAGAGATAGATTACAACATTGTTGTATTAGCAGTACTCATTCAGTTAGTCAAGATATAGGTGTGTAGTGTATTGCAGTGTAGTCATCTACATCATACATTATCAAATCAGAGAATGACACAGACAGATATCACTTCATTATTGATCGTCAACAATAATAATAACAACAACAATGATGTACAGATGTCCAACAACAATGATGATGATCAATCATCATCATCACCAGCAATGCCAACAACAACAACTACGACTACAAACTATATAGCGTCAACTACAACGACTTCAACTACAACACCAACAAAGAAGAGAAAGAAGTTGACAGAGGAAGAGGTTAAACAACGTGAGGATGAGAAGAAGAAGAAGCGTGATGATAAGGAAGAGGAGAAAAGAAAGAGAGAAGAGGAGAAAAAGAAAAAGGAGGATGAGAAGAAGAAAAAGGATGAGGAGCGTGAAGCTGAGCGCAAGAAGAAGGAGGATGAGAAGCGTCGCAAGGACGAGGAGAAGCGCCAGCGTGATGAAGAGCGCGAGAATGAGCGAAAGAAGAAGGAAGAGGAGAGGCGCGTAAAGGATGAGGAGCGTGAGAATGAGCGCAAGAAGAAGGAGGAAGAGAAGCGCAAGAAGGAGGAGGAGCGCGAGGCCACCAAGAAGAAGCGCGAGGATGAGCGACGCCAGCAAGAGGAGGAACGCAAGCGACTGCAAGAGGAACAGGAGAAGAAGCAACCCAAGCTGACACAGTTCTTTGCCGTCAACACGGAGCACGCGCCAAAGCATCACCAGGCCAAGTCGGACGCGTTCATCCAGCCCGTCGAGCTGCCGCCCAACTCGGAGGTCTACACATTCAAGCAGCGTCACCACTCGGACGCGAAGCAGTTCGACCGGCTGGTGCGCCAGCAGGACACGCCCGTGCACTTTGACGCACGCACCTACTTCAACCAGAAGCAGCTCATCACGCCAACGTTGCGCTTCCGCGTGCGCGCGCTGCCTGGCTCGGTCATCAACCCAGAGCTGATCGGCCGTCTGTCGCGTCTGAAGCTGCTCAAGTTCCACGACAATCAGCGACCGAGCTACTTTGGCACATTCTCACGAGCGACCAAGTTGATCAATGGTCGCAAGCCATTCTCCAAGGACACGCACATGTTTGATTACTCCTATGACAGTGGCGATGAGTGGGAGGCTGACGACGAGGAGGCCGAGAACATCGCGTCGGACGACGAAGTCGAGTCCGAAGAGGAAGAGGACGACGACGATCAGAACTGGATCGAAAAGGACGAAGACTCGGCGAGTGACAATGAAGATCACATGGTAATCATACCAAGTACAACACATACACAAACTCAAGGTGGCGGAGACAAAGACAACAAGAAGAAGAAGATAAAGAGGAATGAGAGGATAAAGAAGAAGAGAATGATTATCATTGATCCTAGTGTGGAGACGACCGCCAACGATCCATTCCTGATGGACATCTACAAGACATTCACAGTGGAGTCACTCGTTGGCGAATGTCCAATCATCATTGCCGACCTCCTTGCCAAATCAGCCAGCCACTCCACCAAAGACAAGAAAGACACAGACTCCAAGCAAGCATTCCCCGTGGCAGCGATACCAATGCTCATTCAAGTATGTGTACCATTCATTCATTCAAGCATATGACTCCTAACATGGAACCATTCCATCACCTGAACATAGTTTGTTATGGCCAACAAGAAAAGACCAGCAAAGGTCATTGGAAAGATGATATTTGATACTTATCCAGGTATTAAGAGGAAGTTGATAATGGAGAAGATTGGGGAGACTTGTGTACAGACTGGAGGAGTGTGGTCAGTGAAGGAACAGTTTGAACATGACCTGCAGGCTACACTGGACGAGAAGTATCCACTGCCAATCATACCCGAAGCACTACTGGCCACTGACCATGCCAACAATACAACACCATCACAATCACCATCCAAAGCCAACAACAACAACAAGAAGAAACAGTCACCAACCAAAAAGAAGACCAACACTCCTGTACAGTCCAACTCACTACTGAGCTATTTCACCAAGTTACCAACACCCTCCACAACTTCCACAACTTCCACATCAACTACTACCTCCTCTGAGGACATCACAATGTCAATCAATGACAACTAGTCAGTCAACCAGTCAGTTATTATTATTTCAATGTGATAGATACACACTGAATATAAACAATATCTAATGGAGGACCTTGTAATGTCAAGGGTCCTCTTGTATTCCACTTCATCTTCAACTTTGGAATCATACCTTTGATCTTTGAATGAATGATTCCAAAAGACATACATGTCATTGTTTGTCATTGATCCGTTGGACGTGGGTTCCAAGGACCCAAAGTCGTTGCAAAACAAAGAGTTCGCAAAAAACCCGGAAAGTGGATCAAGTGGGCAAAGGTCGTGTGGGGTGAGTGGGTTAGGATCAAATAAGTAAAGTGAAGGGTAATTGGGTGAAGTTTATTTTATTATTATTTATTACATTTGAATTGATTGGGGTAAGAGAATGAATGTATGAAAGAGTTAGTGGTTCACCACGACAACAACTTTGATAGTCAAGTGTCAACACACATTCACACTCATACATACACACACACAACCTATTAATTTCAATAATAATTCTCCCTACCTACACAACTACACCACAACAACACAAACAATCTAATCTATTCTATTCTATTCTATTCACACAAACATAGGTCACTGAGCTTGCTTGTCTGTGTCACGTACTATCTTCAAGTTAGTTTGTTAGTTAGTAGTAGAGTAGTAATAGTAATAGTATTACAACATATATATTAATTTATAACAAGGCAGTTGGCTCAATGCGATAAGAAGGGATATAGAGATTGAGATAGAGATAGAGATCGAGATACATATAGAGGTCACACATACAGGTTTCATTCATTAATAGGACGAGACAAACACCTGAAAAAATATATAGTGAGAGAGAGAGAGAAGAGAGAGATATACAGGGAGAGTGAGAGAGAATGGAGGAAGAAGATAAAGCTTTTGAAGACTTGGAATGGTAGGTTTCAAGTCCAGCGGGACAATAATAGTTCGTTGGGTACTAACATTAGCAAACACGCACAATCACAATCACAATCAAACAGTCATATATGTCTACAAACGATATCGGAGATAGTGTCACTGTTCTCAGTGGGCCAGAAAAGAGGTGATAAGAAGTGTAGTATGTTATCTTTAGAGTTTGGAACAATAACAAATAAGTGGAGTGGCACTAACATAACATTATTAATATTATAGCACATAGCTTCTGTAATTCATGTCTGGCACCATACTTTGACATGAGGATGAAGTCGAAATTGACGGTGGAATGTCCAGTTTGTCGTGAACCATTTGATGGTTTCATCGTTAACAATGTAGCAAAGAAGATATTCGAGACTGCCAAGACATTCTCTGCAACAAAGAAGTTATTAGAGGTATGTTCCTGACTCATCCCTCATAATGGGACTATTCCACTCACTCACTCAATCAATCAATCAATCAATCAATTATAGACTGAACTAGATAAACAAAGAGATGAATATATAAGATATAAGGATAATGTTGAAAAGAATGATGAAGTTAGACAAGAGATGGAGAATAGGATACAGAGATTGGAGATGGATTTGAGGACTTTGGAACAACAGAGGGAAAAGTCAGAGACGGAGAATGGCTCATTGATCAGGAGTATGAAGGAGTTCCAAGAGCAGCAGGATTATGAACGTCAGCAATACCAGGAGAACATCAATCACTATCACAAGCAGATCAACGACCTGCAACAGAACAACACGGCACTGAATGAGAGCTTTGCGCATCAGCGCGGTCGCACCAAGCTGGCGGAGGAGCGTGCCAATCAGTACGCCAAGCAAAGTGAGGAGTTGGGCAACCAGCTGCACGAGTTGGACGCAGGCAGCAAGCACGCCCAGCGCGAGAAGGCCGCACTGGTCGAGCGCACGCGCGACTTGGAGTCGCGACTGCGCCAGAGCGAGCGACATCACGAGCAGCTGCAGCAGATGCTGGACGAGTCCAAGAGGCAGATGGCCGAGGAGAAGCGCAAATATCTGATCAATGCCGACGAGCACTCGAGGAGCAACGATCGCATCCACGACCTGGAGGGTGCGTTGGCGAGTGTTCGCGTGGAGCAAGCCAAGAAGGAGCACGAGACCGAACAACTACGACGAAAGAACAGACAACTGGAGAAGGAGCTAGAGGACATGAAGGCCAGGCAGAACCCCGCCAAGCAAGAATCCTACCTCGACCTCATCAAGATGAACACCATCACCTCATTCTTTAGCAAGGCTTCAACGAATGACTTTATCGTCCCCTTCAAAGGTATGTTTGATCATTCACTCACTCCTCGCGAGTCAAGGCTAACCTTGCCACCACCCTCCTAGACTTTACAATCAAGGAAAGAAGAGGAACAAACAGGAACAACTATATTGTTAGAGCTATCACCAAGTCGAATACACAGTGCATTCTGAAACAGATCAACTTCCAACCCCCAAGTAGACTGTACTACTCATCGGTGCCAACTGACAATGATTTGGCGGCATTCCGCGAGTCAATGATACTGTCCAAGCTCAATCACATCAATCTGCTCACGGTCGACAACATGACAAAGGACGACGCGGGCAAGTACTGCGCCGTGATGTCGCCGTTCGTGCCCAACGACCTGGAGTTTCTGCTGGCGGCGCAGAAGCACAAGCCGTTCGACGCCAAGACGGTCAAGTTCATCGCCTACCAACTGGTCTCTGTTGTGCACTATCTCCACTCGCAGGAGCTGGTGCATCGCGACATTAAGCCCACCAGCATCCTGTTGTTTGACGACTACCAGATGAAGCTGTGCAGTTTCAAGCTCTGTGTCTCTGTGATGGCCTCCACCACCATCCTGATCCCGCCAACCTTTTCCAACTACTCATCGCCCGAGATCATCCTGAATTGTGGCATCACTCAAAAGAGCCTCGACTGGAAAGCGATCGACATGTGGAGCATTGGCTGCATCATTGCAGAGATGCTCTTTGGACAATCGTTGCTCAACCTCCAGCAGGGCGGCGACGGCGTGCTGACGTCGGGCACGTCGATGGGCCTCCTCATGACCGACCAACAGGGCAGTCTGGGCAGCGTCAATGGGCCGCGCATGTCTCTTCTGCGACAGATCATCAACTTTAGAGAGTGTGCGCCAAAAGATGCCAACTACTTCACCAATCAGAACATCGACCTGCGCTTCAACCCGACCAAGTCCATCGTGTCGGATCGCGTCGACAGCAAGGGCAATCCATTGGCGGGCATCAGTCGTGAGGTGGTCGATCTACTGAGCCAACTGCTTCGCTTCGATCCCAACACACGCATCACGTCGAAGGAGGCCATCGAGCATCCCTACTTCACCAGGGACCCCAGTCTGGTGCTTTGCGATTCCAGCTCCTACGCCGACATTGCGTCCAGTCTCACCGATAGGAACATCAGAGAGTATGTCAAGGAGAAGTGTATAATATAACCCCGGGTGTATGGTCATGATCAATCCATGGCAAGCGAATGCTTCTGGTCATCATTGTTAATGTTTGGGTTGCTATCTAAACAATATCAATATAACATTAAAGAGTGATGGATGGATGGATGTTGTTCCTTTTGTTTATTAATAATTAATCATGAATAATTTATTATGTACCATGTCTACCAACTAATCAATCTATCCAAAAAGGCTATTTAGGGAAGAAAAATGAGATTGATCGATGAGACGGAATTGATCCAAAAACAGATCAACTTTGGACTTTTGAGGTTGATGGGTCGTCCTCATCGACCAAATAATAGTCTATTTCCAGAACATCAACACATAATGGTACATGATGCTGTCGACTCCCTAACATATATCTTGATTCGAACGAATAGTTCATCACATACGAGACCTATACTTTGTAATCAAACCGATGTCCATAGTCCCATTTTAACATAAATAGTAGAATGAATAAGAATTTATTATGTTTATTACTCGTTCTCTTGTTGAGTCTTGAGTTAATCTCGATTGTAAGTAAACAAACATCATGCCCCAAGTCAGTCAATCAAACCTAGGTACTAACCTAAAATCACTGAACAGACACATGCTCAAGCCACACCAAAGCCAAGAGCGCCTAGAGTGGTCAAGATTCAAGTTGACAAGGGTAGTTGGTTCGAGGTGATGGCCCAAACGACCAACAAAGTCTATTCAACACCTGCTGTATACTTCCAAGACCTCCCAGCCGATGGTGCCAAGTTCATGGAGGGCTTGAAGGCGGCAATGGTGGCACTCACAGCATGCACACCAACAGATTGTCCAAATGCAGTCAACGCGATCAACACAATGATGGCAACGTTTATCGACAAATCAAGTTCGACCCAGTTCATCGACAGTTGGTTCATGAATGATCTGAGAGGAGCTGTTGGCAAAACGTTGGAGTCAAACGACGCTGCACAAGTCAAGATCAGGTTTCGTGGTACCAGTTCACTCTTGGCTAATCTTGCAAAGAGTGTCGAGAGTCAACTCAAACTCAACACAGAGACAACTCGCAAGACTGTACGCACAGCATTCAGAGCACTCGAGAGCAATCTACGAATGATCATCGACACCAACTTTGATCCGAACCCAAAACACCTTGCAGAACTGCCTCAATACACCATGGCAGCCACTTTCTACTTTATGATTCAGTCACAGTTCCAGAGGTTCGCCACTCAATGGGGATTCGACAGCACTGTGATTGATGCTCAAAGTCGGAACTTGAAGACATGTCTGGTCAAGTACTCCAACCATGCTCGTGACACATTTGAATTGGCTGTCTCCAAGATTGCACTTGAGCCCGAGGAAGGTCCGATGGCTGGACAGAACAAGTTTGATCGAGTGATACAACTCCGTCGCACAATCATCCCTGCCGTGTTTGACTTTGTCGCCATGTGGTCGCGCATGGATGGATCGGTGTTCCCCTCTGGCAGTTATGCAGAGCCCATTCGCAAGTTGTACTCACCGACTGCTGGCTTCCTCGTGGATTGGCAAGCAGTCGACAAAGTCCATAGCAAACAATATGAACCGGACTATATCACTTATCAAAGAACGGAGGAGATGTTCCAACATGCCAACCATGAACAGTACCTTGGACAACTCATTCAGGTCAAGTTCATTCAAAACTACTATTATTTGCATTCAATTGGTCCAAAGTCTATGCAGAGAAACAAGATTGATACGATCGAGACTGGTGGATCTCGAGGTAACAGTCCACAGGGTAAAGCAATAGGAGGACTTCCCGCTGGTATCATAACATTCAAGTTAAGTCCAACCCTCAACGACCAGAACATCTCACTAGTGAGCGAAGCCTTCCCCTTGATGATTGCATCCACCAATCCAGGACCAAAAAAGATTGATTTGCATTTCCATGGCATTCCAAAGAGGAGACCAGGATGTTGGCTGCATGTTGAACTGTTAGAACAATACGAATACTGCGTATTTCCAGAAGATTGGGAGGTGCCATACAAGGACAACACAGACTTCTCAGTGACTGGCCACAAGATCACTGACATCTTCGCATGGTACATGACCATTAGATCTGAAGAAATAGGTACTGCCGATGTGATCCAAGCAGCCTTCATCCCAAAGGAGGTATTTCCAGAGAATGCCCTGCTCCCAAAGGTGACCACGATGATCAATGCCCAGAAATATGTCACCAGTAATGGAAACGTTGGCCTTGTTCGAGATGACTTCATGATTGGATCACATTCAATGAAGATGCCAGCAGGTAGCGCTCTGATGTTCTACTTTGAAGCATCAGGAGCAGATAGATCATTCAACATTGGACTCTTTGCCAAGGCACCTGTCAATCCTGCGTCAGTATCAATCTTCCGTCAAGTTGGCTCAGCAAGCAGAACATTGATCACAACAATCTCCATTCCAATGTCTGATGATTACAAGTCATACATTGATATTAGTACTGTTGTTCCCATCAAGAAGGATCCATACACCACGAGAGAGAGCTTTACAATCGAAACCAATACCGTCATCTATTTGAACTCTGTCATATTCAGTCCATTGCCAGTTGTCTAATTAATCAATAAAGTCTCGCTCCTTATTCAATCAATCAATATCATAACTATATATTGATCTGTCGTCGATCGCGAGTAGTAATAACTGTTTGTTGTTGTATCGTCAACAACAGTCAATTACAAGTCAGTGAGTGATTGATCGAACCATCATATATTGTAAATTGATTAATTAATTAATTAATGTATCAACTTTGTCAATCTAAATATAATAATAATTTGGAAATAATAATCTCCATTAATATTTGTAATATATAGAATAGGGAACGATCAAAGAATGTATAAAATAGACATTCTGTTTGGCTTGTCATGTGATCCTACAAAGTGATGAACATCCAAACGACGCACAAACAACCCCCCAACATCAAGTAAATTGAACAACTAGATCAGATTGGTGTTGCTGACAATCGAATCGACGCCCTCACAAATGATGACATAGATGTTCTTGAACATCATTGAGAGAGTTATAAATACATTCAATATTGATCGACTTAATAATATATTATTTGTATTAAATTGTGATAAATAATATTTACTAAAATAATAATATTATTAAACTAAATAAATAATAATAAATAATAATGCAACAAGTACAAAAACAACAAATGGTATATCCATCTACTGGAAGATTAAAGACGTTACAGGATGCTTATCATGGTCATAGGTTCACTCAGGCAATGTATGTCTTGGCAAAGTTGGACGTGGCAAAGGCATTGGGTCCGAATGAGGACTCAATCAACACGGCAGAGGCAATAGCCAAAGTGGTGGGAGCAGATCCCAGCGCACTCTATCGTCTCATGCATTCAACTGCCGTCGAAGGATTGTTCCGTGAGATCATCGATGACACCAAGACTGGCGTCTTTGGTCACACGCCACTATCAATGGAGTTGTTGGACCCACTTACACGCGACCAGACGCTCTGTTTCTGCGGTCCGGGCTTCTACAGGGGCTGGGAGTCGTTGGAGGAGAGCATCAAGACTGGCAAGTGTCAGTATCAAAAGGCCACCGGTTATGTTGACTATTGGGACTTCCTCACCAAGCATCCGGACGATGAATACATATTCAAGAGATCCATGTCATCCATCACAATCAACAGTGTCAAACGTCTGTCTGAGCTCGGTGACTTCAAGCAGTTCAATGTCGTCTGTGATGTTGGTGCATCAGAGGGAATGTAAGGAAGTGTTTAATGAATGTGATTGAATGGTCTAGCGCGCGCACATGTTAACATACGCACATCACACTAGCTTGCTGAAGGAGATACTGAGGACATACCCAACAATCAAGAAGGGCATTGCGTTTGATCGTCCAACTGTGATCAATAAGAATGTACATGAGGCGAACTTGGACCCAAGGTTTAGTGAGGTGACTGGTGACTTCTTTGTGAGCGTGCCCGCCGCCGATTGCTACATCCTCAAGTCCATCCTGCATGATTGGAACGATGAGAGCAGCGCCGCCATCTTGAACACGCTGGGCAGGTCGCTGAACCCGGGCGGCAAGGTCTATATCATGGACTATGTGATCGGTCTACCGGGCTACACTGCCGCGCAAGAGTCGCACATCGCCTGGCTCGACATGCACATGCTGCAGATGGTCGATGGCAAGGAGCGCTCCAAGAAGGACTTTGACGACCTGTGCAAGAAGACGCCGTTCCACGTGGAGAACATCATCATCTCGCAGCTCAAGGCTGACATGTGGCTCTCAAACATCGTTGTCCTAACTAAATGATAGAGTTGTTGATTGATTGATTGATCGATTGAGCTTGAGAGTGGAGTTGGCTTCTCAATCTTCCAATCCTCTCGGCGATATCATCAACATTCTTCACACATTGTTCATAATCCAGTTGTTGTTGTCTTGTCTGTTGAGGAGTCTGTGTCTGAGTCTGGGCTTGGACTCCTCTGCCACCACCTTGTTGTTGTTGTGTCTCCATCAATTGTAGTATCCTCTTATCCTTCTCAGCCATGGACAGTTCATATCGCTCGATCAATTGAATGAGATCACTCTTTGATTTGAACAAGTACTTGTGTCTTGCAGACAGAGGTGACTCCTCCCATAACTAATTGTTATCAAGTCAGTTAGTGTCCTCATCCTCACTGCACTCCACTCAACTCCATCACATACCATCATAGGTGTCTTGCCAGCGTTGTTCTTCAAATTGATGTCGGCTTCACATTGTAACAGGCGTTCGATGCACTCCAAGTTGTTATTGATGATAGCGATGTGTAATGAAGTGTTGCTGTGTAGATGTTAAGACATGTTAGTGATGCGCCTACCCATTCATTCAATACATCGAACATGTAGACATACCCTGACTTGGTCTGTTGATTGATTGATGCACTGTGTTTGATGAGTTGATTGACACATGGTAGTGACCCTTTGAGACAGGCCAAGTAGAGTGGAGTCTCACCGTTGTTGTCGGGTGGGTTGACAGTGGCCCCAGCACTCTCCAACAGGTATTGAACCGCCAGATGCTTGCCTTCTAGACATGCCCAATGTAATGGAGTCAATCCATCATTGTCCAATGCATTGACATTCAACTTGCAACCACTACTGCGTGTCGTAGTTAACAATCTTAGTATCGTGACATGTCCTGCTTCTGCTGCATAGTGCATGTAGGTCTGGCCGTGTGGACCAACAGCCAAAGGATCGGTCAATGTCTGATCACTCGTAGACATCACTATCTGACTATGTCCATACTTTATCGCTTGTAATATATTATAATCCATTGACTAATTATATACTCTATTTATTACAATGGTCAATGATAAAGAATGTCATGTGATCATCTGCCTTCAAAAAATATGGGTGGTGCGTCTGGTGGTGGGGCTGGAACTATCCCTGGAATCACTTTATTAATATTTTAGTTGAATTTATTAAATTGATTGGCTTTACTCTTCGCCCAGGATCATTGATTTATGTATATTATTTATCAACTCTTTGTGTGAAAGGTTGATCTGTCCATCGATGATCCTAATGTTTCTTAAAAAGTTAGACTCTTCATCGTTTGTCAATCTGGCAAACTGACCAAGTTCGTCCCTCTCCACTCTATTTAGACCATGGTTTTGAAAGCAGGTAAATTGAAAGGTTTTGGAGCGGAGAGAACCTCCAAAGGTCTTTATGCCTTCCAAAGTATCTTCATAATATGACTTTGTATCTGTATATTTGTCCATTCTTTCTTTGATAGTATCCAATTCCAGTGGACAATAGATGATGTATTTCTTGTCGCCTCGATTTAAATCAATAAGACTGTAGTTGTTGATATCAATGAATACTATCTTATCGAATTCATCGACCAACATTGATTCATCTCTATAAATCTTCTCTTGTTCTTTGACAACAATATTATCATTGACATCAAATTTGAATGATTGATCAATATCATCATCATTTGGTATACGAATGATTGTTGTATACTTGGTGATATTAGGAGTCAATACAATGTCCATTAACATTTGGTAGATTGTTATATCTGGGACTCAGTATGATTTTGACTCTTATCCAGTCTACCTGGGAAAAGTTTAATGATTTGCCAAGGCTGGACTTATTCCATCCTAACACAAAATAATAATAAGTATGATTCAATCAATGTGGTGTATGTAGTAATACGACTCCATTAATACACCATACCATATTAATAACGAAAGTGAGGATGTTTCAGTGTTGTTAATATTATTAATATTTATTTATTTATTTATTTGTTGTTAAAAATAGATACAATGTGATTAGTGTAGGAAGGAAGAGACTGTCTGTCTCTCTTTGTCAACCACAGACACCAAGAATGAAATGAACTGAGTGATGGTGATGGTAGAGATAATTATAACACCATCAAACACACACACTCCCACTAACACTCAATCAGTAGCATCACCACATCTAATCAAACATTGCTAGTAGTAGTAGTAGTAGTAGTAGTAGCACTAACTACGACAGATGTTGATATTTATGTTACCTATTCATGCCATACTATACCCAATCAAATCACATCGAGTGAGAGGTATTCTTGATGGATGGTGATGATGATGAGATGCCGACAAACGGTAATTTTATGTTTGATTGATTGATGGATATGTGTGTAAAGTAAAATATATACTTACGACCATCTCTCTTATAATTTAGTTATCTATAAAACTTATTCATTCAAAGAGATAGATAGATAGATAGATAGACATAAAAGGTAACTGATTCATTCATTTTTCGATCAAGATGATGTGATTGACTTTTGTTCAAAAAACAGCCAACTACCCTTGACATTTTCATGCAACAAAGCTCATCTTTACTTGAATGCTTGCATTCGCCTCCTTCCCACTCATGTTACTCAACAACACAACAACAACAAAACAATCCATCACCTTGTTGTAATATTATTTGTGTTGTTGTGTGTACATTATTATTATTATTTGTTATTGTTGTACAACTATAGTTATACCATACTATATATATATATTATATATCATTCATTAACTCAATCGATCAATCAATCAATCAATCAAAACAGACAGAGAGTTTGAGAAAGATAGAGAGATACAGATAATTCTCGAGCTAAAAAGGAGATAGATAGATAATAGATAGATAGATAGATAATAGATCAAATCAATCAATGTCATTCCTTAGTGGCAAGAAGAAAACATCTTCGTCATCGACGTCGCATGGACCTACATCACCGGGTGGACCGGGTTCACATTCGGTGACACCATCGTCACCGGGATTTGCACCGCGCCAATGCCCTTTCAAGAAGTTTGGCTGCATGAACTACTTGCACACCAAGGTCGAGTACGAGGTGCATCTGCGCGACGACATGCAGACACATTTGATGCTGGTCGTCGAGAAGTTTGACCATCAGTTCGACCTGCACACGCAGCTGATGGCCCACTTCACCGAGCAGATGGAGGACCAGCTGGACCGCACGATGAAGGTCGTCAAGAACCACATGGACTCGTTCGGCACACAGCTGCAGGGCCGCGTCGACGAGGGCATCGACAAGTGCATGACGTTCGCCAAGAAGGTCGAGCAGCAGCAACAGCAGCTCGCCAAGCGACTGATCACCCAGCAGAACATGAAGTCACCGACGGGTGTCGGCCAGCCAAAGTCTGGCGGCGCCCACGACGATGGCGCCGATTCCACGATCAGCTCCAAACAGATCGAGGCTGAGCTGGCCGCTTTGCACCAGCGCGTCAAGAAGGAGATGGCCGACCTGACAGAGGACGCCGTCATCAAGCTGGAGCGCAAGTTTGAGCGATCGCTTTCCAAGATCGACAAGATCGAGTTGGACGTCAATGCCAAGGTCGACAAGAAGACAATGTTGGCCACATTGGACGACACATTGGCGCACCGCGCCGAGGCCATCGAGACCACGATCGTCAAGCGCATCGAAGAGAAGGACAAGAAGCGCACCGACCAGAACTCGCAGTCCTTTGACGTCAAGTTGGACACACTGCGTGACAAGATCAAGACCATCGAGTCGCAATGTCTGGACATGTCTGGCGACCTGCGCAAGGTGAAGCTGGAGGCGCCCTCGCGCTCCTCCGTCTCCACCACACCGGCCACCTCCTCGACACCTGCTTTCAACAAGTCCGAGGTGCTCGATGAGCTCAAGAAGATGGAGCAGCAGTTCAACGATAAGCTGGCCAAGAGCGAGACCAAGACCAGCGATGACCTCAAGAGCGTGGGCACAGACATCTCCGAGTTGCAGCGCAAGCTGAAGCAGCATAGCACCGAGGTCAGCGACGTCAAGCAGCAGATCGACAAACAGACCTACCGCGTCAAGCAGATCGAGGATGACCTCAAGAAGAGCGACTCATTACTGCTTCTCGTCCAGAACAACGTGAAGAAGCACAATGAGTTTGTAGATAAGGAGCGCGAGCGCGAGCAGGAGAGGCAGCGCATCCAGGAGTCGCTCAAGCGTCTGGAAGCCAACCAGAAGAAGTTGGAGGCCGAGATTGCCGAGGGCAATGAGCAGGTGGAGCGTGTGTTGCGTGAGGAGACCTCTGGCAGCTCAGTGAGCTCACTGTCCTCGCCCACTCCCTCGCCATCCAACCAGCGCTCGCCACTACCATCCAAGCGATCATCCGTTGTGCTCTCATCGCCAATGGCCATCTCACAACCTGTTCAGACTCCAGTCAAGCCCATTGAGCTTGCCAGCAATAGCAAGGAGTCCAACAGCAAGGACTCCAGCAGCAAGGAGTCACACAAGGAGTCTAGCAGCAGCAGCGCAGGTAACAGTGCGAGCAACAGTGCAAGCAACAGTGCAAGCAACAGTGTCACCAACAACAACAGCAGTCACAGCAGTGCCACGAGCAACAGCACTGCCAACGTCGTCAGCAGCACTGAAGATGGCGAGAATGGTATACTCTGGGAGTATGATCCAGTCGTCGAGAAGTGGATCAGACTGTCTATCAAGGTATGTTTCCAGTATCCCTCATGTCCTGGCACTTGAATGGACCATTGCTAACTTCTCCCCGCACACTCAATTACAAAAAAACAGCTAAAGGTCGAGAGAAAGGCATTCGCAGAGGGTGCACTTAGACAAGCATATCACACAACTTCGCTTGGCGTGTTTGAGAACGTGCCAGCACTGAGTCCAAAGCACGCGTTCCCAACGGTTGACTCGATAAGCACAATGTCATCTAGGAATGAGGCCGTCAACCAACTGAAGGCCGGCACAAAGTTTGTGCTCAAGCTCTACAAGAAGGAAGCCGAGCAACAGACAAGCCGCGAGCTCTACTTTGAGGACGTCAAGATGCAGCTAGTGTGCCGCGATTGGGGTCATCGCTTCAATCACATGAACCCACCCAAGAAGATTGAGTTCCTCATGTCCTGGGTGGTGGAGCTGGTGGACCGTGGCAACACGCCCGTGCTCTGCTCGATCGAGCCACTGCTTGTCGGCGAGTTCAAGAAGAACAACTCCAACTATGGCGCCGTGCTCAACAGCCGTTCGACACCACAGGCCTTCTCGCATTTCACCTACGAGAACAGCAACAAGCAGATGATCATTGTCGACATCCAGGGTGTGGACGACCTGTACACCGACCCACAGATCCACACTGGCGATGGCAAGGGCTTTGGCCTGGGCAACCTGGGCAAGGTGGGCATCAACAAGTTCATCACAACTCACAAGTGCAATGCCGTGTGCGCGCTGCTCGACCTTGACGTCAAGCTGAATGGCTCGGGCGGCAACAACGCCACGATGCGTAGCCAGCAGCTCAAGGGCACGATGGTGTTGCCAGACATTGTCAGCGAGCTCCAGATGGCGTCGCCATCCGACGTAAAGATCGGCGCCAACGAGCTGTCTAAGCTGGACATGAGCCGCAAGGAGCTCAAGTGCATCAACACCGTGCAGTCATTCCGCGAGATCCTCAACTGCGTCTACTTCTTTGAGGGCATGCGCTATCTCTGTGCCGGCTACGGCGATGGAGTTATGCGTGTGTTTGACATTGAGAACAACTGGAGCGTGGCACACACGATCTACGCGCATCGCAAGCCAGTGGTGTCGGTATGCTCCAACTCGCAGTACATCTTCACATCGTCGCCCGACCAGACGGTCAAGGTGCACTCGCTCAAGAACTCATCCAAGGCGCTCGAGACATTCATTGGACATACAGGCGAGGTCAGCTGCATTCGCGCCAACGAGAAGTACCTGTTCAGTGGCAGTTACGACAAGACGATCAAGGTGTGGGATCTGGCCACGTTCCGCGAGGTCCGCTCGTTGGAGGGCCACACCAAGTACATCAAGTGTCTGGCGCTGTCCGGCCGCTACCTGTTCAGTGCAGGCAACGACCAGACTATATACGTGTGGGACACCGAGTCGCTCACCTGTCTGTACGGCATGCAGGGCCACGAGGACTGGGTGCTCAGTCTGCACGTGTGCGGCGCGCACCTCTTCTCCACGTCCAAGGACAACGTCATCAAGATTTGGGATCTGTCAGACTTCCACTGCGTTGAGACATTGCGCGGACATTGGAACAGTGTATCGTCGTGCGTTGTCCAAGACCGCATGCTCTACTCTGGCAGTGAGGACAACTCGATCAAGGTGTGGGATTTGGACACTCTGGAGTGCGTCTACACTCAACAAAAGTCACACTCTCTTGGCATTCGCTCCGTTACCTACTGCAACAATCAACTTATCACTACCTCTTACGATGGTTCAATTAAGATTTGGGAGTGGATCACCAAGTAGTCGTCGTCGTCGTAGTCGTCGTGGATATCATCAGCGCATCAACATTCATCGTCATCACACAACAACTCAAGTTTAAAGAGAGATACATGTAACATTATCCAATCAATTATCACAAACCTACTGTTTCGTATCACCATCATTCATTCAATCAATCAATGGCCAATTTATTAGGCCAAGACCAATAAATGTATCCAACAACAATAACAAACTCAATCAATCAAATCTATTCCAATACTATACTTCCAGTGATTGCACTGTTACACTGATTCTAAACCCCACAACCTGGTCTGTGTTTCCATCATTCTCCTCATTCTCATCTTCTTCTTTCAAGTCTTCTGTCAACAATCTCTTGATTCCAGCTAGGTCCAACTTGCCCTTGAGTATATCGATATGATATTCAACTAGTGCTTTCCTCTCATTTGGTGTGATGGTGGGGTCTAACTTCTTTGCTCTCGTTAGATCAATCATTATTGGCTCCAAATACCATTTCCTAGTAGGAGTCTTCTTAAATTGAGGAAGAAGTGCAACATGTCGCCATTCTATGTCACCTTGATTATACCATAATCCACAAATAGCTTTTCCAAAGCTGTCCTCGCTAGTTTTAACAGAATATAACTAAGTTTATCCACTTCCTGTTCAATCTTGCCATGCTTGATAACCTCTCCAACAAAAGGTGGAATGAAGGTGTAGGAAGGAAGTTCAAGATGAAATGAAAATGGCATCACTAGAGCATAAAGGGAGTTGAGTGTGATTACCCATGCTCTTGGACCCATTTCACTTGAAGGATGTGGATAACAATCATTCCAAGTATTAACCTCAGCAACTAGTCTATCTATGACGATTTTGTTTGTATCATCAGTTGATTCGGTGAATCCAAACTTGATTACTGCCAACTTTCCAGTATCTGAACAAACTAGCCATACACGACCGTCACCACCTCCTTGAAAGTCCTTCAACATAATGAAGTTATTTGTATTTTGTTCAGGCATCTCATAAGTTAACATCTTCAATGTTTCTGGGAGTTTGATCCATTCAAATGATTTCTTGTTGAGTTGGATGTAATGTCGATCTACTGAGATCAACTTGTTAGGTTGTTGGGATGTTGAGTTGTACATCTTTAGAAATAGTGAACAAAGTACATTGATTAACTCTCTCTCATTATGTTGGTATATTCTTGAACAATGTACTGACACGTTCAAATGGTGGATCAGTCTCAATGTTGTCACTGTCAATTTTTTGGAAATTGGTAGAAGCAGCAGATTGGTCTGATTCTTGTAACCAGAATATTCTCCAATGTTGATAGGTTGTAACAATACTAAATACATCTCTGACACCATTGTAGTTGTGTAGTATCATCATTTCGTCAAACATTAGTCCTGATTAGAGTCGGGTCATCAAGTGTTGTTCCATTGGAGTTTGGCATTAAAACCTTGAAAATACCAAGTGGTCTTCCTCCTACTCTTTCCTTCACTATGTATATTTCAGAGTCTAGGGAGAAAGTTGATGACTCGTGAATGATATCGAAACTTCCTTATATTACATAAAGAAATTATATCATATAATGCTGGTATCACAAAATATTGAAGGCTTTCCTGGCAACTTGTGAGTTCATCTAGAGTACCTCTATCATAGTGTGACCATATGATTGAATCATCTTTAAGTTTCAAAGGTGAGTCAATTATTCCAAACTCTTTGACTTCTAACTTTGCACCTGGGTACTTTGAGTTGTAGACATTAGAGTATCTATTGTCTAGTTTTCCAAGGGGAGGAAATCCTTTATCCAAGAGTCTTTGATAACTGATTTCTTTGAGTTTCTGATTCTCCTCTTTAATCATATTATCTATTTGAGATAATTTAACTTTTAAACTTTCTTCATCAATCCCATCTTTAATTTCCTTCTTTAGTATAGATATTTCCAGTTGAATATTCTCCATTATTATTCTTAAAAAAAATATGTATTTGTTGTATTCAATAATAACAAAATTGGAATAATAATATTGGGTTGGAGGGGAAAGAATATAAGTATATAATAATTTGTATTTATTTTAATAATTATTATTAGTTCAAGTTACTGCATGGCCTGGGAATTTCAAAAAGTTCAAGCTTTTTTGATTCAAAGATCAATGTTCGACACAACAAGATTTTGAGATATTCAAACTAGAGATAGAGATAGAGATATAGAGATAGATAGATAGATAGATAAGGATGTTCAAACCACCACCTATGCTGAGACAGCAGTCCAGACAACTTATGGTGTCGTTGAGGAAGGACCAGGTCGAGATGGATGTGGACGAGCTTGATGAGATAGACTTGTCATCAATTCTAGGAAGCGAATTGGATGATGAACCAATACTACAAGAGGACAAGGATCGTGTTAGAGAAGCACTAAAGAGAGGAATCGATCTACGCGAGTACTCACGTGAAGTAGAGACAGAGATGAACCAGAATGAGAAGTTAATGATTGCAGACTGTAAGTATCGTGTGATCGAGTGATCGAGTGAGATCGGCGACTGACATACATCGATGATCATTAGACTTTAGTGAACAGGATGACTTCTTGACATTGTATAAACAGGTGTCTGTTGTGGATGGTGTCCTGGGGACATTGGAGAACATGCTCAATCAGTTCCACAATGATCTGAAGAGTATTGGTTCAGAGATGAACTCATTGCAAGAGCGTTCAATGATGATGAGTCACAAAGTAAACAACAGAAAGTTACTAAGAGAGAAGCTATCAGAGTTTAATGACATTGTAACCATCGCTCAAGACTTTGCAATGTATGTTACTCGTCGCATCGCGTCGCGTCGCCACATTCAATCACTCAATCATTTACTAACTCAATCAATCAGTCGTCTAACAAAGGGAGAGATAGATGATGAGTTTATAAGTTGTTTGATCAAGTTGGATACAAAGAAGACATTGTTTAATGATTATAAGTCACTGAGCCCAACGATATGCGCTAATAATGAGCCACAGTTGAATAAGTTGACAGAGGCATCGATATTGAAGATACAGAAGTACTTGCGCGACAACTTGTCCTCGTTCAAGAAGTTGTCCGATCGCCATCAGGTGCAGACCAACTTGGCGCGCATGGCCTACATGTTCCAATTCCTCTTCAAGTACAGCACAATGGCGGCGGCCGAGGTCATCAACACCTACGTCGAGAACTCGGAGAAGTACTACTCCAACTACTACCGCAACTACACCACCGGCATGCTCAAGCTGCAGGAGGACGTCAAGTCAGGCAACAAGCTCAAGCAGCTCTTCACGACCAGCCCGTCCGACAGCGGCGCCGCCATCAACGCCCACACGCTGATCAATGCCAACACGCCGGCCAACTCACGCTCGCGTATTGAGCAGCTGCGCGTCGAGGTTCTCGAGTCGGCTGCCATTGAGCCACCTGCCGCCGCGTCGTTCTTTGAGACAGCCACCAACCTGGCCAACATCACCAGCAGCCAGTCAAATGCATCCATTCTAAAATATCCGTTCGACCAGGTCTACCGCTCCCTGGTCTTCTTCCTCATCGACCTCATCACTCAAGAGTCCAACTTTGTCACAGACTTCTTCCTCGGTGGTGAGGACATGATGACCACAATCTTTGCCAAGTCCATAGCATTGCTTAATGTAAGTTACAAGTTTAGAGTTGGAAGGGTGGAGGGCGAGGTCGAAGCCTCGCTTGGCAACATGATCACTAACATTGCAAACATACATACAGGAGACAACAGAGAGCTATGTCAACAACACCAAAGACATGGTTGGTCTTGTAGTTTTGATCGGTGTATTGGATAAGTATGTAGTTGGACTTGGAACTGGAACTATCCCCGCCACCTCCCACTCACTAACCAACACAATCTCCGCCCGACAACAACAGTTACAAACAAATGATGGACAAGAAGAAGATATATATTATGAATCAAATGTTCTTTGAGAGAGCGATACCTTTGGCATTGGAAAAGTTTAGACGACTGTTCAAGGAACACTCAGACCTGCTGATCAGCATCAATGTGAAGGAGTTGAAGCCAATCAGCCCATCACACGCGCATCACATGTCGAAGCGCTTTGCCGACGTGCACGTTTGCCTCGCCGGCCTGCACACCATCCTCACGTCAGCAGCACTGGAGGCTAATCCATTCTATAAGCCACAGGTGGAGCTGATGCACAGCGCCATCGTCACTCTGCGAACGCACTCTCTGCAACTGCTGCGGAACATCACCAATGAGATTGCCAACAAGAACGATCAGGTCGTGTTCCTGGTGAACAACTACGCCGACGTGTTGCAATCTCTCACAAACGATCACATCCCCGACACGGACGTGACGCTGATCAAGTTCAAGGCGCTGCTCAACTCATCGCTGGCCAAGTATGTGAGCGAGCAGCTCACCGCGCTCAAGTACTTCACGCCACTGATGACCTTCACGCATGAGTGGGGCCCACTGGTCGAGTCCAACGTGACCATCAACCCGGCGGACAACCCCACGTACAATAGCGATGCCGTCGAGCAGATCTTTGCCTCGATCGAGGTCAACTGGAAGTCAGCGGTGGCCGTCATCAAGGACAACTCAACCAAGCACTTTGCCTCGAGTCCACTGGCACAACAGCGTGCCTTTGAGATACTGCTCGAGGAGATCTGTCGTCTATACGCTCTGATGACCACCATTGTCAACACCAGCTTCCCACATCTCAAGCAGTCCAGACACTTCCGTCCACAACAGTTCACCAGCGACGTCCAATCCATGAAGCCCTCTGTCACCTCCACCTTTGTATATCCAGCCTTGGCCCCATCTTCACCTTGATCGTCTTTCAACAAAGTTGATTGATTGATTGCTCGCGAGGTGGATGGGACGAGGGTTGAGTTGATTGAAGCTCACTCATGTAACCCCCTCACCCTCCATTACCGGATGCGGCAGCAACAGTAGACGTGGGAAGAATGGTGGTGGGTGTGTGTCCAGGCTCCTCCACTGCGACAACAATACAAGCACACACATTATAACTTCAATGTTCATTCATTCATTCATTCTCTCTATCTCTATCTCTATCTCTTGATGATATAATTATAAGTTATTACTCCAAAGAATGAACAACAGCGGCAACAGCAGCAACAGCAGTAGTAGCAACGTTGACGATGATAACAATGTTGGACATCACCATTTGAATATGTCACCAAGTGAGATAGTACAAGACTTGAATAAGCAGTTGGCTGCAGAAAGAGCAAAGACTAGGAGTTTAAATGAGGAGATCAAACATTTAAAGCATGCTCAATTGAGACTTGTAACTATCATGTATAGTGGACTATATTGTGATAGGCTTGTCTAATACATTACACATAATGTTATAGCAATTGGTTACAGAGAATGAAGAAGAATACATTACCAACAAGTTTATGAAATACCTTGCTCAGTTAAAGAAGGAGAAGGAGCACCTGGCCTTAAAGGTGGAGGAAGAGGAGGAGTATCTAACAAATACACTTCAAAAGAAGATGCATGCAGTATGTTGAACCAACCATCCTTGCAACATCCAAACCAACTGGACTCTAACTTTTGATGTCCAAACCTATAGATTATGAAGGAGAAGGTAGAGCTAGAGAAGATGTTGGAGGTAGAGGAAGAGTTCATTGTGAACAAGTTGCAGAAACAGATACAAGAGGTAAATAGAGAGAAAAAGGCATTGGAGAAGAGATTGGAATCAGAGTTGAGTGATCATAAGCATTTGTTGAAACTAGAAGGCGAGGTACTGGTACTCCAACAAAAGATTAAGCAGTTGGAACTATCCAGTGAACATAACAAAGAGGATATGGCATCGTTAAAGTCTGAGAACTTTGTCCTATGCCAAAAGATTGCTAGGGAGCAGGAGAAGATCAACCGGGTGACTACAGAGAACTCATGTCTAATGTCCAAGTTGGAGATCGATGGTGATGGCCCTGCCATGCCATGATCCCTCCATCGACATTATTTTGTATTGGTCTTAAATACCCCAATTACATATTGTACATACAAAAGAGAGAGAGAGAGAGAGACGCTGCCAAAAGGTAGTTATCAAGGATTGACTACTGGTTCCAATACTACAACAATGCTCTACCATTACGAGAAATATCCATCCACTTCTATCTACCCAAAGTGATCAATTACTCTTCATAAATAACCGGCAAAGGATTTGGTTTCCTTTGGATTGTAATTGAACGACAGTACACCAAACGACAGGTTAACCTGTCTCTTCATTGCTGTTGCAATCAAAACTAACTATCTTTGATGGATTGAGTGATGTCTTTGCTCTCCCACAATGGATGGTTCAGTTCCGCCACCATAACCTTTAAGTTCGCTATCAACCATCATCAAGGTTATAGATAGAGGTAAAGATGTTGACAACAGTGAGGTTGGTTGTTAGCAAACAAGGACTTTAAGTTTTATGAAAGAGACACCTTTCGTTTATTCCCTTTGCACAAATAAGATCATGATTCATTTGATCCCGATCACCCCACAAGACGACAGACGGTCGGTCACTTCGGGAAAGAGCCACAACCCCCACACTCTCACTCTCTATCTATTAATATCATAAGTTACTGCGGGTGTACGAGTCCACTCTGGACCCTAGGCTAGTGTAGGGGTGATCACTTTCACACTCACTATCTTATGTGTTATTGCTTACTCAAGTTGAGTGATGAATAAGTTGTTCAAGCCCATTGCGAAGAGGTAGTAGAATCCAGTGTAGAGTAGTGGACCACCGGTGATTGATCAACACAGATACACATACTCACACACACACATTGGGTCCAGTGATCAATAATCCTATCTCTTAACAATCAAATCAATCCATCAGTCATTACAACAATCATTACTACTATTACAACAACAAACAAATAACAATGGCTGTTGATGAGACTACCAGACTTATAGAGGAAGGTGCATCAATATCCATTCAGGATGGTGGAGAACCAGTTAGATTTGTCAAACCACCTCCAACGACAGATGATGGACTGTTTGATAAGGTCCAACAACTGTTGGGTCTGAAAGAGAAGAAGAGAACACAACAACAAAGAGATCAGAATAAGGAAAAGGAGTTCAATGATAAGTTTAGAGAGTTGTCCTGTATGCAGGTTGACGACATCCTGCTGCGAACGGGATCGCCTGCCTGTGGCCTCACCATGGACGAGGCCAAAGAGCGACTGGTCAAGTATGGCCGCAATGTGATCACAACGGTCAAGCCGACGCCTTGGTACAAGCTGCTGTTCACCGCCCTGACACATCCGTTCAATGTGGTGCTGATGATCATTGGCATCGTGTCGGTTGCCACCAAGGACTACGCCACGTTCACCGTCGTGATGTCCATGGTACTGCTGTCGTCTGGCCTGCGCTTCTACGAGGAACAAAAGTCTAGCAAGGCATTCACTCATCTCAAGTCGTTGATCAAGACCACGGTCACTGTACTCCGACGAACAGACGCCCGCCAAGAGGTTGGCCAAGAGATGCAAGTTGACATGGAGGAAGTTGTGCCTGGCGACATAGTCCCACTCAAGGCTGGCGATGTGCTGCCTGGAGACGTGCGAATCCTACACTCCAACAGTCTCTTCCTGTCGCAGTCGTCCCTGACTGGCGAGTTCCTCCCCGTGGAGAAGTCATCGCACCATTCAGTCATACATACATCGATCTTTGACACGCCAAACATATGTCTCATGTCGACCAACATCGTCTCGGGCAGCGGCCTGGGCGTTGTGTTTGAGACAGCCCAACACACATACATCTCATCGATCTCTGAGATCCTCACCAGCACCAAGACCACCAACGCCTTTGACATTGGCGTCAAGAAGGTGGCCTATCTACTCATGGGCTTTGGCGTCATCATGGTGCCAATTGTCATCACGATCAATGGACTGACCACAGGCGATTGGTACGACTCTGTCATGTTTGGATTGTCCGTTGCCATTGGGTAAGTACCATAGTAGATCGAAGATCATGACCACTCACTCACTCACTTACCATCAACATGTAGCCTCACACCAGAGATGTTACCAATGATATTGAATGCCAACTTGGCAAAGGGCGCAACAGACATGTCCAAGAAGAAGACGATCGTCAAGCAACTGCATTCAATTCAGAATATGGGCGCAATGGATGTGTTGTGCTCTGATAAGACAGGTACATTGACTGAGGATAACGTCAAGCTGCGCGAGTTTATTGCGGCCGACCGCATGGAGTGCGAGGAGGTGTTGAAGTACGCCTATCTCAACTCCAACTTCCAACGCGGCCTCAAGAACGTTCTGGACGAGTCCATCATCGAGTTTTATCACGAGAAGTACCCAAAGGAGTCGACACCAGCCACATCAGAGTACCAACTGCAGGAGGAGTTCCCATTCGACTTTACTCGTCGTCGTGTCTCGGTCATCCTCGAGAAGGAGGACGATCACATGCTCACGTTGGTGTGTAAGGGTGCCGTGGAGGAGGTGATGTCCTGCTGCTCACACGTTGCCACGCGCAACCACAAGGAGAAGCCATTGACTACCGAGCTGAGAGAGAGGTTGCTCGCCATTTCAAACGATCTGAATGTCGACGGCCTGCGTGTGCTGTGTGTGGCCACCAAGCCGATGGCGCCACACACGGGACCGGTGCAAGATGAGGAGCATATATACAATGTCAAGCAAGACGAGATTGAGCTGACGTTCCAGGGCTTCCTGGCATTCATCGACCCACCCAAGCAGGACTGCGCCGCCGCCATCGAACAGCTGCGTGTCAATAATGTACAGGTCAAGGTGTTAACAGGAGACAATCTGGCCGTGGCCAAGAAGATCTGCAAGGATGTTGGCATCGATGTGTCCAAGATTATCTCGGGACCCGAGCTGGAGGAGGCATCGCCCGACGAGTTTGATCAGATCGTTGAGGAGTGCACACTCTTTGCCAAGCTCACACCAATCCAGAAGTACAATGTAGTTCGCGCACTCAAGCGCCACAAGCACACAGTTGGATTCTTGGGCGATGGTATCAATGACGCATTGGCACTACGTGAGGCTGACATTGGTATCAGTGTTGACACTGCCACCAACATTGCCAAGGACGCGTCGGACATCATTCTGTTGGAGAAGTCACTGGAGGTCATCAACACGGCCATCATCACTGGTCGCACTACCCACGCCAACACAATCAAGTACATCAAGATGGCTGCATCCTCGAACTTTGGCAATGTATTCTCGTTGCTGATCGCCTCGGCCTGGCTGCCCTTCATCCCCATGCATCCACTGCAGCTGCTGACGCAGAACCTGCTGTACGACTTCTCGCAGATTGCCATCCCTTGGGACAATGTCGACCAGGAGTTCCTTGAGACGCCGCACCCGTGGAGCGTGTCTGGCCTGTTCAAGTTCATGGTGTTCCTCGGACCAATCTCTTCAATCTTTGACGTGACGACCTTCTCCTACATGTGGTGGTACCTGGGCTGGGACTCCAAGGCCTACCAATCGCTGTTCCAGACCGGCTGGTACGTGGAGGGACTGATCACACAGGTATTCATCGTGCACAATATTCGAACGATCAAACTGCCGTTCATTCAACGTTGGGGATCGTGGCAACTGGTGCTCAACACGCTCTGGGTTGCAGTGCTGGGTGTGTCCATACCGTACATACCCAAGCTGTCTCAACTGTTGGGCATGAGCTCACTACCAGACATGTACTATCCTGGACTGGCCATATCATTCTTTGGATACTTCCTCCTCACTCAAATCATCAAGAAGATCTACATCAGAGTATTCAAAGAATGGTTATAAGTATAAAGCGTTATGCAGTGGACATCTATGTATGGACACATTTAATGGAATAATGGTCGATAGCGACGGTCACATGTGTGACCTTTGGTTTGTTTATTGGATTGATTGATCGATTAGACAACTGGATTGAATGTGACAGCGTTCAAATAGATGACGGCGTTGGTTTGGATTACGATGTAGTCTTTTGTGGTGTATGGATCCTTCTTGATGGGCACGACGGTACTAATGTCAACGTATGACTTGTAATCACCAGACACTGGGATAGAGATGGTTGTGATCAAAGTTCTGCCTGCTGGGCCAACTTGACGGTAGATGGACACTGTTGCAGGATTTGCGGGTGCCTTGGCAAAGAGTCCAATGTTGAATGATCTATCAGCTCCCGATGCTTCAAAGAAGTACATCAATGCACTGCCTGATGGCATCTTGATTGAATGTGAACCAATGGTGAAGTCGTCCTTGGCCAGGACTACGCTGCCAATATTGTTGGTCATGTATTTCTGGGCGTTGATCATCGTGGTCACCTTGGGGAGCAGGACATTCTCTGGAAACACCTCCTTGGGTATGAATGCGGCCTGGATTACATCGAGTCCAATCTTATCTGCTTCCTCATTGTCCATGTACCATGCGAAGATGTCATTGAGCTTGTGGACTGAAACTGAGAAGTCTGTGTTGTTCTTGGTCGGCACCTCCCAATCCTCCGCGAACAGGCAGATGTCTCCCACAGGTGTGCTTAGATTAGCCTTTCCCCTATGTCTCCAACATCCTGGACGCTTATATATAAATCCATCGAAATGCACCGTGAATTTGGATCCTGGATTGGTGGACTCCACTAGGTCGGGGAAGGCAGAGCTGACCAGTGTGATGTTCTGGTCGTTGATCGTTGAACCTAGCTGGAATGTTGTGATAATGTTGGGAAGACCTGCATCATCATCATATAGTCTGCTAGCTTTTGCATAGTCCATGTCTGTGTTGAAAGCCTGGTTTCTCTTCATTTTCCTTCTCAGAGCAATGAGATGTTTACGGTTTTGGATGAACCTGATCTGAGTGAGTTGTCCAAGGTAGCTCTCATACTCTGACAAATGGAACAACTCCTCAGCTCGTTGATAGGTGGCTTCTCCTGGAACTAATTCATTATCAGCGTCTATGCTGAGGTGATACCAATCAGTGAGAAATCCAGCAGTTGGCGAGAACAACTTGCGAACGGGCTCAGAGTAGCTGCCAGAGGGGAACACAGATCCATCCATGCGCGACCACATGGCGACAAAGTCAAATACGGCTGGGATGATTGCACGGCGGAGCTGTATCACTCGGTCATATTTGTTCTGTCCGGCCATCAGACCTTCCTCGGGCTCAAGTGCAATCTTGGCTACAGCCAAGTCAAATGTGGCACGAGTATGGTTGGTGTACTTGACCAGACATGTCTTCAAGTTCCGACTCTGAGCATCAATCACAGTGCTGTCGAATCCCCATTGAGTGGCGAACCTCTGGAACTGAGACTGAATCATAAAGTAGACCGTGGCAGCCATCGTGTATTGTGGCAGCTCGGCAATGTGTATAGGGTTCGGATCAAAGTTGGTGTCGATGATCATTCGTAGTCTGCTCTCGAGTGTCTTGAATGCAGTACGAACTGCCTTGCGAGTTGTCTCTGTGTTGAGTTTGAGTTGACTCTCGACACTCTTTGCAAGATTGGCCAAGAGTGAGCTGACAGCACGAAACCTGATCTTGACTTGAGCAGCATCGTATGACTCCAACGTTTTGCCAACAGCTCCTCTCAAATCATTCATGAACCAACTGTCGATGAACTGGGTCGAACTTGATTTGTCGATAAACGTTGCCATCATTGCGTTGATGGCGTTGACTGCATTTGGACAATCTGTTGGTGTACATGCTGTGAGTGCCACCACTGCCGCCTTTAAGCCATCCATGAACTTGGCTCCATCAGCTGGAAGGTCTTGGAAGTAGGTTACTGGGGTTGAATAGGCTTTGTTGGTCGTCTGGGCCATCACTTCGAACCAACTACCCTTGTTGACATCAGCAGTGGCCACTCTCGCCACTCTTGCCTTGGGTGTGGCAGTGACTTGAGCATGCGTCTGTGATGTTGTAGGTGGTATCGTTAGATTGACTGACTCTAACAAAAGTGTGTGAGTGATTGAATGACAAGAAGAACTTACATTTGATGTCAACGAAAGACTCAACAAGAGAACGAGCAATAATTTCTTATTCATGCTACAATTTATTCAAATATAAATATTAATATAATATAATGGAATATTGATCAACTCAATGATGATATCAACTACATAGGTGATGATAGACTCGATCCATCACATCTTCACATCAATAAATAATAATTTGGAAGTAGCGTCACAAGTGATCGCGGTACAGACATTTGTTTTGGTTCTGGAAATAGAACTTTGATGCGATGTGGAAGAGCCATCAGCCCTAGGTGTCTGTTTTTGGATTAATTCCATCTCATATTAATAGACTCGTATCATTTTCAACAACATTAACTCTATCATCTACATATTGGATTTAGATCAAAGTATGATGATTGATTAAGAACGAATGGAAGAGACTGACTTTGTTTAATGATTGATTGATTAGACAACTGGCAATGGACTGAATGTGACAGCGTTCAAATAGATGATGGCATTAGTTTCGATAGTTATGTGCTCACTTGTTGTATATGGATCCTTCTTAATGGGAACGACGGTATTAATGTCAATATATGACTTGTAATCACCAGACATTGGAATGGAGATGGTTGTGATCAATGTTTTGACCGTGCCAACTTGTCGGTAGATCGACACTGATGCAGGATTGACAGGTGCCTTGGCAAAGAGTCCAATGTTGAATGATCTATCTGCTCCTGAAGATTCAAAGTAGAATACCAGTGTGCTGCCTGCTTGCATCTTCAATGAATGTGAACCAATGGTGAAGTCATCCCTGGCCGGTTCCAGAACTGGACACATTTTTCTGGGCATTGATCATCGTGGTCACCTTTGGGAGGAGGACATTCTCTGGAAACACTTCCTCTGGGATGAAGGCTGCTTGGATCACATCGGCAGAACCAATTTCATTGACATCCATGTACCATGCGAAAATGTCTGCGATCTTGTGGCCACTCACTGAGAAGTCTGTGTTGTCCTTGTATGGCACCTCCCAACCATGCGTAGTCCTAACAGTAGTTTACATTACTTTCGTCTGTTGACCTGTCAAACCAACAGGCTGGCTCCCTTTTTGAAACTGAACTCCATCGAAACTCAAGGAGAACTTGCATCCTGGATTGGTGGACTCTACAACCTCGGGGAGGGCAGTCCTGATCAGTGTGATGTTCTGGTCAATGATAGATGGACTTATCACGAAAGTTGAGATCCCATGATAAATAGTACCGACTCTGGACCATTCGGTATCAGTCTTGCCAACTGGGTTGTTTCTCATGGTCCGGTGTATAGCCACCAGATATCTAGTGTCGTGGAGGAACTTGATCTGAATGATTTGTCTAATGTATTGTTCAAAGTGTGCTGATTGGAACATCTCCTCCATTCTTTGATAGTTGATTTCTTTGGGAAAAAATAGCTTTCCCAAGTTCAATCTGATGAGTTTCCAATCGACGAGGTAGCCAGCAGATGGCGAGTACAACTTGCGAACGGGCTCAGAGTAGCTGCCAGAGGGGAACACAGAGCCATCCATCCGAGACCACATGGCGACAAAGTCAAATACGGCTGGGATGATTGCCCGACGGAGTTGTATCACTCGGTCAAACTTGTTCTGTCCATCCATTGGGCCACCCTCTGGCTCAAGTGCGATCTGGGAGATGGCCAAGTCAAATGTCGAGCGAGTATGATCGGAGTACTTGACCATACATGTCTTCAAGTTCCGACTCTGGCATCAATCACAGTGCTGTCGAATCCCCATTGAGTGGCGAACCTCTGGAAATGAGACTGGATCATAAAGTAGAACGTGGCCGCCATCGTGTATTGTGGCAGTTCGGCAAGGTGTATAGGGTTCGGATCAAAGTTGGTGTCGATGATCATTCGTAGATTGCAGTCTATCACTCTTCATCACAGTCTATCATCAAAGTACGACAATGTAGACATCAAGCGCACGAGATACCAACGAACATTGACATTGTACAATGAACATTTCGGCAAAGAACCAGACAACAACATCATTTGGGATGCACAATACTTGTCGGGTGGACAACAAGTTGGACGAGTCGAGAAGAAGTTGCAATCAAAGAAGCAACGAGTCAAGAAAGTGGAGGAACCTGCAGTGCCTGCAGCTGATCCAGCACCAGCTCCAGTACAATCCTCAACCGATCAAATCACATTGTATGTTTTAGGCATTAAAGGAGCACGGGTAGAATTCCATATTCGACCAACGACTCCTTTGATCAAACTCATGAGTGCCTATTGCCAACGTCAAGGTGTCAAGCCAACAATCTGCTTTCAGTACGACGGTCAGCTCCTTCAACCAGATCGAACACCCTTGGACTATGACATGGGCAACAATGCGGAAATCATCGTACTGAAGGAAATAGTAGGATGTTGATACCTCGGTCTAGAATCCAGGATGTTGACAGATTGACACATAACCACAATCACCATGTTATGAATGTACATTAAATCAATCAATCAATCGATGTAGATTTATTTGGAATTATTCCAGTGATGATAATGGGTCGAAGAAATAACTACTTGACTGCTCGTGAGGGAAGATCAACTTGTCCTTTCTTCGTTTCATCAGTTGGTTGACGTCACCAATGCAATAGGTGGTTCTGACTCGTTGTCTTCCGCCAACTGTAACATAGCTTTGCTCATAGATCAATGACAACATGCGTGTATCATCCAGGTGTCGAACAGAATAGACAGTTTGATATTGATTGTTTGTGAATCCAAAATGGTAGGTGCGTACATTGAGTACCATTGTCAAGGCTGCTACAATGTGTTGTAAGATAAGGCTATGGTCTCTTGAGCCAAACTCCAAGTGTAAACTCATCAAATGTGTTTTGATCTTGTAGTCTAGACAGTCCATCCCTTTGCTTGCTCTCGTGACATTGTTGAGTGCTCGTACCTCAAGCTCACCCTGTGACGCCAGCGTGAGCAAGTACACGCCATGTCTGGATAGATTGTCGATTGTGAGGTACTTGAGGTTGGGAGGTAGACATGTACTGGATTGATCTCTTTTGTATCCCACGCCAATCGTCAGTTTGATGAGTGATGGCGGCAACACACCTACAATCAAAGTTTGATTGAAGTTGTCTCCAAGTATTAGCTCGGTTAATGACATGGGTAATACTCCAGGTGCGATTACAAGTGTACCGTTGTAGGTCAGCTTTGTAAGTTGTTTGGGTAGTGCTGCAGCTGAAAGAGGCACCACCAGATTCTGGCAAATGGTCAACTCACGAAGTGACGAGGGCAATGTATCGTTACCAAGTGCCCGTTTGAATCCTTCAAGAGTCAGACGCTGAAGACCATTCGGCAGGATACCAGGGGGTAGAGTTTGATTGAATGACATGTTGAAGTTCAATCCGATAAGTGAACGCGGGAGAGAGTCTTGCTCCAGACGCTGACTAAAGTAGACACCATCCACCAAGGTAAGTGATTGGGGTAGAACACCGGGAGCAATATGACTGGTGTAGCTTTCTCCAAAGATAAGCGAAATGAGTGAGTTTGGAAGCACGCCAGGGAGCAGTTCCCTATTGAAGTTCCTTCCAAGGGAGAGCCAAGTGATTGAGTTGGGCAAGGTATTGAGAGTTATATCAGAGGAGTAATAACTGTAAAGGGACAACTTTGTCAACGATGAGGGAAGTTGGCCCGGCTTCAAATGTTGTCTCACGCCGTACAATTCTTGAAGTTGACTGGGGAACTTCACAGTGAAGTTCTCCTCAAAGAATGAGCTGATGTATCTCAGTCGGAGTAGATTAGGAGGCAGTATCACATGACTCCTGAACTGAAGGCCAAATGAAAGATCAGTGAGTGACTCGGGTAGCTGACCACTGTTCAATGGCATGTTGAAGTTGCTTCCAAAGTACAGTGTGAGTAATGATGGTGGTAGGTAGTCTTCACATATTGGTCGATTGTAGAGTTGTCCAAAAGCCAGGTATGTCAATGAGCTTGGCAGGGCATTTGCCACGAGCTGTTGGTTGAACAAGCGACCAAACGTTAGGAATCGTAGGTTGGTTGGTAGAGTGTCCCTTTTGATTGGGGCTTGGAAGCATTCACCAAAGTTGAGTTGAGTGATTGAGTTTGGGAGTTCATTCTCACAGAGTTGCTTGTTGTAACAGTGACCAAATGACAGGGTAGTGATTGATTGTGGCAGTATAACATCTTTCAGTGGCTGGTCAAAGTTGTCACTTAGAAGTAGTACTTTGATGTGTTGTTGGTTTGTGTTGTTGTTGTTGTTGTTGTTGTTGTTATTGTTGTTGAGCTTGTCCTTGCGAAGTTTAATGAAGTTGAGCTTCTTGATGTGGAAGGGTAATCGAACATTGTTGAATGATGATGTTGAAGATGATGATGATGATGATGGTTGGTTGTTCAATGACTGCACTGTGTTGGACACCACTAGCCATTTGGGAATTAGATTATAGTACTTTCTACATGTCAATCGAAGACATAATGAGTCAATCTCATCACCAATGTTAAGTACTATATGTTTAAGTACAAATTCAGATACAACTTGTTCCATTATTACTATCATACATATACACAATGAATCTTATGATCAACCTAAAGTTTGGTTTCTTAGCTTTGTCAATATCAAGAACACAGATAATAGATAATACCAAATAATATACTACTACATATTAATACATAGATGGCAAGGAAAAGAAAGTTAAAGACAGTTAAGGATGTACTATTTGAGTTGTATGATAAGGTTGATCAGATTGCTCTACATGATTTGGTGACGAAGCAACATGTTGAACTCAAAGTACATGGACAAGCGTTGATAAAGGAATACTTTCACTTCATTGCATTGAAGATCATTGATTCTGATGTAGACGCAACAAAGATATCACCATCACCTCTCATCGACATGGTTTGGCATTGTCATATATTGGAGACACAGAGTTATGAATCAATGTGCAATGCAATCAATCAAACAATACATCACAAACTATCATCAATGTACGACAATCAAGACATCAAGATACCAACGAACATTGACATTGTACAAAGAGCATTTCGGCAAAGAACCAGACAACAACACTATTTGGGATCCACATTACTTGACTTCTTCGAGCATGAGGCCAGCCTTAGATATAGATGTTGATGATAAAGAAGAGGATGAGGTTGAAGATGAAGATGAGGATGAAGATGAAGACGTATCTTCCTCAGATGACAAGTTGCCAACAGTTCATAAATGCTCTGGACCTGAGATGCCACGATACACAACGTCCGAAGATCCGATTATCGTTCCTCGGTCAACAGTAGATGGATCATCAAACTTTGGCAAACAGATCAGGATGAGAGTACAGAATAGCGTCGGGGCAGAGCTAGTATTCATGATACATACTGCAACACCTCTGGTCAAGCTCTTTCATACCTTTTGCGAGCATATTGGATATACCAATCGAGAAGATCTCCGCTTTATATATGATGGACATCGTCTCCAATGGCACCTAACACCCAAAGATTATGAAATGGACATGCCAAACAGGCCTGACATTATAGATATTGCTTTGGCACAAAGAGGATGTTGATACAGCAGTGGGTAGAGCATTAGAGCCACCCAGTGGTCAATAATGTACAATGAATGTTAAAACTATAATTATAATCTGGACCATCAATTACGAACTCGCTACACGAGGTGCAAGAGGTTATGGCATGATCATCATAATGTAGCCACGTCCAAACCAATAAACATTCAAAATGAATCGACCATTACAATGTCCTTACATCGGGAGCATGATTTACTGTTGTGGTTGGTCAGCTGATGGCTCGCCGTTGAGGTTCAGTAGGAGGGAGTCGCTGCTGATGAATATTCTGTTGGGTGACTTGGCCATGATCGCGGCAATCTCACGAGCGGCCTCAATCTTTCTGAGCTGGAGGAAAGCTGGATTCTGCTTGATCGACTCACTGATCAACTTGGCAGACTGGGCCTCTCCCTCTGCCTTGACAATGATACTCCTCTTGTCCTGCAAAGCCTTCTCCACCAAGAAACGAGCTCTCTCTGCCTCTTGCTGTGACACCTGCTTGGCCTCAATAGCTGCAGCGTACTCCTTTCCAAAGCTCAAATGGGTCTGTTGTATGTGGTGCAACATTGTTAGTTACCTTGTGTCCATGGATGCGAGATGTTTGTCCGTGAACGGATGTACATACGATTGAGACATCATCAAGTTCGATGTGGAAGTCTCTTGCACGATCGACCAAACGTTTGTAAATCAAACGACTGACTTGTTCTCTTTGAGTGATCAGCTGTGAAGCATTGAACTGTGCGACGATGCTCTTTAGCACCTCGTTGACAATCGATGGGAGCACTCTCTCATCATAGTCCTTGCCAAGTGTCCTGTAGATCTCTGGCAGGTCCTTGACGCTTGGCTTTGACAGTACTCTGATTGTAACATTGACCATCTGAAGATCTGTTGTTGGTAGTTTGGTTGTGAGTAAGGATGGCCTGACCCAATCAATCAATCATCATTCAATCAAAAGCATACCTTTGCTTCCAGTCAAAGATGATATAGTTCTGGGCTTTGCTCTAACATCGTAGAGCTCTGGTCTCTCAATCCAAGGGATAATGAAATGTGTTCCTTCATTATAAATCTTGCTCTTGATACCAGTGAACCTGTTAAACACAATAGCTCTATGACCTCCCTCAACTGAGTTATGTATCGATATGTAGTCAGTCATTCGTTCAATTGTTGTCCACTGTGTTGAATCATACCATTTATAAGAGAGTTGAGGGCACCGTATAATGCAATGCCACCGACTAGTAGAGTACCAATTCCGCCAACGCCACCCTTGGGTGGCTGGAACTTTGGAAGGCTTTTCATGTTGAAGTTGAAGTTCATTCTTTATATCTATTTATCCTATCAATCCTATCTATCTGTCTCACTACTAATATCTGTTTGTATGTAATTGTAATTGTAATTGTAATTGAATAACAATGATTGATTGTGGACAAAAGGAGTATCAGTGATCATCAAAGTGTGTTGTTCAAAAAAACAAATAAAAAATCAGAGTCGTAATGATTACTCACACAAAGTCACTGAAGTTACCCACTCATTCGTTCATTCATTCATTGTTTGACTATCTATTTATTATCTGTACATTATATGACTAAAGTTGCTCATATTGTTATTTATTATCTATGAAGCCAGCAAATGGATCAGTCTCACTTTGTTTTTTATGTTTTCTGGTTTGCTCAATGTATGATGGTACATTGATTATAAACCATTTTCTCAAGGTATTGCCAGCAGCATCAGAATTAGATGTCGTAGACTTTGTATAGTTATTGACAACTATTGCCATTTGTTTGGTTGCCATGTCCAAATAACGTATATCGTATGATGTTGATTTTTGGTGACTAACATTGAATGATTGGCAGTTTGGAAACAAGGTCATTGATTGTTCAAGGAATAATCCCAATGGAATATTCTTGTAGTTGAAGTCCAACTATAGACGCCATATTGATGCTTTGACTATTGGTATTTTCATCGAACTCTTTTGTATCATCTCATATACAAAGACTTCCAACCCGTCGTTGTTTGACGCCTCTGCAATGCCAGCTATCACATCGATATAATGTCCCTGTTTGACAAGGTTATAGATGTTGAGGATTCGAAGACCTGATGGTACGGCACCTGGTTCAATGTCAGACTTAAATATCTCACTAATGCCTAGCCATACCAGGGATTGTGGCAACATTCCCTTTCTTATGGGCTGGTTGTACCATGTGCTCAGACCAAGGTACTGCAAGCAGTTGGGCAACACACCTGGCGCAATGGGTTTGTTGAACCTGCCTCCAAAGTTAAAAATGAGCTCCGATCGAGAGACCAAAGTCTGGCCATAGTGATCGCCAATGTACAAGTGTGTCAAACGAGAGGGCAGAGTACCCGGTTCGATAATCTGATCAAATTCTATACCTAGGAACAACTTGGTAAGACAAGCTGGCAGATCGCCCTGTCGAATTGGCTGGTTAAATGTCCTGGCAAATGTCAATGAGGTTAGCGTTGATGGCAGTGACAGTGAGTCAGCACCAAGAGGTTGGTTCCAATGTTTTGGCAAGATCAACTGAGTGATTGATGGTGGGATGGTTCCAGGTTTGATTGGGAGTTTGAAACGCGATCCAAGTGACAATTGTTTAAGTGTATTTGATGGAAATGAACCTGGTGAGATCACACTGTTGAATCTGTTTCCAAACAATAGTGTGACCAAGCGATCAGGAATCATGCCCAACTCTATCGGTTGATTGAACTCTTTACCAAAGATCAAACAGGTGAGCGAATGAGGCAGTGATCCATTGAGTATTGGTTTGTTGTACTTGTCACCGAATGTCAGCTTGGTCAACGACGATGGAAGTTGACCTGGTAAAAGACATTCATCAAACCAATAACCAAGCTTAATCTTTGTTATTGATGAAGGTATGTTGTTGAGCTGACACTTATATAGGTTGCCAAAGGTGATCACTTGGAGGCCCTGAGGTAGCACTCCAGGTTGGAACTCCATATTATAATGTCGACTGAATCGTATCTTGCGCAAGGAGGTAGGTAGCACACCAACGTCAATGATTTGATTGAACTCCTCACCCAATACCAGAAAGGTAATAGATGGCGGTAGTGGCATTAGATGTTGATTGTAATTCCTTGACATGGTCAGACTCGTGAGGGATGATGGCAGTGCATCTTGATGTATGAATTGATTGTGTCGATAGTCAAAGGTCAGTGTGCGCAGTCCCATAGGCAGGGTATTGGGCATGATCGATCGATTGAATGAGTATCCAAACGTCAGCTCTGTCAACGAGTGTGGGAGCGCGTTTGGCTCAATCTCCTGATCATATTGAAGACCAAACGATAACTTGGTCAGGGAATGGGGTAGTGAGCCAGCCACGATGATCTGATTGAAGTTGCAACCAAAGACCAACGAGACTAGTGATTGAGGCAGGGTACCGGGTAGTAACACTTGATTGAAACAGTATTGAAATATGATATGAGTGATCGTGTCTGGTAGGGTATCGCGCAGTATCACTTGATTAAAGTTGGACGAGAATATAATGTGAGTGATGTTGTTTGAGTCTCGGGGACAAGTGGCGAGCTCAATAGCGTTCAATGATCCATTATGTAGCATTATACGCATTGACTCTGAGAGTGGATTTATAAAGTTGGGATTGTCCAATAGTTCGCTGGTTTTGTGTGACAGTTCCAATGGCTTCATTGCAAACAACTTTTTGAATGATAGATAGTTTAATGCGCCAAGAGACCAAGTGTGATGATGGTCATCTACATTGATATTACGCCATCTAATCAACAAGTTCCATAATCTCTTACACGTCAATGATATACAAACCAAGTCAATATCATTTTCAAGATTGTCTACAATCAATCTGAGTATTATACTTGGAAGTTTATCCATAACTCTTATCTGTATGAATGATGATAAAAATAAAACTGATTGATTTTGAAATGAATGAGTTATTTGTACAGATAGTTTGAGATGACAAATTTAGAGTTTGAGAAATAAATATGATATTAAGAGATAGATTGGACTATCAACTTTATAGATATTAGTATAATATTCTTTTAAAACAAAATTATCACCTGTAAACTATGTCTACAAGTTGAGGAAAAGTACATAAAAAAACTTCAAACAAAGATAAAAGTTAAAAGTTACGCCCAAAGGGGGGCTCGAACCCCCGACCACACGGTTAAGAGCCGTGCGCTCTACCGACTGAGCTATCCGGGCAACTGTGAAGTGAATACATTTTACATCGGTTAAGAGCCGTGCGCTCTACCGACTGAGCTATCCGGGCAACTGTGAAGTGAATACATTTTACATCGGTTAAGAGCCGTGCGCTCTACCGACTGAGCTATCCGGGCAACTGTGAAAGAAAACACCTTTTTAACGGTTTTATGCGTAAAAATCGGGGTGATCCATTTCTCTTTTTTAGTTTTCTCAATTTTTCTTTACTACAACACTATTCATATAAAACTAGAGTAATATGATAACAACAATTTTTTATGACTAATCTAATAAACTCCTATTGGTTTCAAAAGGAAAGATGGAAACAATCAAATGTTATAAAATACTTAACAAATTAACCAATTATATTATTCATATGAAATTATAGTTTATTGAGAGTGATGGTTTGAATCTGGATTGTATTCTCCACTAAATATCAGTGTCCATCGTTCTTTGAGAGCATCAAGAGAGTCTTGGCGAAGGTAGAGTTCCAAGTTGCTTGCACTCAACTCTGCTTTGTCAAGACACATGGCATGCATGCGTTTCTCAAACACTTGCAGAACATCCAGAATGGGTGTGTTGTTCTTGATCGCATTCACAATTCCAAGGGCAAGTTCGCAGCCATCCCACATTGCCAAATTGGCACCTTCACCAGCAAAAGGCGACATGAGGTGTGCAGCATCTCCAATGATTGTTAGACCAGGTTTTGTCTCCCAGGTGTGTGGCACGGGCAGTGCGTAGATTGGTCGAGGGGTGAAATCATCGTCGCAGAATCTGATCATATCTCTGAGCTTCTCATCCCATCCTTCAAACTTCTTCAAGAGGAAGTTTCTTCCTGTATCTTTGTCGGGGAATTCGAACTGATTGATCTCGTCCTCTGGCACATAGAAGCAAGGGTAGATTCGAATGCATCCATTGGAGTTCCTCTGACCAATCAATGAGAGACCATTAGAGGCGACAAAACAACTTCCTCGGCCTACAAGCTTGGCAATCGCAGGATAACGTCGATCGGCATCTGTGATTCTTGTTTCAAAGAGCATCATGTTGGTGTATGCTGGCTTGTCCTTGGAGAGTAAGGTTCGCACCTTGGACCATGCACCATCAGCTCCAATCACCAGGTCAAATGTCGCCTCGAGGTCATTGTTGTATATAACTGTGTGTCTCTGGGAGCCATCCATTGTTGGTTGTATTCGGTTGACACGGGTACCCCAGAGAATAGTGCCCTCCTTCAATGAGTTGATGAACATATCTCGAAGGGTGCCTCTATCAATCTCTGGTCGTTCAAAATCATGGGGGTCGGCTTCTTTGTTGAGGTGAATGTTGGTGTGCTTGTCCATAAGGAGGAAGTCCTGGCCTTCTGGGCGTGCCTCACGAATGAAGTCATCCCAAAGACCAGCCTCCTTGACTGCATGTTGACCTGACTCTGGATGAAGATCAAGTGTGCCACCTTGGAATCGACTAGTTGGTGACTTGTCTGACTCGTAAATAGTAACTGGAATGTCATTGAGTTGAAGTATTCGAGCTGCAACCAGACCAGAGATTCCAGCGCCAATAATCGCGATGGATGGAATAGAAGTTGAAGCAGGAGTCGCTAAAGGTGTACAAGGATTCATTATTATTATTATTATGATTGATATAATAACTTAATTATTATGATTGCATTAAATAAATATTGATAAAATTTATATTGAAGTATTGTTGACAATTAAATTGTTGAAGTTAAAGTATTTATACTTGTTGATTTGATCAAGAAATATTTAAATATAGTTATTTAGGTCTGATTCAGTATTGAATAAATATATCTTTGCATAAGCATTACATTTCAGTCCATCGCCAAGTAATTATGAGTATGACGAACAACACGAACTTGATTGATTTCCCACCCGTTGATACTTTGACCTATTTGTTGGCGACAACTTCGCAATTGTGGGATGTCATATGTTGATCGATGGTGTTTGAGAAAAACTCATGGAAAAACTACAACCTTGAGTGTGGAGGGGTTCGATCATTCTTAGCCACTTCCCAATCTATTTTTAATCAAACAATCAGAAGGTACAGGTAATGATGATTATCTAAATATATTTTTATATATTATGTTTTAGTACATTGTCGAGTAATCGTGATAATAGATATTAAATGATGCGGTGATATTCAAGTTGAGGCGGGTAAATAAAACAGAACCAGAACATCTCGGCTCAATTCCATGATGATAAAGTTGGTTCCTGGATGATTGAACACCTAATGATTGGTCTACATGGATTATTTATTCCTTGTGATCATTAACCTCCTCCTCCTCCTCATCTTCATACTCCTCTTCATCATCATATTCTTCGTCGTCATCCTCGATTATCACCTCAACCTTGCTATAATAGAATGTCTTGGCAATGTGCTTCACACCCTCGATAGTCGTGACACTCAGTGCAATGTCATTGTCAACCTTTCTGAATAGTGTTCGACATGGTATATTCTTGCTTACGACCAACATATCGATGGTCTGTACGTTGGGTGTGAGCAATACCATCTGCTTGTACAATAGGGAGTGACCCATTCTTTGTGGACCTACTTGTAACCTGTTCAAGGAGCAGTCAATCTGGACCATTGTGTTGCTGTGATCCATTCCATTTGCCACGCCAAGTGTATCGATTGGTGATGCGATCAATGCATCCTTGAAGCACTTGTACTGAGCAAACTTCTTCATGTCTAGATGTCTCAAACTTGCTGGCAGGGCATGCTTGTCCACGACCTTGGAATAGTCGTCGCCAAGTTTGAGGTATGTGAGTGTGTTTGGCAAGCATCCAGTTCCGATCATTTGATTGAATGAGTTGCCAAGTGTGAGTGATTGTAGTCCAGTGGGCAGAAGGCCTGGCGCCAAAGTCTGGTTGAAGAAATAGCTTAATGTAAGATTGATCAATGAGTTTGGAAGCGAGTCGATCTCGAATGGTTGATTGAAATCTTCACCACCAAAGGTCAGAGACTGGAGTGTGTTTGGCAGGGCGCCAGGAATGATCGACTGATTGTACTTTGCCCCAAATGTCAGCGAGGTCAGACCGTGTGGAAGCACTCCCAGTCCGATCGCTTGGTTAAAACATCCGCCAAACACTAGGGTTGCAAGTGACGTGGGCAACACGCCCGTCGACAATGGCTGGTTGTAGAAATAGTCAAAGGTGAGAGAGGTCAGCGACGATGGTAGTGCGCCAGGCTGCAGGACTCTGTTGAAGTACCAGCCCAAACTGAGGTGACTGAGCATGTTGGGGAGGTCGCCAGGACGGATATCAGAGTCATAGTTCTCGCCAAGGGAAAGATCTGTGAGTGAGCTTGGCAACGAACCATGTGTGAATGGTGGACTGCTGTTGGACTTTAACTTCTTGAGCGTGGGCGGTAGCATTGCCAATGTACTTGTACGTTTGATTGAGATGATCATAAGTGATTGTAACTTTGGTGGAAACACGCCAGAGTGTTGTGCGATCATTGAATCATCGCCCCAGATCTCCAATGTAATCAACGAGGCAGGCAATGTTCCAGTCTCCAGCATATGTTTGTAATCCTTGTTGAGTGATAGGTAAGTGAGTGTGTCGGGGAGTACGCCACGACCGATCGGCTGATTGTACTTCTCGCCCAAGGTGAGTGATGCCAGGGCGGTGGGGAGAGAGCCAAGCATGAGTAGCTTGTCGTAGCGACTATCAAACTTGATCGAGGTGATTGATGGGGGAAGGGCACCGGGCACGATGGGCTGTTCGAACCAATATCCAAAGGTGAGCTTGCTGACGCCTGGTGGCACGGTGAGTGACTCGAGCGGGGTGAGCACCTGGTATTCGCCAGAGTAGATCATCTCCATGCTCGATGGCAAGTTGTCCTCTGGACGCGAGGACAATGGAAGTGGAGGTGACAAGGTATATACATAATCGGATCTAACCAACTTGATTGATTTATCCAACACTATTGATCCATTACTAAGCTTTGGTAACAAGTCCAACAAGTGTTTACATGTTAGAGATAAACACAAGATGTCCAATGTTGAGTCCAAATAGGAATATATATTCTTTAGGATCACCTCTGATAGTGTATCCATCTTGTATCTGTCTTGGATGTTTGAGAATGAATAGTTTGACTGATTGATTGATCAGAGTGCAATCTAATATTTGATCATCAAAAAAAACTGAAGGGAGGTCCTTGATATTTTGATTTTATTTGTTTTGAATTAATTTGAGGTACAAGGTCCATCATTTTTGAAAATTCAATGGATGTATCTTTGCAAGGTATATATTAATCATCAAGTCTACAAATATACATACATATACACATACATAATCATGAAGCTAACACCAGACAATCTTAGCCAGAAGCTTGGAAAGGTAGGCTAAGCCACGAACAAAATGCGAGGCCTCGCATGAATGAATGAATGAATGACTGACCCAAAATGACATTGACAATGACAATGACACTTGATCAATCCAGAAAATAGATATTGCCTCTGTTAATGAGCTCAAGTTGGACTCAATGGGCATTATTGAGGTGTCTTCATTCTCTAGGTTGAAGGCTTTGGAGGATTTGGACTTGAGCCAGAATCGTCTACAGTTGCTCAGACATATCAAGGGTCTATACGACTCGCCTGCACTCAAGAAACTCAATCTCACTGGTAATCCAGTGACCAAGGTCAATGGATACAGACTACACATCATCGCCAACATACCATCATTGGAGGTACTCGATGGAAAGTATGTTGTTGATGTCATGCGTGGCACTCAATCAATCAATCTCGAGAGACGGAACATTAGACGCTAACACCGACACTCTGCGATAACGACCACAGACCAATCACATCGCAGGAGCGTGAGCAGTCTAAACTGCCAATTGTAAAGGACCCTTTGGCCAATGCGAATGATAATGAGGAGTCTGATGAGGAAGAGGTTGTAGAGCAACCACCAAAGAAAGTGGCTGAGCCAGTCAAGCCAGTTGCCGCAACAACATCAGCAGCACCAACTCCAACTCCAACTCCAGCTCCAACCCCAGCACCAGCAGTTGAACAAGCAAGACCAACACTGGCCACACCAGTCAGTGAACTACCACCTGCTTCAGCTACCACTGCTGCTGCACCAACAGTTGAGAGAATCACCAAGCAAGTCAAGGAGAACCTGTTCGTCGCAGAGGATGACCTTTTCTCCAGCGCTGCACCAAAGAAGAAGCCATTGAGCTTCGAGTCCGACAGCTTGGACGAGTCACTGTATGTCATGTCATCACCTTGTCTTGAACTGGACGTCCTTACTGTATTCTAACACTCTCGCCTTGCATTGCCGAACAACACAGATTTGGAGCAGATGATGATCTTAACAAGTTTGAGAAGAAGAAGCCACAACCAAAGGCTGCGAGCAAACTGATTATTGAGGACAGCGATGACTTGTTTGCTTCGTCGACTACTTCAAGCAAGTCGTCAAAGGTGGACTTGGACGATGATCTGTTCAAGGACTTTGGCGAGGAGAAGGGTGGATTGAGCAGCGAGTTTGACATGTCCAGCTATCTCGATTCACGCAAGGACAGGAAGAAGGGTGGATTGTTTGATTGATCATTCCATCGGCCTGCTTCATTATCATCACAATAACAACTCTATCCTCACCTTGTAAGTTATAACATCGATGTTTAATTGATTGAATGATTGAATGATTGAAGATGATTGAATGAATTGGTGATGGTGACATTGATGCATGCTACTGAGAATATGTCGCGCGGATTAGATGCTCAACATTGTCCAATGATCCATTGGCATCGATCTCATCGTATTGGAATCTGTTGCTCAATTGCTTGAGATGGTTGTACTCGGACATGTAGATTTCGTATCTCTTCTTACATGCCTCTGGATCAGTGTCGGTGTTGCGCACTTCAATCTCGGGCATGTTGTGCATCTTCCTCTCCATGTTCTCACGCACCGCCTCATGTCCACGATGTAACTGTCTAGACAATGACTCCTCCTCGCTAACATGCAGCACTGTGATTCTGAACTTGGGCAGCGTGGCATTCGGATTTACACGTCTCCTCAATGTTGACAACTTGTCATAGAGTAGCTCTACAAACTTGACCTGTTTCTCATTCCTCGGGAATCCATCGACAATCACACTCTTAGGCTTGTTGCCCATAAAGTCCGGTTTACCAAGTCTCTCCAACATCAACTCAAGTACAACCTTGTCATTGACCAATCCACCGGATTTCTTGATGGCTTGGCAAACTAATAATCAATGTGTCAGAGTCAGTCGAATTGTAGCCACGTGGCGAGTCGCCAACGACAACATAACATACCTGGAGAGTTAAGTAATGAACTAACTACGATGGGTTCTGATTGAACTCCAAGGGTATCTTGTAAGGTCCTTGTATTGGTACCTTTGCCTGCACCTGGACCACCGAGTAGGAATGTAATATTCTTGGGGAACGACAAGTTCTCCACTCCATACTTTGTAGCGAGTTGATTCCAAACCAACTCAAAGGTCCTCTCTGATTCAATTTCTAAAATAGACTTCTCTTCTTTTCCAAAGGTTTGATTTGATTGATTGATTGATATGTCAATAATAACTCTTAGTTGAATGAGTGAATGGAAGATATAACATACCTGTAATAGGTTTGAAGTCCCTTAGATGATTGGAAGATGGTTTAACCTCAAGGTTCAATATATCTTTGATACTTGATACTTCTACAATGTTATATAAATGATTATTATTAATACTTGACCCTTTTATCATTGGATCACAGTGTTGGCTTGTTAACAATGACGATCCTTCCCATTTCAAATAAGTATAATGAATGAATGAATGATACATACCAATTTCCATTGAATATCTTCTTTGTTGAGGATTTACCATTCGATCAGAGAATGATGAACGTCTCTTATGTGCTTGGAATGCTTCACGGGGAGTGTTGGAGCGAGAATGTAGATCAACAAATTGTTGTCCATTCTCCATGATGGTCGGTATGTCTGTCTCATTGAACGGATTGATCGAAGCCGATTCACCTGGATTATAGGATAGAGTACAGTATTGATTTAAAGTCGGATGGTGATGTGTTTGATAAGAGGTCGTGTCACAGGGTCCACATATTGAGTTCCTCCTCAGGGCAATACCCTTTTGTAACTCTGCCGAACCTCTTCTCTGAGTAAGTCTCAATGTTGTTGAGAGTACATCCTTTACAACTAAAGAAGATCCCTAAAATATATTATTAATTATTTTAAAATATATATTAATATTTCTTCCAAATTTGAAGAATGAATATCTGGAACTTACTTTGGCAAACATTGTTATATATATATTATTATTATTCTATAAATTATAAATGTATTTCTATCTATTTATCTCTCTTTATAAAGAGGGTTATATTAAAGTAAACATAAGTATATATATTTTATATGTATGATCGACAGGTATTATAAGTATGATTGATTGAATGGAATTGAATGCTATGAATAGAGGATGTGGTTAAAGGGGAAAGGTGGTAATTGGGGTGTTAGCAACAATAAATGGTGAAGGGTTGACAACACTTGGTGTCTAAGAAGAGTAACACATGTGATAAGATAGTGTGAGTTTGAATGTTGATGATGTAACTGAAGTTGAATGATTGAATGATTTGAATGATTGAATAAGTTTGTTGAACAAACTGGTGTAATAATTTATTTTTTGTAACTGTCTAAGTAGTCTCTTTATGTATGTATTAATAAATTGATTAACAGGAATAATAACAACAACTTTAGTCGTTGTTGATAGACAAGATAGATGGATTGACGGATGGATAGGGAAGGGAATGGATGACACCAACGTAATCGCCATTACACACACAAAGAATGTCTATATTAGATGACTTTGTGGTGCGAAGTATATTTGTTGTTATCACTGGGAGTGGCCTAAAGGGACACAACCCACCAACGATGCTTCTCGACTGACTTACTGAATTCCAGGATGAAGAGGCGAAACACCTAACCTCCATGCATACATCCAGACCCAATCTTGTCTCTCCAAATGGAAAGTCACATCCTAGCACCGATTCATTCCCTTATTTGGGAACTACACACAACTTGTGTGTGTGTTGTTTGGTTCGGGCCATTGGGGTGGGCCAATCTAGTATGTGTGTGTGTGAGATAGTCGTCGACGACTCTCTATCTCTATGTCTTGTCGGTATCTTGTATCTCTCTTGTTGAAGAAGAGACAACTAATAACAAGATGCGCATTTATCTATTTGTTGTTGTTGATGGGTTATACCTTGACTGACCCATTCTCAACCCATATGATCATATAAAGATAGATATTTTTATGACTAAACTGACCCAATTTTGTAAAGGACCATTGCATTATTTGATCATTGATATCTGATAAATGAATGATCATTCGTTTTAACAATAGTTATACTAAATTATTTATTTATATATAAATATATATATATATTATTTATTTGTACAAATAATGAATGATACAAATAATAGTAGTAATGGCCTGGATGTAGAGTCGGAATCATCATCAACATCAGGTGTTGTTGTATCACCTACTCTATTGTCAACATCGGGTTCATCCCTTAACCAGCAGCAGCAACAACAACAACAGAGTAATACATTCGTACCTCATCCGACATTGGTACAGATATCACAGATACTTCAACAGTCGATTGAGATGAAGTTGTGCAGTTCGATTGAGACGCACATTGTTGTGTGGGACACGCTGATGCACAACGTCGAGACCAATCCAGATGTGATAGCGTTGACAATCTCACTGCTCATGACCAAGTACGTGCAGCTAGTGTCAATGCCAGAGAAGCGCAACACTCCTCTCATCTCATTGCTCATCTCAATATTGTCCAAGAACATCAGTCCCGTATCGTCCATCACATCATCAGGCTCAAGTATCCCAACAACCAGCAGCAGCAGTAGTACATCACAGCAGCAGCAACAACAGACGACTGACATTGTAGTGTCAACTGTGGATGATATGGAGGAGGTTGAGGTTGACGAGGATGATGTCGATGATGACGATGACAAGTTAGTTCAACAGACCTCGAGTATCAACATCAATGGATCATCGCAGGCCATCCCCCAACAACAGTCATTGATTGTGGACAACCAGCAATCATCCTCTACACCCACACAACAATCAACTCCTTCTCTTGTGGCTGCCAATGCCACATCACCTGTTTCCGCATCCACAACACCAACCACATCCACTACAACTACTACGACAACAACGACAACACCACTATCACCAACATTGGCGTCATCACCAGAGGAGCAACGCGAGATTGACCATATGAAGTCAACGATCATCACGACCTTGTACTATATTGCCCTATTCAACAACTTCAACTCGAACAACCCTACCCTGAGATTCATGCTCACGCGCTACACCGACCACTTTGACAAGTCGCGCGACACCACCGACCTCCTCAAGATCCTCTCGCCTGGCTACAAAGACTCAAGCGAGTACATCTTCTATCTCATCGATCGTTGTTCCGACTTCACGACCGATACCCAAGCTAACAAGAATAGTATGTTTGTCCTCAATGATCACGATCACATGATCACTGACCCTATCCTCACTCCACAATCAGTCGCTCGTAGCTGTTGGTTCAATAGTTGTATCACGGACATGTTCCAGCAGGCCAACAAGCACAAACAGATATTCGAGAATCTGTTGCTGTTCCTGAAGCATCCACTGTTGCTGGAGAAGAGGATGTTGTTCTTCCTCCAGATGCTGAAGCACTACCTGCTGGTGGCACCATTGATCTCTCCATCGGCACTGGCCGCATCACTATCGATAGTGAACACCTATTACCTGTGGCCACGACCCTTCTGCGACCTGGCCAAAGAGATCCTGGAGATTCTCTCAATCGAGTACCAATGTCCAGGCAGCTTCATCCGAACGATGCTATCACATGAGGTGCCCTCTGTAATGGGTGCCAACAATGAGCCTGTTACACATGCCCGTCCTGCTGCTGCCCACAACAACTCACCATCACCTTCATCGCCACTGTTCTCGTCAATGTCATTGAATGATCGTCCAACCATTCACATGCTCGTTGATCGATACAACGCCGATGCTCTCTCCATTCAAGACATCTTTGAGCACTACACCAAGAACACCAATCCAAGCGTTGTACAACTACAAGCCAATGATATTACAAGTAAGTAGTTGACCAATCCTTATCGCTCAATCATTCACTGACCAGATCAATCAATCAACTTAGACATATACTATCGAATCATGGGCTTTGACAATGATGCCCTTGGACTGGAATATCTTTCACCTTCCGATATTGGGAACATCCATTCAAGGATCATAGATTTACTCAACAAGACTATGTACTTGTAAGTTGTCCTTTCCTCACTGTCCAGTCTTTGTTCCACACTCAAGCTCATACAAAAATCGCACCATTACAATAGAGAGATAGAGGACTGCAAGGCCACAAGGATAAGAGAACTTGCCTCCATTAGGGAGGACATTGTCAAGATATCTACAAAGGGTGCACCATTCAAACATGTTCCACAGACCCTCATGTATGTGTCACTTGGAAACATGGACACCAAGGCACCTCTACGTCATGCTAACTCCATTCAACCAATTGTAGACTCCCCAATCTACATTATAGCTTCTCATCACTATATAGGATCAGCATAAAGAATAAGAAGCCAGATGAACTTGCCACGCAGTACTGCTTCCCAGTGTACAGGAAGACTACCAACCTGCTGACAAACATGTTGACACATTATCAAACTGCAGATTGGAAACAACCGATCAAGATATGCATCGTTGGCAACGACGCCTCAATCCATCATGTGGTGGGCTCCTACGTCTACCTAAAGTATCATTCGCCCGACCTCTTCACTGATCTCGACCTCCAGTTCTTCCTCATCCCCGCTGGTCCCACGTCCAAGTTTGCCGAGTTCCTCGCCACCTTTGACAACTGGTACAACAGACAGGTTGCAGGCATTGTCAAGTATGTAGTGTAATACACACGAGTGATCATCCAGATGTTACCAATGACACTAACATCTATCAATCTATCCATCTAGCTCAATGTATGATATCATGCCAGCGTTTAAACCAACATCAATCAGCCAACCGGATCAAACAGCAGTGTTGGAATCACTGGCCAACATTAAGGAGGAGAGGAAGAGTATATTGTTTGACAACACAAAGAAGGAGGTTGCTCAGATTGAAGAGCCAGCAGTGCCAACATCAAGGACTCCATCATCAATCGTGCTCTCTGAGTTGCAATATCTATTCCGCGAGGCATCCTACAAGTTGAACATCCCCCTAATGAAGTGTGAAGGCTGGAACGAAGACGTCTATCACACCATCCCCTTCTTCCATCGTGCCGAGATTGGTCTGAATGCATACTTCCAAGGAACAGTAAGTAGTTGAGTGACGTGGATTGATAGATCGACACTAACCAATCAAATCAAACAGGGCGAAGCAGCACTCATTGATAGTAGTTTGGCAAATAGAATGAACAAGTATGTTCCGGCCAATGTCACTGCAAAGATTGGCATTGTCAATCCACTTGGAACACAGATACAACAGTTGACACTTGATTCAAAGACCTACTTTGAACTATCGATAGTCAATCAAATGCCAAAGTTCAACAAGACTTCACAAGTCACTCCAACTCATTCAACATCGCCACCATCTTCAAATAACAACAACAACAACAGTAATACAAATGGTAACAGCAACAGCAACAACAGTAATAACAAGACAAAAGAGACGACAACGACAGCAAGTCTACCACCTTCAATGGATGTATACCTTACAGAGTTTGACGCCAAGAAGAAGCGTGCCAAGAATGATGAGCCCATCAACTTTACATCCAATTCAATCGAGATTGAATGTGCCAAAGATGAGAAGAAGAAGCCTTTCGATGTGATGCTCGATGGACAACTCTGTGGACCCTACACCAAGATCAGAATAACCTTTTGCAATGTCTCTGATGAAGTCATTCAAATGCCCATGATGACATATCTACCCTATTACTAAAAAGTATATATCTAACTTTAAATGATCCACACTTGACTGACTGACTGATTGTGATTGTGATATCAGTCAATCATTTTATTGACGAATGGGGGTGATGGGGTTTGTAGACTGACGGATGTCTCTTAAGTGTGTGTTTTGGGTAACACAATTGAGAAAAGCAAGAATACTACCCAACAGTGTTGAGTCAATCTTTTGATTGACATGAGTTCACTCACGAATGGTTGACTTCATTATTAATTTAGCAAGCTTAGAAAACAATCACATACGAATATAAATACACATAAGTATTTAGGTATTGTGATAATTAAGAAATATACTTATAACTAAATATCAACATCAACAACAACAACAACAACAACATAATCATATATTAATAACATTGTAACAATCAATCAAACATTAAGTCAAATTAAGCAATAATGAACTCATACAACATAAACAATAACTCAAACAACAACAACAACAAGATTAACAATAATAATAATAATAATAATAATAATAATTTCAACATTGAACAAATATTAACGAATGCTATTATTCAAGAGAATAATGGATGTTATTATGAATCTTTGAAGATTTATGTTGAAGCTTCCAATTTACTACATAATGCTGGCCAGGGTACAAAGGACATCAAGTTGAAGACGACAATCAATCATGTTATGCTACATTGCTTTACTCAAGCAGATAGGTTAAAGACCTTGATCGAGAGGAAGCGTCAAGATGAAGTCGATGCCATTGCCGCCGCTGCCAATGCTGCCGCTGCCGAATTTGCCTCAAGAATGCCCATTGTCGAAGATCTTGATGCACCCAGAGTAGCCGTTGTGCCCCAGGAATCACTATCTGATAGTGATCGTTCATCAGATGGTATGATCATGTCTCACTCATTCCTCATTCGATCCATGTAACTGATTAACTAACCACTATTATATATAGATGAGCCAGAACAACCCAAAACAACCGTGTTGATCAAGAAGTATGATATCAAACATGGACAGACTGGATGCTCTTACCAAAAATTGTTTGGAAATCACTTGATTGGCGCAAAGCTGATCAAGATAAGAGATCCCTACTTCCGTACCGACTACCAACTCGAGAACCTCGTCGAGCTCCTCAAGGTGATAGCGGCAAACAAGAAACCCGAACAACAATTGAGGATTAGACTGGTGACCTTTGCCAAGATCGCCTCTGAGAAGATTGAAATTACGTCAAACTTACAAAAAGTAGGTAGTAGTTAGTTTGTTCAATTACCAATCCATCATCATCAAACTAACACATAACATTACACTCACACAATCACTAGATCAGGATATGGATGGCGAATAATGACATTGACTTTGCCTACAAGTTCTCCACCACTCTTCACGATCGATCTATCGAGACTGATACTGGTGTCACTATCAGACTTGGTAGAGGCTTGGACTATTTCCAACATCTTGCAAAAGACGGGTATGTAAATCACTACTTTCAATCAACCAATCAATCTGGATTCAATTTCTAACTCACTCTCTGGAACTCAATCATTTAAATCATTACTAGTAATGAAGACAGTAGACCCTGTAAAGCCACCAATATCGAAATCTACAAGACTATTGATGGCCAAATTGTACCAAACAGGGTACTCTGATCAATAATAAGCCCGATCAAACTCTTCTCCATTGCCACAAGCCATTAATTAAGGACTGGCCAGCAATACCATGGAGACAACTGCCACCTCAAGGTGGTCAACTCAAACGATGTTTAAGGTACCTTGAAATGCACATTGGACCATCCATTCATCCATAATCAGATTGATTTAGTTTAGAAAGTAATAAACAACAATAACAGTGACTCAATGAGAGAGTTCTGGAAAGTGATTGTTTTGTTTGGAACTGAACGAAATTTCGTTGAAAGTAATAAAGTGGGGTTGGTTCAATCAAAGTGATGAGTGTAATCAACTTCATTCTTCAATTTATACAAACACAAAGATACAAAGATAACAAACAGATAATAACAATGTCGCACGGAAGAGTAAAAGGTTTGGATCAATAATCAACAAGATTAATGAATGGGTGATTGATGAAAGGAATGGATGGTAGAGTGTTGTGCGTCAAATACAACAACATTATAACAATTAACTTACCCAACTTATATACATATAGTGTTAAGTGATGGTCAACTATTCACAGAGTTGACAGCTGCTGGTGGCAAGCTTGTTGCCGTCGACTTCACAGCAACATGGTGTCCACCATGTCGTGCCATCGGTCCCATATTCGAACAACTATCCAATCAATATACAAACGTTGTCTTCTTGAAGGTCGACGTTGACCAATGCAGAGTATGTACGAGTAGTAACATGTTTTATAGTTCATTTGCTCACTCAATCAATCATCTATTCAATCATAATCTTTAGAGCACAGCTCAACAATGTGGCATATCTGCAATGCCAACGTTCCATTTCTACATCAAGTCGACTAAAGTTGATGAGTTTAGTGGAGCTGATCCAAACAGACTCAAGCAATGTATCGAGAGACATCAGACTAATGAGGTGTCAACGTTCGCAACCCCCGGCAACGTACTTGGTCACGGCTCAGCAGGCTCCCCCGCAGCAGCCCAGCAGCCAGCAGCAGCCCGCCCAGCTCAACCAGAGAAGTTGCAACCCAATGCCAAGATGCTGGCCGAGCTTATAGAGATGGGCTTCCCAGAGAACAGAGCAATCAAGGCTTTGTTGACCGTGAAGAATCAATCGGCCGAAACTGCAATGGAGTGGATCTTTGCCAACATGGAGAATCCCCAGATCGACGAGCCATTCGTCGATCAGAGCGGCGGCGGTTCGACCACTACCACAACATCATCGTCTGACGACGCGCCAGAGGTCCACAATGCGCTCTGTGACCTGTGTACAAAGCAAATCATTGGCATCAGATACAAGTGCAAGGTGTGTCTGAACTACGACCTGTGCCAGGCGTGCAAGGACAGCGGCAAGCATCCGGCCGACCATGAGATGTCAGCACACAGCAAGGACATTGCAAACTATACGTTGACACCCGAGGAGAAGGCGCACCAAAAGAAGATGCTGGACGAGAAGATCCTGATGCTGAGAAAGAAGAAGGCCGAGGAAGAGGCCAAGCGCGAAATTGAGCGAGAGATGTCCCGTCGTGAGTCGGGCAAACTTCAGCAGGACTCGGTGGAGAAATGGAAGGAGCAACAGAACAAGCGTGAGGCTGACAAGATCAAGAAGGAGAAGGAGGATGAGGCACGAGCCAAGCAGAGGATCCGTGACAAGATCGCCCAGGACAAAATGGAGAGAGCTGCCCGAGCCAAGTCTGGACCGGATGCTTCATCGCCAGTTGTTGCCCCGGCAGTCGCAGCACCCGTCGTCGTCCCTGTGGCAGCCCCCACCGCCGTGCCAGACGTCGTCATGATTCAAATACGTATGGCCGATGGCAGCACAGTACGCGCCAACTTCAAGCCCAAGGACACTCTGCAGGACGTACACAGCTATCTCTCTGCCAACGGACAGTCTGGTGCATTCCGTCTGTCCACCACATATCCCAGGAAGATATTCGATAGTTCTGAACTCAAGACCACTACATTGTTGGATGCTGGATTGGTTCCAAATGGTACATTGATGGTAACAAAGTAATTACCTTGCTGGCAAGGTTCATCTGGATGTCAGTTGTATCAAATAGAGATTACAAAAAACATCAATCCCCAAACTTGTTGATAATAATAATTATAATAATAATATAATGTAGATGTAAACTGGAATTATCCTGGGACATTAATTCAAAGAGTAGTACGTTTGAGTGGTAGTGGAATCACGGGTGGTAGTTGTTTGATGCAGCACCAAGAACCAGTTTGTACCAAATTGTTATTATCGTTTTGGTTGAATTTCGTGTTTTGTAAATACAGCTAGTGTATTTATTTGAATTTCACTCAATGTAGTCTGAACTCGGGCTGTATAAAATGGTTGGTACAAACTGGTTCTTGGTGCTGCATCAAACAATTAATGAAGGAACTATTCTTATAATATTGCACCAAGAAATTACAAACTTAAATGTTTCTTCCAATATTCTTATTTGACTTACCTATTTATTTACGATTAATAATTTTTCCAACTTATGAAAGAGGAGATTCTAGGGAAAGTAGATCTCAGTCCGTTCATCAAACAAATCTATATAATGCTGGAAATGGCAACATTTTTGATTCCCAATCAGTAAATCAATTTTTAAGTTCGAATGACTCATAATGCTGGTTCTAGCAATAGTGTTTCCCCAAAGGAATATCAAAAAATAGGTTCAAACACAATAACTATTCAAAACAATAATGCTGGAAGTTCTAGCGATAGTGATTCTCAAACAGGATCTAATCAAAATGGCGCAAACACATACACAAATCAATATAGTAATTCCGATCAATAACTTCTATCAATCAATAAACTAACCAGAATCAATAAATAAATCTAGCTCATTTTGATTGGAATTCAAGTTTATCGTACCACCACCAATGAAAAACAAGATCTGGAGGTCCTGAATTCGTTTGGGATTGGTCGTTTGACTCTAAAATAGGTTGATTGATTATTTTGAGTTGGGGTGTTGAGAGGTATAGTCCTTTGCAGGTATCCCGATCACTCCAAGTCACACCTCACAACCAAAACACTCACCACTCTTACTCCAACACTCATCATCATTCACGTGTCGGCCATTACTATCTCCATCCATCTAGAAGTGACACTGCAGTCATTGTCTATTATTATTGTATCAAGCAATCAATCAATCAATCAATTAATCAAACAATCAAACAATCATTGTATTTCTAGTTGTACTCTTCCTCTCTCCTCACAATCAATCACATTCGTTCACTTATACACTCAATCGCTCAATCGCTCAATCACTCAATCACTCGCTCCAACCATGGATAACAACATCAACAGCAGCAACAGTGATAGTAACAGTAGTACGACGACAAATAGTGATGAGATAATTACCACCTCACATCAGTATCAACCAACACATACATATACATTGCCAAAGAATGAAAGATATCGATTCTATTCATTGGCTACAGATATAACAGGTGATCTAATTGCAATAGGATGTGAGCGAAACCTACTCATTGCCAATCTCAACAACAACAACAACACCTTTAGTGGCGCAGCAGACACGTCTGTAGCCAATGTCAAGAAGGTGTCTCTTAAGGAGGTCGAGTGCAATCTACTCCAATGGTGTAGTGACAGGTCACAATCACAGTTGATTGCAACATCTGTATGTTTCACTCAATCAATCAATCAATCAGTCGACTTACTGATCAATCAAATTGACCCCGACATCATCGGACATCCACTCTCATTCATTAGAGTTCAAACAATATACATCTATGGGACATTAGGAAGGAGACATTGGAACATACATTCGCCAAGGCACATCTTAGGAGTATAGCATCTATGTCATGGAACAACGTGGACACCAATCTATTAGCGAGTTCAAGTGGTGACAACCTGGTCAAGATATGGGATAGGCGCGAAGATAAGACGTCGCGAATGAACAGTATCGACACCAACTCTTTCATAACACACGTGGCCTGGAACCCTCACTCCTCCTCAATGTTAGCATCATCACATCATGGTGTTCTAAAGATATGGGATATACGTGTAAGGGTCGCCATTAATCAATCATTCAATCATTCGATCGCTCACTCATTCAACTCAATCATATTATAGAAATTCGGATCACCTCTGACATCATGGAACTCACATGTTGGAACAGCAAGATCATTGGACTGGCACTCAACCAACAAGAGCACGATCATGGTCTGTGGGTCCGATCACTGCATCAGAGTATGGGACGCTTCGCCACCCAATCCTTCAATCAAGACCTTCCAGACCGGTCACTTGTGCACCAAAGCAATGTTCCTGGTAAAGATCACATTATCATGATTCCTTCGCCTACCTGATCAAGTACTTACCATCGTCCTCATACCTTAGCCATTCTCCAAACATTATAATGTGGCCAGCTTCTCAACAAAGAGCTTCAATAGCAATATATCAATATGGGCTGGTAATGGTGACTCGCCGATGATATCACTGACAGGACATCAAGATGCAATGATTGACTTTTCTTGGCGTGTCCATGACAATCAACACAGTCTAGTATCAATCTCAAAGGATTGCACAATCAAACAATGGACATTCAGTGATGAGCGTAAAGAGGTATGTTTGATTGATGTTGATCAATCAACATTTGGAACTATTCCACTCACTCACTCAATCACCCCACTCACTCACAGATCATTGATACGATATCATCTGCACTGATTGATCAACCTCAGAGAAGGAGGAATAGTTGGAAGACGTTGGTACCTGATGACCTGTCGCAAGAGCTACAGGTGATCGCCAATGAGAAGTATGATAATATAATAGTAGAGAAAACCAGTCTGACCGACAGGCTGTGCATCATCAACATCGAGAATCGCAAGGTGATTGTAGTGATCTCACTGCCATCACTCTATCCATCTGCCCCGCCCTGTTTCGAAATACTCACCAAGGATCCAACATCCAACAAGATCAAGATAGTGCTCAAGAAGGTATGTTCCCTGCCTCCCTCCCCTCACTCCAATGGAATGATCCCAGAAGCTAACCTTTGAACACATGCAGGAGTTTGATCACCTATCACATGAGTTCATGGATTTGGAGAGGAATAACAAGACAAAGAAGCCATTCCTTTATAAGATACTGAAGAAGTATAGCCAGAACCATTCAAACAATGCAGAGTCATTCAATGAGATCAGTTCAGTGATGGACTCTCCCAATCTGATACAACGTTTGGGCAACAGTGGCAAGTCAACATCATCAGTGCCAACACTCAGATTGAGTCTACAAGATGATGATCTGTCAGGTGACACCTCAAATCAATCATCATCAGTTGATCCACTACTGGAACAATATCAAAGTCCATCTATCAAGTCTAGGGCAACAGAGGACCACCTACTCACTCAGCGTACCTCTCCAAGAGCCATACCATCAACAACATCCAAGCCACCAAAGTCTAACAATCCAGTCTGTAAGCATCGTCCTCTTGATTGATTGATTGATATCAGACTGGTCCCTAACTCATTCATTCAACCATTCTAGTCTATCCCTCATTCGTACCAATGCCACCAAACTATCATAATGCATCTCAGTCTGTTACATTTGAGATGTACCATGTCAAGCCAACAGACACACTCACAGGCATTGCGCTTCAATTCTCAATGCCTCGTGATATCCTTATGCAAACCAACAGACTATTCTCTGATAAGCTAATGCCTGGAGCAGTAAGTATCAATCATTCATTCCAACGATCACTCACTCAATCAATCAATCAATTTACTGTCATCAGGTACTCTGGGTATATCGCAAGAAAGATCAACAACATACTTTATCAGGACAACAGGATCACTCATCATCATCAATGACACAGAGTGCAGGTAACTTACCATCGATAACAGTATCCTCTGGCACCAACAACCACAACAACAATAGCAACAACAACAACAATATGTCGGATAACAATGGCAAACCAAGATCAAGAGCAGGATCAACTGTAAACATCAACAATCTGTTCAAACCTATGAAGGAGGAGGTGGAGATGGCCTTTAAGACATTGGAGACCAACAGCAATATGTCTTCGCCATCAACTGCGACATCGACTACCACCTCTGGCACCAAACCATCACCAAAGACAGACTCGACCGAGAAGCGTAGTTTCGCCTCATTCTCTCGCTTTACTCAGATAACCAAAGACAAGGTGGTCAAGGAGGAGCTTATCTGCTACATGAAGAGCAAGCAGGTACAGGGCACACTGACTCTGACGCCCTACCAATTCATCTTCCAGTCCAACGAGAAGAGTCCCACACAGATCTACACCGACTACAATCAAATCATCTCTTGTAAATACTTTCCCAACCATGCTGAATGGTTGGCGCACCTCTCCAAGTAAGTCCAACCCCATCCTGGAATGATTCCACTCACCTAATCAATCATATTAACATGCGCACCAACACCAACAGGGACTGGAAGAAGGAACAATATGTCATTCAAAAGAAGAACCAGGAGAAGGATTCAGAGTATGATAACTTCATCCAGGCAGAGATAACAAAGTTGAATGAGATGGGCGAGGAGATGAAGACGATCAATGTCAATAACGAGAAGAGGAAGGTACTGGTCTTCCCATGTATATACGTCCTGATCCATAAGGACAAGTTCATCCAGACATTGTTCTTTAGAGGTGTCGACGAGGAGAGCGTACACAAATGCTTTGCATTCCTCAAGCAGTCAATCTCTGAGATCAAGGATGGCTCTGGAGGTGGGTCAGGCTCACCACTGGTACATGGTGTGTCACCTTTGATGAATGGCAACAACAGTACGAATCATCATGCAGCTCCACCACCCATTCCATTCTCTTTGGATTCATCACCAGTTCTATCATCGGCGCGCTCATCATTCGATCAAGACAACTACTCCCCATCGCCCAAGTTGAAGATGCTTGGCAACAACAAGTTTAGCGAACAGGTACTTCTCACGGCTGATCTTTTCAAGAAGCTGCGACACTACCTACCCATCCATGTACAGGCATCAGACATTGAACTAAAGTACAACTCAACCAATGATGGTGTATCATTCAACACCTTTTATCGAAAGATGAGGAATGTTCCACAATCAATCCTATTGATCAAGGACAATGGAGGATATGTATGTACCAAGCCTGGCTTGCCATCATCATCCAAAGATGGATGTCTAACATGTCCCATCATCATCATAATCATGAACATTAGGTATTTGGAGCATACTGCTCGGCAGAGGTCAAACCAAGAACATCATATTATGGTAATGGCGAGACTTTCTTGTTTAAGATTGCACCAGAGTTCCAAGTGTTCAAGTGGACAAAAGAGAATGATCTATTCCTTTATACATCATTGGAGTATTTGGCCATTGGAGGAGGATCGATGTTTGGACTTTGGATGGATACTGATTTCCTGCATGGCTACAGTGGGCCATGTGAGACCTTTAAGAATGATTGTCTGTCCTTTGCCAGTGACTTTAATCCCATCGTTGTAGAGTTCTGGGCCATCCAATAAACATAGATAACTATATGTACATTGTTGTTGTTGGGAAATGCGATATGGTACGACTTGCATTATCTATTCTCATGGCGATCTGTCGTTTGTCATATAAATAAGTAAAGATTGATGATTTGATTGGTTTCTCTTGATAGCAAAGGAGTGAAAACAGTCTCATGGAGTTCAAAGGTGCCAAAATGGAGCCAAAGAGTATAAGTGCTTGGAACATACTCCATGGTGATCTTGCTGTTTGATTTGAAGTTGTAAACTTTGTTGCAGCGAGATGTTCTATCTCTACTAACTTGTTATTATTGTCGACAATGATGAGACCACCCTCCAGTGTATCACCAATGACATCATCTTGATTCATCTTCTTAAAATCACAAAAATGATATTAAGAGTGCATCACAACCAGAGTCATAAGAGTACATAGGACGCCTAGGAGAATAATAACAAATAATTAGAAACTTCTGGATAGTCAATCTATTCATTCAAACTTACCATGGAGAGTCATTTGAGACCTGAAGAGACTCTATTCCAATTATCTCAATATAATCTTCCCTCCTATATTAATATGGAAGAATTAGTTAGTTATGTTGGTAACTGAGTTAGTTATATATAGTTCACTTACATTTTTGATACTACTAAATTATCAATAATCCAACAACTTGGAGAATTCTAGAAAGATCTAATAAATAAATAAATAATTCTAATATTAGGAGTTCACTCTTCCCTCAATTCAACCATTAAAAACAGAGACTGGAACGAGAAATCACCATTTCTATTTCTAAATCTCTATCTATATTTCTATATGATTAGTCATTTCCAGACCAACATCACCTTGATAAAACATATCTTCCAGAGAGTCTCACATTGCTCTGATGTCTCACGATATGGCCTTGTATGCAAAAGTTGGCTAAAGATCAGTCGCGCAAACATCATCTGGGAGCCGCTACTTTTAAATAGATTGTTTGGTGATTATCGTGACAAAGAAGAAGAAGATGATGATGATGATGAGGATGACCATAACGTCAAAGATGTCAAAGATGATGACAAACAAATGGGAAGAGTAATACTGGCAGATGACAACAACAACAACAACAACAATGTCAACAATCTGTCATCATCATCATCATCATCATTGACCTATTGTATGCTTTACAAGTTACTATTTCCCTCTGACTTTCTTGTACCCTCTGCCTTGGTACATGTCCTCAAGTCAATCAACACTCTAGAGTCCAACTCATCTATATACCATAATGGTGACACAATCACAACAATAACAACATCAACAACAATAATAATAATAGCAGATTGACTGGTCACAAGAGAAAGGAGACTGATGATGTATCTCAACAATTGGCTCAATCACACTCAAACAGCATACTGACTCAAGAAGATGTTGATGCTTCAATCATTGCTTGTAAGACATTGATCACGTTCCTCTCGGATGGAGCAAAGAAGGTTTTTAAATACAAATGGCCAGGTGGACGTTTTGTACCAAGGGGAGAACCCTTGGTCATTGTTCAAGAGGCATCTGAAGATCAGCTGAAGGATGGTATACTACGTGTGTCCGATATCATTGAGGGACATCTCACTGTGCTCATTCCCAAAGAAACAAGACAATATCATCGAATGGTAAAGATCCTACTCTTCTTCAACTTTGCGATTTATCCTCGCGCCGAAAAATATAGAGTCAACAAAAATGTCGAGGATCTCCACCTTCATGTCACTTTATACGACTTTACAACGCACGGTGTCCAGACAATACATCTCATCAACCACCCCTATGACAAGAATCGTGAGTTTAAAGACTCGGAGACAGTAAGCGATAATATATCTGATTGGCTGGTCATCGAGGGACGGAACGAAAACCATTTCTATTTCAAGTTGGAGGATTTCTCAACACTGCATTCATTCTCTGATGGACTCATTGACCTTGAATTCCTCAATGGTCTGTTTGAACAAAGGGCATTGTCTCGCCTATCCCACCCATGGACAAAGTCTTACAATTATCGAGCAGAAATTTTGTCGAGCTTGGCACACCTCCATCTGTTCATTGACCAATCTAGCCTCGACCCACTCTCATTCAAAAGGATGTTTCAACAACATTTAAAGAAGCTGACTTACTATCGACAAATCCAGCCAGAGTTTGGATCGATGGAGGTAACAGAGTTGGAGCAAACCTTGGCTCTCTTTACCCAGATGTCAATCAACAATGACCACCTCGAATGGAGCGATAATTACTACTTTCATTCATTTGATTTCAATCGCCAATGTACCATAACATTTCCAGAACAGCCACGATCAGAGCCACTGTCAGAGTCACAACCCAAGCCCATCTCTCTTATATTCAACATTGTTTTGAATGGTCATTCACAACCTCTGCCTGGATCATCATCGTTGAGGATCAATGTTAAAGAATCGGATTCAGACAAATCTATAGAAGTGTATGACTCTAATTGGCTCCTCAAGTTGGCAAGTCCAATCAAATTCCGAACGCATATCACATCCTGCTTCAAGAAACATGGTATCACCATTGACCCAATGCTGCTTCTCCGATCTCTAGGCTTTGATAAACAGATCCGGTTGGAATACCTTAATGCGAAACAACGTTCTCTTCCAGTTCAATGGAGTCTGTATGTGCGTGACGAATACTTCTCGGACCATCCCCATGCACCGTTCAAATACATAGACCATGGTTCTGAATCAAACAGGGATTCCTCTGAATTCACAAACGAACTCCCTACCGTCCAGTACGACCACAGAGACATCAACAAATTCAATGATGACATCCTTGGACGAGTCAATGCCTTCATAAATAAAGTCGGCTTCACGGCCACACAGTCATGATAAGTGAACCAGAATACCTCGGGTCCAAGGCCACTTCCGATAGGGTGGATACAATTATTGGACAAAGGTGGTTAGGATGGCTGGGAGAAGACAAGAGGCATGATGATGTTTGTTACAATGTCCTGGACGCGACAGACAACTGGATGAAATCGACAGTTGACTGACGGTTACCAGGACCGTGATAGAAGGGGGTTTTATTACACAACATTGGACAGAGGAAGCTGGTGAGCTGTTCGCTTAGAAGCACTTTCTGTGGACGATGGATGGTCCGGACTCGTCGTACTCCTCCTTGGAGATCCACATCTGCTGGAAGGTGGAGAGGGAAGCAAGGATGGAACCTCCGATCCAGACAGAGTACTTGCGCTCGGGTGGGGCAATGATCTTGATCTTCATGGTGGATGGGGCGAGGGCAGTCAACTCCTTCTGCATACGGTCAGCAATGCCTGGGAACATGGTCGTACCTCCGGACAAGACGACGTTTCCGTAGAGATCCTTACGGATATCAACGTCACACTTCATGATTGAGTTGTAGGTGGTCTCGTGGATACCAGCAGACTCCATTCCGAGGAAGGATGGCTGGAAGAGGGCCTCTGGGCAACGGAAACGCTCGTTACCGATGGTGATGACCTGTCCGTCTGGAAGCTCGTATGACTTCTCGAGGGCAGATGAGGAGGCAGCAGTCTGCATCTCAGCCTCAAAGTCGAGGGCGACGTAGGCGAGCTTCTCCTTGATGTCACGAACGATCTCACGCTCGGCGGTGGTGGTGAATGAGTATCCACGCTCGGTCAAGATCTTCATCAGGTAGTCAGTGAGGTCACGACCAGCGAGATCCAGACGGAGGATGGCGTGTGGGAGGGCGTATCCCTCGTAGATTGGGACGGTGTGGGAAACTCCATCACCAGAGTCCATGACGATACCGGTGGTACGACCAGAGGCGTACAGGGAAAGGACGGCCTGGATGGCAACGTACATGGCTGGGGTGTTGAAGGTCTCGAACATGATCTGGGTCATCTTCTCACGGTTGGCCTTTGGGTTGAGTGGGGCCTCAGTCAAAAGGACTGGGTGCTCCTCTGGGGCGACACGGAGCTCGTTGTAGAAGGTGTGATGCCAGATCTTCTCCATATCATCCCAGTTGGTGACGATACCGTGCTCAATTGGGTACTTGAGGGTAAGGATACCTCTCTTGGACTGGGCCTCATCTCCGACGTAGGAGTCCTTCTGACCCATACCGACCATGACACCGGTGTGTCTTGGGCGACCAACGATCGATGGGAACACAGCACGTGGAGCATCATCTCCGGCGAAACCGGCCTTGCACATTCCGGAACCGTTGTCAATGACCAAAGCTTGAACGTCTTCTCCTTCCATTGTATTGTATGTGATTATTTAGTTAAAAGTAAATTATTTATGTGATTGAGCACAGTAGTAATGATTAATGTTGTTGACCATGGTCATTATAAAGGTATCGGCTGACACACTCATTCTGTCCAGTCAATAAACAATCATTTCATTATTATTCACTAACCCAAAAACAAGCCATCAGACTCAGTACAAAGCCATCGTCACCCACTGATGTTATAATTTCAAATTAATTTCAGAGACTACTCCAATGAAATAGTTTGAAAATGGGTCAAAAATAGATATTCAAGATGGGATGGGTAGTTGTCCAACTTTATCCTTATTACTTTGATTAGTGTAGAGAGAGAGAAACTCCAGTTTTGTTAATGGAACAAGCAAGTAAGATAGAAAATGTGAATGAATAATAGTTATGTACTTCTTGGGACTTGATAATTATATTTATTAATACCCTTGTTGGTTGTTTGAAAACTACAAGATGAAGGACTTTGATATAAGAAAGCTTATGAATTATGACCTAAGATAGTATGAAAGGTCTTAGGCGTCATGTCTGTTTCCTTGATCACTCCTTGATTATCATCAATCATTCAATCATTCATTGACAAGTCATTCTTGGCCTCACCCCTTGAACAGCCCAAACTTTGACTTTGTTCAAAAAAACGAACGAAAGAAGGATTATACATTCATAGCCCAATCAATCATTCAAAACAGATAATTAGATATATAGATAGATAAAAGGGATGTCCAAGATCATTAAACAACAACTGAGTATACTCAATAGAGATAAGGATACAGATGATAATGATAAAAGAGTAAACAAAGTTTATAAATCACCTCTTGGTATGTGATCAATCAAATCAATCAAATCACATCTTATCACATGTCATATTAACATCATCATCAAAAACAACAACAATAACATAGATATAATAAGAGAGAAGAAGGTAGATGAGAATGAAGTGTTGGCTGCAAACTTGGCATTGTTGCGAAAGAAGATGACAATCAAACAAAAGTCAAAGGCTGCTGAGAAGAAGAGAGATATAATAGATAAGGCTGTCAAGTGGACTGACCAAAGAGCAAAGCAACAAAAGGTCACTCTAAAGGAGAAGAAAGCAAAGAAGTTAAAGTCAACAAAGAAGGAGTCTCAAATGTTAAGTGACTTGATGAGATAAGATCAACTCACATCGATCAATCAATCAAACTCGACCGAACGATCAGTTGAGTAGTAAGCTATATTAAACGACCGATGTACTAGTGTATGCTGCTACATCGAATGTATATATTATATTATATTATCAATTCAAGATGGGAAGGTCATTGACAATTGAGTTGTGAACATATCTTGGATGGTACTGATGTTGTCTCTATTGATGTGTATATCACTCTGCCATGCTGCAAGTGCAAGAGTGAGCTTATCACGATCCTCACATCCAAGTACCGACTGCAATATCTCCTGCTTGTTATTCAATGATCCACGGTACATGTCAACGATGTCTATAAAGTAGTTGACTATGAATGAAGAGTGAGTGAGTAAGCATGCCAAGATAAGTCAAGACAAGACACAACATAACATACCAAAGCGAGTGAGATTGTTGTTGTTTGGATAGTTGGAGTGGACACGAAGTAGGGTATCCTTGCGTTGTGTTAACTTGTCGACGATGGTTGAGAGCTCGCAGTAGCAGCTGTAGAGTTGTTGGTATTGATCGATGACGGACTTGAACATTACATCTTTGAGTTGACGATGTAGATTGATGTTATCCTTTATAGATGTGCTCCATTCGTTGACATCGACGTACGTCAATCTAAGATGTGTGTTGACCATCTTGTTGGCAACCTTTGTGCCCTTGTCCCTAAAGATCGTCCATTGTTTGTCCAGTTCATTATACGCGTCTAGACATCCTGCAACTTCATCCATCACTCTTCATCATGTGATTGTATATATATATATATATTTATGATTGATTGAGTGGATATGAATGATTATTATTGATCGAATGTGTGTGTGTGAGTGTAGATCTGATCAATCAACAATGAAAAGACGAATGTGATCAATCAGTCATTCAAACATTATTTGATCACAGAGATATATATCACTATGACATCTCGTTGTTTAAACAGATCAAGATTGTTGAGTTATAATCATCGATCTCAACAACATAATGTCATTCACAATCAGCTGAAGCTCACTCAATGGCTTCAGTCAGTGACACTCTCTCAATCAACAAAGTCATCAACAAAGTCATCAATCACATCAAACAACAACAACAATGTACTATTATCTGTTTACAACAACTGTATATCACCAATGTATAGGAATGCACTTCATCCGACCATGACTGCTACCAGCCCCAACGCCTCTTCCACCATCAACCAGTTCACTCGATCATCACACATCCGAACATATTCCACCTCATCCCAGAGATCAACAACAGTCAACAACAAAAACAATACTGGTAACAACACTGGCAACAGCACTGGCGGCAGTGGAAATGGAAATGGATATGGCAACAGAACATACGCGACAGTTGGATTGGCTGGTACTATTACATTGTGTATTGCTGGATTGGTTATGCTCACATTCAATGATCAAGGTGTATTGATACAGGTCGCTCACTGCGATGATGGTACCAACAATGATGATGATGGTGCCACTACATCATCCATCGACAATCCAATATTCTTGCTTGACGAGGAGACTGATGAAGAGTGGAGCAGACAACTAACATCACATCAACTGTTTTGGAAATTGATTGGACGTGATGTATGGCTGATGGCATTTGGAATCGTCACTGCTTTGGTGTCCGCATACCTTGGCATTCAGATACCAAAGGTGTTTGGAAAGTTGATTGATTCGGCAAAGAAGGGCGAGTCGTTGCGTGATCCGGCCGTCCATGCCGTGCTCATCCTGCTGGCGCAGGCCGGACTCAACTTTGTCTACACGACCCTCATCTCAATCGCCTGCGAGCGCTACAGCAACAACCTGCGCAACACACTGTTCCAATCGCTGCTGGACCAGGAGGTCGCCTTCTTTGACTTCCACTCGACAGGTGACCTGATCAACAGGCTGACCAACGACGTGCAGTTGGTGCGCTCAGCGCTCAAGCACTCTGTGTCGCTGGGCGTGCGATCAATCGCTCAGATAGTTGGTGGAGTCGTCTCACTCTTCCTCATCTCGTCCAAGTTGTCGGTGGCCATGATCACAATCCTGCCAACAATGGTTGGCATAGGCACGTTGTACGCGGGCTGGCTCAAGCGCCTGTCAATCCGGTCGCAAGAGGCCATGGCTCAGTCGACGTCGGTGGCCGAGGAGGCCATTGGCAACCTGCGGACTGTCGTAGCGTTTGCCAACGAGGACTTGGAGGCGCGTAGATTCGCCGCCAAGAGCAAGGAGTCGCTGGACCTTGCGACCGAGACCGGTATCCAGATCGGCATTTTCCAGGGCGTCACATCAATGGCGCTCAACGCAGTCAGTTTGCTCGTATATTGGTATGGAGGCAACCTTGTGGCCTCAGGCGAGATCACCTCTGGCCAGCTGACATCATTCATCATTCATACAATGTCGATGCAGGCATCTTTCTCCCAGCTCTCCGTGCTCTTCACACAGATCTCAAATGCGTCTGGTGGCATGGAGCGCATCACAGAGATGATCAACCGTCAGTCGACCATCCCACGTCAGCGCGGCAAGCGTCTGGCCAACATCAAGGGCAGGATTGAGTTCGACTCTGTTGGATTCAGGTATCCCGCTCGCAAGAATATCCAGGTCCTCAAGGAATTCAATCTTACTCTTCAGCCTGGACAGGTCATCGCGCTGGCCGGACCAAGTGGTGGCGGCAAGTCCACTATCGCAGCATTGCTCGAACGATTCTATGACGCGAACGAAGGCACAATCACAATCGATGGCGTCCCCATTCAAGAGTTGAGCGCATCATGGCTGCGGAAACAGATTGGAATCGTCAATCAGGAGCCCGCACTCTTTGCCACGACCATCCTCGAGAATCTGAGCTATGGCAATCCAAACGCCACACGTGATCAGATTGAGGAGGCAGCACGCCAGGCCAATGCACACCAGTTCATCATATCCTTCCCAATGGGCTACGACACTATCGTTGGTGAGCGTGGAGTACAACTGAGCGGCGGTCAGAAGCAAAGGATTGCCATCGCAAGGGCCATCCTAAAGAACCCCAAGATACTCATACTGGACGAGGCTACAAGTGCGCTCGACTCGGAAAGCGAGGGTCTGGTGCAAGATGCCCTTCAGGTGCTGATGAAGGGTCGTACCACCCTGGTGATCGCACATCGTCTGAGCACGGTCCAGAATGCCGACTCTATCGCGGTGGTCTCCAATGGACGCGTCTCTGAGTTTGGACCACACGCCGTACTCATGGCCAAGCCCAATGGCCTTTACCATCAGCTTGTCCAGCGTCAAGTCCAACAACAAACAACAACAAGTTAAGTGTTATAGTGATGATCGATCAGTAGTCGTCTGTAGTTTATTCGCGTCGCCTCAGAGGTCTAGTCTTTAGTTCATCGATTTGACGTTGGACGTGTGGCATGTGTTCCACCTTTGGTTGTAACTGTGCCAACTCCTTGGTCTTGTTGAAGCTGTCTTTGTCCAGTTGAGTGACCTCCAATATCAATGCTCGCACCTGTTGTATTCCACGCTGCTCCAATGAGCTGCATTGAACAATGTTTGGCATGCAACTGAGGTTCTCCATGATCTCTGCCTTGACTGTCTTGTATATCCTCTTTAGTCCTGTCGGTGTTGCCTTATCAATCTTTGTCAAGATGATCTGGAATGCCACTCTATGCTCGTCCAACAACTTCATCACCTCCAAATCATTCTTTTGACATCCAACTTTGCCATCAATCAACAGGAACACCTTCAACAAGCTATGTTTGAATGATTGATTGAGTGATTGATTGTTAGTGATTGATTGAATGGATATCATGATCAAACATACTGATGTGATGTGAGCAAGTACTCTGATATACTCCTGCCCCAGACTGAGGCTTTTTCTTTGGATACTTTGGAGAATCCATAGCCTGGCAGGTCGACCAGCATGATCTTCTCCCATAGTGAGTAGAAGTTGATTGACTTTGTACATCCGGGAGTCTTTGACACTCGGGCCAGCTGATCGCCAAGTAGTGTATTGAGCAGCGTGGACTTGCCCACGTTGGAGCGACCGACAAATGCGATCTGTGGCAGTGGGTTGGTGGGGAAGTCGGCGGCCTTGATGGCCATGGTCACCAGCTTGGATTGATGGGCAAAGAAGTAGTCGGCGAAGCGTATCACTTCGGGACTGTATCGCTTGCGGAAGTCGAGTCCATCGATCAGCTCCTGCGGGATCTTGACCTTGGTCAACTCCTCTGTCTGTTGCTCGATCATCAGCTGTTTGATCTTGTCCTCAAACTCTTTCTCGTTCTTTGTCGACTCTTCTGTGACCATATATGACGTGGCCATAATACGCTCTGGATCGATTGGTGCCAATGGCTCTCTCGGCTTCATCTTCCTCATCTCCTTCTGTTTATTTACAATCTCGCTACTTGTGAATGGAATGAATGACTTTCTCGGTGCGTCATTTCCTCTAAGTTTCTTCTGTGCAGGTCGTACTCCTCCACTCCTAGTGTTACCTGTTGCTGATGATGATGGTCGTCTGTTTGTCTTTGTCGATGATGTAGATGTAGATGATACTGCTTGATCGGTCGATGTTGATGTTGATGCTGAGGTTGTAGTGAATGTATTAAGACCCAACCATTTACTGTACACGTGACATCTTAAGATGGATTGTGTTGGAAATCTTAAAGATAACATTGATTTATATATGTATATATGTATATATACGATTGTGTGAACAATAGATTAATACATCGACTCGTTCGTCTTTGTGGAGCGAAAGTGTGAACAAAGTTTGGACCAAAAGATCGCGTGTCGACTAATCGACCTTGTGTTGTTTTACAACATCAATTATGTCATTGTTTATAATTCCATAAGCTGCAGAGGAGAAGTCAGGTTGGAGAGCTTTGCCATCGAATAGAAATACAATTGATTTTAGATTGAGGGATAGACGTATGCAATAGGCCTCCATTAGTTTCCTGAGAGGAGTTGTTGTCATTATTTTGAAGATTACATCCACTCCGTCATAGTTCTGAACTCGAAGGTTCAAATGTTCGGCATTCGAGGTGACTGTTACAATTGCTGTTGTCGCTGTTGTCGCTGTTGTCTCTGTTGTCGTTGTTGTCGTTGTAGTCGGTACAATTGTATTGGGTGGATCCACTCGTGGTTTCTTTTGTTGTTGCTCCACTAGATCAACAGATTGAGATTGAGCAATAATGATTGGTGCCACTCCATTTGTTGATGACGAGAGACTCAAATTGTGTTGTTGTTGCTCCACTGGACCAACAGATTGAGATTGAGAAGGAAGGGATGTTGGTGCAGCCACTCCAATTGTTGTTGTAGTTGATGACAAGGGACTCAAAAGGTATTGTGGATCCCAAATGATGATGTCTGGTTGTTTGCCAAATTGATCTTTATACAATGTCAATGTTCGTTGATATCTCGTGCTCTTGATGTCTTCTTTATCGTACTTTGATGATAGTCTGTGATTCAATGTCATGTTGACTGCACTGCACATTGATGTATAGCTTTCCAACTCTAATACATGACATCGCCACACCTTTTCAATTGGGAGTGATGGCAATAGCTTTGTTGAGTCCACATCGGATTCAAAGACCTTCAATGCAATGAAGTGAATGTATTCCTTTATCAATCTATGTCCATGCGCTTTGAGTTCATTATGTTCCTTCATCACAAGATCATGCAATGCAATCTGATCAACACTGTCTCTACAACCTTTCTTTTACCTCCCATTATTATCTATAGGTACTAATATTTGTATATTTGGAAACAAATAAATGTTTGTGAAAGGTTTGTATTTAACATCATTTATTATGCAGTATTCCATCTCGGCATCAACAACCCTGTTGTTCAATAATAATATCAATTATGTCATTGTTACGCATCTTATATTCAGCTGGTGTTAGATCTCCTTGGATTCTCCCGTTATACAAGAAGCGTATTGAATTTGGATTGATTGATTCACGTTCGCAATAGGCATCCATCAGTTTCTTGAGAGGATCTTGGCAATGTCAATCTTTACTTTTTGGTCGACGTCTCGCTCACACCAACTCTGAGAGGAAGAAACGAACGGTGCCTTGGAATGTGGTGGTGGCTGGCCCGCTGATGAATACATTGTCGTCTTCTTGACGCCACTCGACATCGATGTTGCCACCATCCATCTGAACTGTACACTTGCGATCGTTCTTGCCTCGTAGTACACCAGCCACTACAATGGCACAGGCACCTGTGCCACATGCTGATGTGGATCCGCATCCTCGTTGCCAAACACGGGCGCGCACAACACTCGGCGACAAAACCTCTACAAACTGAACATTTGTTCTCTCTGGGAAGATTGGATGCGATTCGATCACCTCACCATAGTGATCCATTGGGAAGTCCTCCACGGACTCTAGGTGGACTACACAGTGCGGGTTGCCCATGTTGACAAGTGTCGAGTTGATAAAGTGTCCTTTGTAAGGTATCATCTTGCAATAGTCCTCCAACTTGGAGGTGGTCGACAGTAACTTGGTGTTGGTTGACGGTTGTTGAGATAGGAATGGACAAGAGTCATTGGTACTCTTTGGTGAAGTATATACATTGTTGTTGTTGTTGATCTGTTCGACTGTCGATGCAACCTGTGGACGTCCCATGCACACCTTGACCCAGAGAGTGCGCGAGTTGTTGTCTGGATGTGTGGGCAATGGATAGGAGTGAACGAGGCCAGCAACAGTTTTGATTGTGAAGCTCATCCGAGGATCGAATCCGCCATAGGGTGATTGACTTTGTGATTGAAGCGGTCCAAACGTTGTGAAGAATGGCACAAGATGTTGACAAAGGTTGTGTTCAATGTTGTTGTTCACGATATGGCATGCCTGTGTCCCATTGTTGGTAACATTGCCATAGGGCTTCACTTGATAGTCGATGATGAACTTTGATAGACATCTCGTGCCATTACCACAGATCTCTGCCATGCTGCCATCCTCGTTGAATATCAGCATTTGGTACTGTGCGCCACTGTCTTGTGGCGGTGGTGTGATCACCAACATCTGATTGGCCCCGACACCTGTCGTGCGATCACAGAGGTATCTAGCAATGAGCTGGAGATCACTGAGTGCTGGAGGGTTGATGCTCACTCCGGTAATCTCATTGATCAGACTGTCAATGTGGAAGACGATAAAGTCGTTGCCACATCCGTGCATCTTTGTAAAGTGCAACACTAGAGGTGGGTCATCCAAATCGTTTCCATGAGTAACCTGCTGTGCTTGATGTTGTTGTGACTCATCAACATCCATACTTTCTTCATGAGTATCATTATTGTTGTTGTTGTTGTTGTTGTTGTCTGTGTTGTTGCCTTTGGAGGTATGTTGTTGTTTTTGTTCGAGGAGATAATGACTTTCAAAGTCAATCGAGGGTACTTCTCGATAACATTTGTCTTCTTCTTTGTCCATCTTTGTTAATATCTATATTCATTCATACATAGAGAGAATAATAATAATAGAGATAATAATAAAAATAAGTCTTTTCAAGTTATAATTGGATACCTGAATCTCTTTCAATCCCAGGAACAACTCGGCAAAAGTAATGTATCAAGATATTTCTAGATCTAAAAAACGAGATATTTTGATCAACTTGCCAGAATTGGAAAGTGATCAAAAAACTCAACAAATAATTGATCAACAAATATTATTTAATACATGTAATAATAGTTATGGAGTCACTACCGCCATTAGTAATACTTAACATTGGATATCAATTGAAGAATGAATACAATGCTATCTCAGACTTTGTTTGTCTTTCATTGACATGCAAACGTTTGTTATTGTTACTTATGAACAAGTTGATGTCTCCTTCAGGTCGTTTATTCCTTCCTCCATCATTAGTTCAAGGTTCATCATCATCAACAACAACATCATCTCAAACAACAACATCATTTTCTCCACTAAAGATGTACTGTAATGAAGCAATAACAAAGTTCCCAGAGTCGTTGACAGAGTTGATACTTGGAGATAACTACAACTCACCACTCGATAAAGACCCTCTCCCTGCATCACTCAGATCATTGACATTGGGAAAGAGTTTCAAACATCCCCTTCACATTGACACTGGAGATGGTAGAGGAATACAGTCATTACTTCCCCCAACACTGCAGACCATTGTCTATGGAGAGCTCAATCAACCTTCGAACCAACGGCATATTGTGGAACCTGATATTATTAATACTGCGCCACTACGGTCGTCATTAACCTCGTTGATCTTGCATTTCTATGGAGATATAATCGAGTTCAATGGATTCAAATTGGTGTCATTGACTACTTTGGAGTTGTATCAACTCCGTCGTATTAAACTCAATGCACCATTGCCACAATCTCTAACATCGTTAGTTTTTGACGTTGTCCATTGTGTGCCTCTGCTCATGAGCACACCTCTGCCAACTTCGCTAACCAATCTAAGGTTTGGCGACCAATTCATGGAATCAATCACACCGGGCATTCTACCAACGACACTAAAGACATTGAGGCTCGGAGAGATGCAACAACTTGATGGCTTTCAACCAGGTGGATGGCTTCCAGAATCATTGGAATCACTAAGATGGTATATCAAAGAGAGGCGGCCGATCATACCAGGTTTGCTGCCTGAACATCTTGCACACTTCCACTATGGTGGGTTCTCTAACATGTTTATCCGGCCTGGAGTTCTACCGAGATCACTTACCTCGTTGGTGTTGGGTGTTCAGTTCAACCAACCTCTGCCGGCAGGCTCGCTACCAGACTCATTGATCAAACTTACTATGGGTTACAGTTATTCGCAACCTTGTAAGAATGTTGTATTGCCTCCATCACTAGAGACACTGGCAGTGGAGACCTTTAATCAGGTGGTCTATGCAGAGAGACATAGGACTGGGTCGATCAAGTCGATGGAGGTTATTGGTTCAATCAAACCAGGAAGAGTGGTTCGAAAAAGACAAATATCGATCAAACTAGATACATTGTCATTGACACGAAATACCTACTATAGTCCTGGACGAAGTCTACATCAGTTGGCATCATCTCTACTGTTCACAGCTCCACGTGTGGCAACAATTAATATACGATGTGTTATGGATGATCTGGACAGTATACAGTTGAGAAGGCTTGGATCACCCTCTGCACTGGTAATCATGAGGCGGAATAAGAAAATTCATGGATGGACTGATCAAAATGATATTCGAGTAATGTTTATTGAATCAGGTCTATCACCACCTCGTCGTAGAGTTGGACCAAGGGCAATCAAGAGATCTGGACTATTATCCAAAACATATAATCATTATCAATATCGTTGGATACCAAAGTTACAATCAATTTGGGAAGAATACTTCTTTATATGGATCGTATTAATCTTAATTCTGATCAAGGAACTCTTTGGACTACTTACCAAGTGATCAGCTGATCAACAATCAATCATCTGATTGCAGTACTATCACGTGGCATAATAATATTATTTTTGGATTAAAGGAAGGTGACAATAATTTATTGTAACAACGGTGAATGAACTAACCAACTAAACTATTTAGAAGGCAGCAACGCAGGCGTGACCTCCGGTTGGGGTGGAGAGACAGGATTGACCAGCTGGGCATGGGACGATTCCACAGTTGGTGTATGTGTAGCAGCCTGGAGCAGAGGTACCTGGGAATTGGTAGCAAGCAGTGTTGGATGGGCAGGTTGGGCAGACAGAGGCGGCGACGCAGTGGGCAGAGCCGTTGATCACGAGGCAGGATTGGCCAGATGGGCATGGGACGATTCCACAGTTGCCAAAGGTGTAGCATGATGGAGCGCTACCGGCGGCACCATAGCAAGCTTGGTTGGATGGGCATCCAGTGGTGGCACAGGTGGAGGCGTTGGCAGTGTAGATGCAGGAGAGGACGATGAGGGCGACGATAACCTTGAACATTTTGTTTGGTATTATTATTTAATTGATTGGATTATTAATTATTACTTAAGATAATTTGTTAATGATTTGAATATTACCAAATAAGTTGTATATTTATAATTAATCAATCAATCAATCAGAGTGTATTAGGAACAACCCTACCCTACCCTAGGGTACTAGGACAAGAATGGTAATGTCATGGTTTCGGTCGAAGAGACAAATGGGTTGTATCTGTGATCAAGTGATTTTGATTGGATTGGCGGAGAGCCGTATGTGACCATCAGATGACATCGAAGTCATATGACTTTCTTCAGATTCTCGACTCCAACTCACTGATTCTTTGTGTATAACCTATGCGGGGTGGGAGGGGTTCGATGTCAGACGAGCAAGGTCGGACACTGGCCCCATGTGTCATCGGACTCATTTTTTGATCAAAATCGGCCTCCTTCGCTCCCTGCGAACATCACACTTGGTCGACCTTTGGGATGTCAAAGGTTCGACGTCTATCATTTGCTTGAATTGACGGGTCTGTATGCGGGGTGCCACCTTGTTCATTGAAGGCCAATGCTTTGCTTAAAGGTGACGTCGTCACTCTGATGGAAGGTGTGGCGCAGTGACTGATCAACTTCCCGAATGTGTTGGCAAGTTGGTAAAGAGATTGGCGCGCTGGCCAGGTAACATGGAAAGAATGAAGAAGAATGAATGAACATATTATCAATCAAACAAAGGTTATTATTCATCCTTAATCTTCCTCCACTCCTTGCTATTGTCGTCTTTCTCAAAGCATGAATCGGGTGGATAGTGTAGTAGATGGATGAATGTATCATCTTGGTTGAGTACACTGGCCAATGATACTGTTTGGAAGTTGGCATGGTTGGCCAGATACTCGTCGGACTCGTCACCTTGGAAGATGCGCCAGCCACTGTCATTGGCGATGGTCTTGATCGGATCCTCGCGGAACATGTAGCCAACCTGCCGGTTCTTGTCCAGTGCCATACGCGACACAAGACAGAACTGTGACGTGAAGATACGTTGCTCCTCCGTGAGGAATGAGGACTCGTTGGGTTGGTCATAGATCGCGAGTATGTGGTTCCTGGCAAAAGATACAGTGTCGCCAAGTGTCAATGTACGCATTTTGTACGGTGAGTTGTCCAGTGTTCCCTTGAATGTCTTGTGTCCATCATCAATATGTGTGATTGATACCCACATCCTCTCGATGAAGCATTCATTATTAGTGTCATTGTTGTTGTTGTTATTAGGTTGTTGTTGTTGTTGTTGTGTTGTGGATGATAATGTAGTTGATTGATTGATCACACTTGATGAGTTGTTGTTGTTGTTATTGTTGGTTGCGGAGGGATTCGAGAATGATGTACTACTGCTTGCATGTGGTGCATCTACTTGGATACAAGATTGGTTCAGGGTGGCATCGGTACTACCTTGTTGTTGTTGTTGTTGTTCACTGGATGGATCCTCTCTGAATATCAATTTGACCAGGTCGCCAACTTTCAGTCTGTCAATCTGTTGTTCTGATGGGACTGTGAATGTATACTTGAAGGCCAAACTTCTCTCAACTGATTGATCGATTGATTGAATGAGATGGCAAGGGTCAGGTTCTACCATCCAAGGGTGAGCGAGTGATTCGTTGTTTGGTACTTACTAACATCCTCTACTTCATACATGTTTGTTGTTTGTTTATTGTTATTACTTTGTTAGTATGTGTACTACTCTTTTATGTTGTAATGATGAGATAAGATAAGATTCGTGTTGAGTAAGTGTCTCTGTTCCTTGCAAAGATCCCATTTTTATCATTTGGGCACTTTTGTCTCAATTTGATTGGAACACGGTTCAAAACCTGTGGTGGGATTCATTGTTGTCTTTGAGTTGATCCAAATATAGTTTATGATCATGAATCATTTATATCTAAAATCATTCACATAGATTTAGGACATAGAATGATTAATAGATTGGATTGTATATATTAATATTAAAATATCTATATATATTAGATTGTTACCCAACAATCAAGATGAAACGTCAACCTTTGAGATCGTTGATGATTCTGAATTGGCTCCCTTTTTGTTTTTTTTTGAAAGAATCTCCCAATCAACGACTTGGTTCCCACCTTTGTTGACAACGATTCACCTCATACACTGTCACTCATTATTAAATTATGAGGTGTTGACACCATTCCCACTCATTCATTCTTCCACTCTATCAACTCTCACTCACTTATTATCTATCTATCTATCTCATCATCATACATCACATATATATATAATATTTGTTAGTTAGTTAGTTATTCATGTTAAACAATAATAATCAAGTGAGAGAAAGAGATGGATACTAATCAGAATAATACCAACACCAACAATAATAATAACGTTGGTTGGTTATCATTACAACAACTACCTACTTCAACATCAAATATGATGATGAAGATATCACCTCGTAACAATACACAATCAACAACATATAATTATATATCACCATTATCATCACCAAAGTCTACAAACAACATCTTGTCAGACACAATACATATGTTCTCACTTGGTGGAGGTGGAGGTGGCAATGGCAATGGCAATGGACATAATATAAACAGTGCATTATATGATGATGAGCAGTCATTCACAATGCTTAACAACAACAACAACAACAAGAGATCAAATGTACACATAGTCAATCAACAAAGTCAATCAAAACAGCAGCAGCGACAACCCTCATCAAAGAAGCAACAAAAGAAGTATCAACAACAACTACAACAACAACAACAACAACAAAAGAAAAAGAGAAACAATAAGGATCATGTTGATGGTGATGATGATGATGGGGACGAAGAGTTCTTTGATACCAATTCAGACTTTAGTGTGTTGACCGTATCAACAAAGGAGGACTTGGAGGTCTGTCTCGGTGTGTTGAAGAAGGAGATATATCAGTTCAGGAACTTATCGGACAATCTGATTCAACGTCTGGCCACACTGGAGAAGGGCGTTGGTGATGAGCGCAACAGCCAGGGCAACACACCGCTGCTACCCTACGCGCTCGACTCGAGTAGCGACAGCAACAACAGTCTCAATGACTCTGCGTCGTTGGGTCAGGCGCCGGCGCCCACCTCGCCCTTTGATCTGGACAGCGAGCGCAGGATCTCTGTGTGCATCAATGACATTCACCAGCTGCTCGAGCGTCAACACCAATACGAGACACTGTTGGCACAACGTGAGCACTTTTGGGAGCACGAGATTGACTCGTACAAGGCTCGTCTGATGGGTCACTCGCCAACAGGCACTGGATTCAATGCCAATGGTGGCAGCGCAGGTCACTTGTCAATCAATGCTGACCTCGATGATAATTGTGATGATAGTGATGACTCCAACTCATCGTCCTCATCATCTACGTCTTCTTGCTCGTCAACATCAATGCTGCGGACTCATCATCTGTCGTCAAACAACTCGTCACTTGACACCACCCATCAGCCACAACGACCACAGCCACAGACATCTCTGGTTCGACGTGTATACCTCTACTTCTTTGGCCCCAAGTCAACACTGCTAAGGAAGGTACTGGTCGTTGCCGTTGTGGTTGTCGTGTGGCCCATCGTATCATCCTTCCTCTGGAAGGCGTTCAGAGCATGGCTGGCAAGGAGAGGACTCTCTGGCTCAGCCCTGCTCAACCAAACCACCAACCAACACGCTGTACATAGTCAAACATCAACGTCTGCCTCGTCGTCGGGCGGCCCCATGTCGTTGATGAACAACCTTAACAACAACCTCAACAACAAGAACAACAAGAAGAAGATCCCAAAGATTGGAGCACCAGACATTGTCAAGGCCTTCCTGCAAGGCGTCAGCACTGGCGATGGCGGCAGCAACGTCAACATGACCAACAACGCACTGACAACACTCACCAACTCCATACTGAATCCAACGACATCATCACTGTCCACAGCGCTATCACAACTCTCACCCAGCTCATCGTCGACGGGATCATCATCACCGTCTTCAGCCGTAGCCACTGCCGCGGCCACCCTTTCCTCTGCGGCATCCTCCGTCACCAATGCGATCACATCGAGCGCCTCCCCCTCCTCAACACCATCAACCTCACTCCTCACCAACTCCAAAGAGAAAAGAGAGACCAACCAGCGTATCCTATTCAAACTCGTCAAGAACCTCTTGAAGAGAAACAGTGGAGACAACCATCATGACAATGATACAACTACAATAATAACATAATCATGTTGTTGTTATACATCTTGATATTCATACTTCAGCTCGAGAATTAGATTTGATTGATTTCTTAGTTTGCCTGGTTCGTTCGTTTGTTTGATTGATGTGATACATGTCATAAGTGTCAAATCTGTGCTCGCAACGTGGTGCATTTGGGGATAGTTTGTTCTAGTCCTGGGCCATCAATTTGATTAATTTCAATTAAAGTGTGTATTCCGTTCCCCCTACTATCACATTATCACACAATCAGACGTTCACCATCTACCCCTCAAACTTCCCACCAACACACCACACTTTGATCAATAATACACATCCCAATCATTTGTGTTTGATTCCATTCAATAAACTGCACTCACTCATTCATTCGAGCTATCCATCCTTCCATTGTTCAATCATATACATATCTTAATTCATTCATTCCATCACTTCATACATACCATATCATAACAACAATGAACAAGTCATTGTTGATATCTTTCATTCTGGTGGCATCATTGGCCACCACCTTGGCTCAAACATCCTTCGACTCATCATGTGGTATGTAGGCATAACAGTAACATGTTGCTTGCTATAATTATAGATCAATGACTGACCACTGACTCACCCGACACTCCAATCTGAACAACAACAGTTTGGTGGCTTTCATCCATCTCAACGAATGAGACAGATTGCTCAAGAACAAAGTATGTAGATTCAGAATGACTTGGGATTGGACGTGAGATGTCCTTGCAGTGGCGACAGCATGCATACTCGCACGATGATGATGATGATAATGATGACTCGATGTTGACACACCAACCATACTCTATTCTCTCCCTCTCTCTCTCAGCCCTTGCTCCCATCTCAAGTCTGCTTTGGACTTTGCCAACGCCTCACCTTCACCTTGCCCATCCAATGAGACAAGATACATCTATTTGATACCGGATGGAGTCTATTATAACTCTAGTGGTATTAGATTGGACTATAACTACGATCCAAACAATGCCTACTCCACAATCATTGTCAGCTCGGCGTCACCCGTCGTTTTGACCCAGAATGTCACGCTGCCATTGCCACCAGCACCAATGAACGCCGTCATTGATGCCAGCAACACCACCTTCCACGCGCGTTTCTTCCTCGAGAACACCAACTACACCTTCATTGGCATCACCTTCAAGAATGCAAATGCCTCTGGTAACATCGGATTCCCAATCTTCATCTATCCCGACACCATCGCCGTTAACTTTATCTCATGTACCTTCCAAGAGTATGTCATAATCATTGATCAGCTGACTGGATCGAGTCACGTGCACTAACATACACCACATCAACTACTTAGTAACTTTGGTCTAAAGGGAGGTCTGCTCTATTGGAACCCAATCAAGTCTTCATTCATTAACAACTGCACATTCATCAACAACATTGGAGGACCATTGAGTATGGGTGGTGCCATCTTTATAAAGGATAACGCCGCTTCATTGAGCATCGATAACTCTACCTTCACCAACAACAATGCTTCTGTCGGTGGTGCCCTCTACGTCGAGGACTCCAAGGTCGTGGTATCCAACAGTAACTTCACATTCAACCGTGCATTCAATGGATCAGGTGTATGTTATATTACATTGATTGATTGATTGATTGGACACTAACCAACTTACTCATCAATACTATATAGGGTGGTGCTTATGTTCAATCAGTTGGCGTCAGTGTTGGAAGCAACTGGAAGAATATTGTGTTCTCAAACAACAGCGCCATCAATGGTGGAGCATTGTTTGATAAGTTGTCCACTTTGGAGTACGCTAATATTAAGTTCGAATTGAACTATGCCTCGTTCAATGGTGGCGCCGTCAACCTGCAGGATACACTTTCCAGCATTGTGCAGTCGACGTTCCACCAGAACTCTGCCTTCAACGGAGGCGCCGTCTTCACCTTTGACTCTGTGCCCAAGAACAAGCAGCTGCTGATCAAGGGCTCCAGCTTCACCGCCAACACTGCGCAGATCGGTGGTGCACTGTACTGCAACTCCACCACTGCCGGTCTCAACGTGCAAAACCACTTTGCACAGAACTCTGCCGCTGGCAACAAGGACACCAACGCCGAGTACTGCTCCAAGACATGTCTGACGGCCTTTGGCCTGTGTGGATGTATGAATGGCTGTGGTCTGCCACCCCCTCCCAGCACTGCCACTGGCACCGAGACCAAGATTGCCCTGGGCATTTTCATTCCAATCACAATCATTCTGCTGGGTGTCGTCTGTTTCCTCCTGTGGAAGACCAACAAGAACAAGCAAAAGTTGCAACAGAGAGCTTACGATGAGATCAGACTGCAACCAAGTTCACCACAAGAGAACGACCTTTAAAGGGATCGATGTCCACAACACATAATAATAATAACATGAACTATAACATCCAATCACCTTTGAGTTGGGGTAAGGGCAAAGGTAAGGGCAAGGGCAAGGGCAAGGGTAAGGTGAAATTAGGGAAATGTTGAAAGTGATCGGACAAGATATGTCATTTGCAGAAACGAGCGAGACATAGATAGAGATAGAGATGGACTCCAACTCACTTATTACATTACAACTACAATATAGATTGATAGATTATATACACAATGATGAGTTGACAAGCAAGGAGATAATGAACATTGCAAAGGTGTGCTGGCGTTGGTTTGAATATTGTCAATCAAAGGTCTTCATAAAGAATAGGTTTAAGTTGGATTTAGATGTCGACAAGAACTTGATAATGAATGGGAATGTTCATGGAAGAATCATTGAGCTTATCAACTCTCGTTACTCATTGAAACGAACAACCAGCATCTCTTCCATCAATATTCGACTATGTAAAGCAACAACAACTTTCTTAGACAAGTCTAAACAACAATATCTCACAAAATTCATTATGGATCACTTGCCCAACTTGCAGGAAATACACTTGGCAGGCATGCTAGATTCAGGAGTAGTACAAGTTATCAAGGCATTGGACAAGGATATTGGTGCCGAGCGAATGTCAAGCATGGAACTCTCATGGAAGGCCAAGTATGGAATCAATGCAGACGGCATACTTGCTGGAGGAGAGAAGATCAGTCAGGTACCTCCATCATTGAGAAGACGCTTCAAAAAGTTCAATTTGGTGATTGATATTCTTGTGGATGACGAAGGATTGAGTAGGATCATTGAGGAGGTTGGAAAGCTTCGACCCACCTATCTCAAACTCTGGATGACGGCAGAGGAGCCCGCTTGGCACATGAGCTACGAAGACCTCAACCCAGAGAATGGACGACTGGAGACTCTCATCATTGGAGGTGACTATGTTAGTTTGAGCGACATTGACAATATGCTGGATAGTACCAAATGGCCTAAACTACGTCGTCTAAATGTGTTGATGGATGGCACTCCATCTTCTACTCAATAAGCTTGATCAAGATACACCTTGCATCAAGGACTACTCCTGTGATGGCAATTCATCAGATTCATTCGAATATATAGATCGACTTTGCCAATCCCTTGAGGAAAACACTACACTACAGGAACTGGAGCTTAGTAATATCTGCTTAAAGATGTTGCCAACTGTGTTGTTGGCTCTGGCTCTACAAACGGCGACCAGTCCTTATCACACAAGGTACTTGAGTTCTTTGCAAACTCATTCGCCCAAGTCTTCCAACATAACAATACACTTGTTGGGCTAACAATTGGAAACCTTCAGATCATCAACAACGACTTCTTTGAAACACTCTCACATCACAACAACACATTGACCAAGCTCTACTTGATCGATGGCACTATCAACGATGACCATGTTCCAATCAAGAGCATCAACACATACATCAACAACATCTACAGCAACAACAACAGCATCAACAACAACAGCAGCAACAACAACAACAACAACATCAACAGCATGTTAATCAACAAGGTCAACAGTATATTTACCAAGCGCCACCATCTCATGAGGTGCCATATTTCAACTACTACTGGGGCCAACAACAACAACAACAACAACATCCTCATCAACAACTAGCGCATCAACAACAACAGCACTATCATCAATGATTCAAAGAAACAAACAACTTAAGTCGCTTTCTCTATCTGGAAACAATCTCACACAATGGGAGCCAATCATCCAAGCATTGAAATCAAACACTACATTAACATTCATCAATGTTAGAGATACTCCATCACTTTCAAAAGAGTTGTTGGAACAAATTACATCTCTTCCAAACCTTGAGGATGTATTGTTCGGTGTTAGCGAGCAGGACGACGACTAGGCTAGACCCCTCAATTGGATACTCCACTACACAAGTTGACCATCCACTGGTGTCATACAGTCCCACTCTCACGATGATACCCCTACTACCTCTAAGGTATAGGGATATTGAAATGAGACCTAACCCTTTGTCTGAATGTGGTCATCGGGGATAATAAATGACAAAGTGAGTTCAATCTCTTGGTTGAGATATGTCTGGTGGGGTAACCAATTTAGTTGTTGTCCCCGCAAACACACTTCCTCGCCCACTCAATTTGAACATCCAACCAAAGAGCCGGGCACCACAATGGTCCAATTCCGAGTTGGACAATACCTTGCTAACTCTAGTCGGATGGATGGATGGATGAATAGATTGATATGATATCATATATATACACTATTATTATTCAAACAAACTATATATTATAACTAACTACATAAATAATGGCATTAAACTTATTATCAAGATATATCGTTGAGGACTTGCCTCCAAAGTCCAACAACATGATATGTGTAAAGAGCACTGATACAGTTCCTTTTGTATTTAAAGTATGTTAATATGTTGACTCTGAGGTATACATTGTATATCTAACGTAACACTCTCTATTAATTAGTTATTAGCAAACAGCAATATATTGGCAGCTCCAGTATTGAATGAAGATAACAGACCAATTGGATTGATTGACTTTGTTGATATTGTATGCTGTGTTGTACAGATTATCAATCATACTGGATTGATGGGTAATGACTACCATTCATTCATTGAGAGAGAGGATCTTTTGGAGCATACCTATGCATCCCATATTACAGGTATGTTTGCTTGATTGATCCTTCATCCTTTCGAGGAGTATTAACATTATTTGTGTATAGACCTTTCACAGAGGAACCCTTTCATCCCTGTTGTACAGGGAGCATCCTTGTTGGAAGCCATCACAGTGATGGCTAAGAACCAGCTTCATAGGTATGTGAAGTGGCCTTCAGTTAGGGTAATGCATATACTAACTTGAATGAATCTCTTTAGAGTACCAATCGTATCCAATGATATGGAGTCTGGTTTGGGACCAAAGATTATAAACTTGGTCACTCAATCTGCGATCGTGCAGTTCTTGGCCAAGCATATGGATGATCTTGGCATTTGGAGTAACAGAACTCTAAAGGATCTTGGATTTGTACAGAAGCCAGTGATCTCTATCAATTTCCATAAGAGAGCATTGGAGGCATTCCAGTTGATGGCTGAAAAGGTAACATCTTGATCATCGTCATCTCGAAAGTTAACTTACTAACTCTTATGTTAGAGAGTCAATGGTATTGCAGTTGTTGATGACAGGAACCAACTGTTGGCCAACATTAGTGCAAGGGATCTAAGAGAGTTGTTGAATGAGAATAGGTTGTTCGATGATCTCTACAAGTCTGTCGGTGAGTTTGTGACCAAAGTTAGACAACAAGATTATCGTGGTGTGCATCCTAGTATCTGTTGTTCACAAGAGGATACGATGCGCAAGTTAATAATGAGTATGGCCGCAGCTAAAGTACACAGAGTCTACATGGTGGATAGTGATCGTCGACCCACCGGTGTCATTTCCTTGCACGACATTCTCCTAAGTCTTCTAGACCACGTCAACTCCGGAACAGGATGCAACTAAACAGAATGATTGATTCATTGGATTGATTGATCATGATTAGAGTGTGTCGCCCGCAACTGGTGTACCACGTCCGTCTTTTCCAAACAATCATTCAATCAATCAATCCATCTATCTATCTATTCTCCCAGGGCTAAGAAACAAGATGACTCAACACATTCGTTTCGTCCTTCTTTGCAAAGATACTCACACATTCACACACATTGTCAAACAAACTACTCACAACACACACATTCACTACATAACCTCACCTTCTATCTACATGTTTGTTGTCAATAATCAAATAAATTGAATTGAATTGAAGAGAGATAGCGAAGGTATAACACCACATCTTTGAGACAACGACTATTATTCATAATCTTCCATTTTAGTATCAAACACACACTAGGTTTTAGATTTCGAACAAGAAAGAGTGAGTGTTTGCGCAAGATAGAGAAGTTGACTTGGTTCCCAATTATGATGTCCACGCACTCACTAATGTTACTTACTTGCTTATTCAAACAAAAACAGATAGATAGATAATCAATTATTATTATTATTACTATACAGATAATACAAAACAGATATATATATACAAACATATAGAAAGACATGTCCGACGAAATTAAAGCAAAGGAATACTTGGATAAGGCAGAGAAGAGAATCAAGGGAGGAACGCTCATGGGTATCTTTGGTGGAGGTTCTTCAAAGTTTGATGACTCTGCCTCTGACTTTACAAAGGCTGCAAACCTATACAAGATGTCAAAGAAGTGTAGGTACAACAACACTTGTTATCTAGATCGATAGTTTGATTGACTTACTTATAAATATAATTTATGATATACAGGGGATCAAGCAGGAGCAGCATTCCAGAGAGCAGCAGAGTGCTATTTGAAGGCAAACAGCAAGCATGATGCTGCTACATCATATGTTTCTGCATCTGCTTGTTACAAGAAGGGAGATGTTTCAAAGGCTGTGTTGACATTGAAGGCCGCCATCGAGTACTACACCGATGAGGGTCGTTTCTCGATCGCCGCCAAGCACCAGAAGGAGATTGCTGAGCTCTACGAGGCTGAGGGTGACCTCGACCAGGCCATCGCCAGCTACCAGGTCGCCGCCGACTTTTTCGAGGGCGAGAACTCCACCGTGTCCTCTCACCAGTGTCTCTTGAAGATTGCTCTCTTCTCTGCACAGTTGGAGCGCTATGACAAGGCTATTGAGATCTACGAGCAGGTTGCTTCGGCTTCGCTCGACAACAACCTCACCCAATGGGGTTGCAAGGAGTACTTCCTCCGTGCCGGTCTTTGTTACCTTGCCTCAGACGACGTTGTATCTGCTGAGCGTTCTTTGATGAGATACAAGGATATGCAGGCATCTTTCTCATCATCAAGAGAGGCTCGTCTGTTGGATGTATGTTAATCATTCACACGCACTTTGGGATCGAACTAGTTCACATCTAACATATTCATTCATTCATTCAGGACATTATCCATGCCATCAAGGATAACAATGTAGAGAACTTCACCGATGCAGTTGCTGACTTCAATAACATTAGTCCATTGGATTCATGGAAGACATCGATCTTGCTGAGGATCAAGAACACCATCAGCAAAGACAATGAATCAGTAATGTAATGTCCTGGACTATGTGTAAATCAAACAGCAACAGCAAACAGCAACAGCAAACAGCAAAAAGCAATGCAAAAGCCAATCACATTACCTCTACTACTCCCGCAAATCCCCCAATCATTCTCCAACATCCCTCTTCCAAATGTCCTTGGTACACTCTATGCCATGTCCCATGTCAGATGGCTTACTTATATTATAATTATAAATACCCTCATTGCACCACCTCCTGTGTTTTAGATCAAATAGTCCAACCTTGTTATCAGGTTATTTGTCAAAGCAGTAGTAACTCATCAGCAATCCAATGACTTCTAATCGGACTATGTGTCGGCCGTCTGTCGGTCGGGCATTGAACAAACACACACAAGAGAGTAAGGTTACAAGTATGCGAGAGGAGAGGAGGTGAGGGGTTGTGGTTGGTTGGTTGGTTTGAGGAAGTGAAGTAAAGTGTGTGAATGATAGAGAAGTTGAAGGAGTGTTGTTGTTCAAGAGTTGACTGAGATACAAGGATATATCTAGTTCATTGTAAAGTGGCCCTTCAATTATAATATAAATATATTCATACATATAACATACATAAATTCATACAAGTCATTGACAGGACATACTTGGATACCAGTTTCAAATCAAACAAACAAAGAGAAAGAGAAAAGAATATAGAAGAGAATAGACAGTTGACGAATGAGTAGGAGGAAACTACTTATTAATCTACATCGTCTAAACGATGAGAGTGAATTTATGATACAGCCTTCGACTTCGGTCGTGGCAATGCAATCGTTCAAGAGTGAATTGGAACAACAAAAGGCAGACGCATTGCTTAGGAATAGATATCTGTACATCTCTCTCAATGGTCTAACTGGTATCATTCTAATGATCGTCGAGTTACAACTGTCATGGAATGGTACCTCCCTGCTGATCGACGGCAGGACCAAAGCACTCCGCATGACAATATTCTTCTCAACCCTAGTACTTTGTATGTTGGCAAAGTATTGGCATGGCATGGCTCACTCATACTCATACTCAAACTCTTTCATTCATATATGTAGTATGTCAATTGATGGACTATTATCGCCTGTTGTTATCACATGTTACTCATGGATGGATGACAAAGAGAGCGAGAGGATTCCGTGTGACACCTTTGAATGTACTTAGGTCGACTACACTGGCGCCACTCTTTTGGACAGAGGTCATCATATGTCTGGTCCAACCAATACCATTCGCAAGTGGTCCCATCCACGTATGGAATGATCCCAAGTGGGGCCTACTCATGTGGCTGCGTATCTACATGTTTGGCCGTCTCTACCGCGACTTCTCACGTGTCTATCGAATCAGACAGAAGATCACCGACAAGTATAAGGCCAAGAATGAGGTGCCGCCCAAGTTCAACTGGTCACTCAGTTTGAAGACGTTGTTGTATCAGCGTCCTTTGATGACCTTCATCCCATTCACTCTGTTCATCATCTTTATCTGCTCGCATATAATCTATGTGTTTGAGCGCGAGGCACAGCATCAGTTCACCTATGCCGTCTCATTGTATATATCATTCATAAGCATGTTCACTGGCTGGCCGACCGACACCTATGACCATTACAACCCTGTCACATTCTTTGGAAGGTTTGGAGCTATTGTAAGTTGCCGGAAAGTGGAGTCCAAGGCCTCCACACTAACCTCTATCCATCAAATTTATTAGATGTCATCTGTACTCGGTTTGTTCACTCTGGCATGTCTAATTGAACAGTTCAGCCATCTTACACGACCAACTCCACATCAAAGACCAATAATGAACTACATCTATCTTCTGGAAGTCCAAGAGCGTGAACGCAACTCAGCCGCCGCAGTATGTATCCATTAGGTCATTCGTTCAATCAATTGATTCATCCCTCACTAACTTAATCAATATAGTTGATACAAGTAGTTTGGAAGAGATTCAAATGGCAACGATCACACTTGTTGGCAGCCAATAGAGTGACGTTCAATACACAAGAGGCATACTTCTGTATGAAGTATATTGAGGCTACAAAGAACTTTGGACGAGACAGACGTTATAAGAAACAGATACTCAGTCTTATAAACACAGAGAAGGAACCAGAGGTGAACAACACTGTAAAGGAAGCCGAGCTCAAGGAAGCATTTGAGGTGGAGCGCAAGTCAAGAGAGGCTCTCGAGTCCAAGATGAAGACGTTGGAAGAGTACCAATTATACATTGTCAATCAATTAAGTCAGATCCAGGCCAATCAACAACAACAGCAACAACAACAACAACAATCACCAATACCTCTCTTCTATCGACAGCAACAACAGCAACAACAAACTCCACCACCTTATCAACAGCCACCATCAGGACCTGGTGGTGCTCAACCTCCTCCTCCACCTGAAGGCCAGTGAGGAGGGATTCCTCCCAGTCACAACATCCACCTGTTGGAACTAAATGAATGAATAAATGAACGTGTATACAATACAGACACTGGCCACTACGTTGGCCATGCTTCCTCTTATTCTTCTTTATCTTTGGATAACTATGTACACAAGTCAGCTAGGCGTCCTTATGCCTAGCAGACTTACTCCATGTCCTTGCCTGGCCTGGAACGGCCTGGCATTGCCGGCAATTACTTATTGTGACCACTTGGGGAATCCATCTCCACAAATGTAATCAACAACATCATCGTAGGAGATGGAAGTTGCAACAACGTCATTGCCGGAACGTGTCTTGATGAATGCATCATTCCTAAACACAGGCACAAGCATGTAGTCACTGTTGTTGATTGTCTTGAGTGTGTTTACTCCTGTCATTATAGGAAGGTAGGGAGAAGATCAGGTTAGTCTATGCCTCCCTCATAAGGGTAACCGCGAGTATCAATATAACCAACCTTGTTCAACGAGATAGTCTCTCTGGCGTTGTTCCAACTTTCCAAAACTGTACACATAGAAAAGGACGGACTGACAGAGTTGTGATGGTACGACGGACACAGGGTCACTGAAAGGTTGCTTGCTCTCATCCTTGATGGTCTCTAGGATGTAGTCAAACTTTGTTGTGACCTCGTGACAACTGTCACAACCGGCGACACCCTCGCTGATCAATGCCTTCAACGCCTTGCTCGCAGTGAACCTGTTGGAGAATCCCTTCCTCATATTGAGCACTTGTCCAACAGTGTCAGCAACATCCAATGTCTCTACATATGCAGCTATTGGTAATATCTTGCATGGTATGTTATGGATCGTCCTAATGAGGATACCCTCTGTTGGCTTTGGTATGAGTACCAATTGATTTGTTGTTGTTGTTGATGCTAACCATGTATCCAACTCATCATCACAATGAACTGTTGTCCAATCTATTGTACTAGATGTCTGAGTAGATGTTGACGCAGCAACCTTGTCCACATCCAACATGTTTCCAGATGCAGCAACATTTGCAGGTATCTGTTCATTTGGCAAACTAACAATTAAACTCATTCTTTCTTTCTTTCTTTAAATAATAATAATATTATAAAGTTATGTTATTACTTATCCTTTAGAGAGATAGATAATATATATAAACAGATAGATAAGTATGATATTACAGGTGGTTGGTTAGATGGTGGATTGTTGTGTTGGGATGTTATCAACATTGAATGAAATTTCCATCTTTAATTAAAAGGTGCCCGTTCAACACACACAAGTCCCAGCTTTCCCAAGCTAAGGTGGTTGATTGGAAGCTCACACCCACTCAAACACAACAATAACTTCATCAACATCTTTGTTCAATAAAACATTGATGCTCATTTCCAGTGTTTGATGATATTGATTATCTACAAATAATAATTAATGTTATAATTGATAATAACACAAACTATTGACAATGGAAGGTTTCTACAATATCAGTATATTTGGATGAATACAGACTATAGAAAGATATTCATTAATTGAATATCTTGTACAATCTCCCTCATTCCAATTGTTCCAACATTGACATATATCTAATATCTGAACTCGCGCATTCACTCGTCTATCTATGATAGTTATTGTCTATCTGAAAATGCCAGATATTAGATATATGTCAAGAAGTTGATAATTTAGGCATTTAGTCCACGCCCTTAATTTGGTTCGTGATTTAGATTGCCCTGTAGAACGGGCACGAGGTGGAACTACCCCCACTCACATGTCTTTGCACATATTATCAGATATGTGCTCATGCGAGTGACGTTCGTGGGGTTCCAGGCGGGCCAACACCCGCCAACCTAAAGACAACCTCAAGGACCTTCATCGTGACTACTACCTCACTTTCCCTCATTATACTCAAGTACTACTTATTTATCACTTCCCGAAGTTAACTAGTATTGTCATTCATTCATTCATCTTATAAATAACAATGAAACAGATACAAGTAATATTACTATTGACAACTGTATTGTTGGCGTTTGCATTTGGCCCAACCAATGCACTCACATTGGCACAGCTAAAGGTTCTGTTCAAGGGCAATATCATCGCCCCAGCCGACTCCACCTATAACAACGTTAGAACTGGCTACAATGCTCGTTACTCACGTCTGCCTGTCCTCGTCCTCCAGCCACAGAGCGCTGATGGTGTCAAGCTGGCACTGGAGTACGCACAGACCAACAGCCTCCAGGTGTCGGTCAAGTCCGGAGGTCATTCCGCTTCACTTTTGTCGGTGCTCGATGATCGTGTAGTCATTGACCTGTCCACAATGAAGAACATCTCGTTCGACCCCACCTCGATGACCATCACTGCCCAGCCAGGCAACCGTTGGGTGGAGTTCTACAACTACTCGATCAATACTTTTGGCGTTGGTACTCCAGGCGGCAACTGTCCCTCTGTTGGTATTGGTGGCCTGTCGCTGGGTGGTGGTGCCAACGAGCTGGCCTCAGTCTATGGCGCAGCCGTCGACAATGTTCGCGAGCTGGAAGTCGTCCTGGCCAACCTCACTGTGGTCGTGGCCAACGCCACACAAAACACCGACTTGGTTCTGGGCACTGCGCGGCGGTGGCCACGGAAGCTTTGGTGTCGTCACAAAGATTACTTACCAAGTGTACAACCTGCGTCCAACCTACTACTCGGCCTGGATCACCTACAACTGGACCGACTTTGAGAAAGTGCTGGCATTCGTTGACACCTACGCCGAGACCATGCCCAACGAAGTCAACCTTTACTTCACCGGCTGGCGCTCGGGCAACCTGTCCACCCCCTCCGTGGCATTGTCCTGCTTCTCCAACGGCGCACCCGAGGCTGGCGAGAGCGTGTGTGGCGTGTTCCGCAACATCAGCGGTATCCTCCCCACCAGCTTCAGCGTGAGCCTCCAGTCGTTCTACAAGACAGTGGCCAGTGGCACCGACCCCAAGGGCCGTCGCTCATACACCAAGAACACGTTCCTCTACCAGCTCGACCGCTGGACGATCCGTGCCATTCGCCGTGCCCTCGAGCGCTCGCCCATCACCGACTTCAAGTACAACACAGGCCGCTTGAACCTCTACTGGACGGGCGGCGCCGTCCTCGACCAGGAGAGAAACGCCACTGCCTTTGTGCATCGCAGCTACCCATGGAATGCCGTGTGGCTGAGCAGCTGGGTGTCTGGCGACAAGAGCAAGGCCTACCACGATTGGATCAAGCGCACCTACAACTCGATGCTGGACTACTCCGTGCCCGAGGCCTACCAAAACTACCAAGACGACGAGCTCGACAACTGGGAGCAGATGTACTACGCCGAGAACTATCCACGTCTGCGCGAGATCAAGTCACTCTACGACCCCACCAACTACTTTAGCTATCTTCAATCAATTCGTCCAGTCGAGTCTGACAATATCGTCACCTATGACATTGATGAGGAGTATGAGCCAGAGTATTAATTAATTAATAAATATATCTGACAGGGATAGATATAGAATATATACAGGTGATTGATCGAATGATCATTCTCAACCGACCCTTTAGATCCGGTTCGACCACTTGGGACAGCCGATTGAACAATCTGACTTTGGGAACAATCACCCGAAAAATCCAAATTGATCAAAGAAGCAAGAATGCAAATGGGAGGGGTCAATGGACCATGCAACAATGACTTGTGATCTCAAACTTCATTCAAACACATTCATTCATAAATCCATTCATTCATTCATTCAATCACACACATACATATACACACATACAAAGAGATAGAGAGAGAATAGAATGTCTGGACTGTTCAATAGTCTGTTCTCTAGTAGGAAGAAGAAGGAAGAGGATGATCATCAAAGTACAGGTGGTGCACAGAGTCTGAATACATCAGGTTCATCACAGACATCACTCCAAGACAATCCTCTACCAACTCTAAATGAAATACAAATACTAAGTGCACATACAGAGCCTGTTAAAGTATTATTAAAGATTGATGAGAAGAGGTATGTGATGTCACTCGATCAATCATCGAATCAACTAACTAACATGATGATGAACAATGAAGGTTGGCATCAGCAGGGGATGATTACATTATATATATATGGTCAATTGAGACAGGAAGGAATATTATGGAATTGATTGGACATACAAATCGTGTGACATGTTTGTTGTCACTGAATGGTAATATATTGGTATCGGGATCAATGGACAAATCGATAAAGATGTGGGACCTGTCCAAGCCAGTGTACAATGAGAGCTCAAAATCATACTACTTGGAGCCAATACGTACACTACTTCAACATGTCGAGACCATCAAGTATCTCGAGAAGATACCCGGTGGTTTCTGCTCAGCATCCATTGGAGATAGCCTACATCTATGGTTTGAGAATGGAGACTATAATCGTTCCATTGCCAAGTCATCGCCATGTATGTACCCCTTAGACCCTTGCCCTGGCCCTGGTACACAAGGAACTTACCCATCACTCGATCACAATCAATCAAATAGGTACCAACGCTATACTCTGTGTAAATAACAACTATATAGTGACAGCCGAGTCAACTAGCCCATTCCTGATCGCATATAGATTGAATGAGTCACTGCCTCCAATGACATTGGGCGGCCATAATGGTTCAGTCAACTGTCTGCTCAATATATCGGACAAGTACTTTGTGTCGGGTTCGCGACCAAGTGATCCGGACAAGTCAAGCAAGGCCAACGAGTCACCACGTCTCAAGAGTTTGATCAGTGCGCCCAAGCCGGCCAACGACAAGACGTTGATCATCTGGAGCAGCACAGACTTTACACAGGTGGCACACTACTCGTGCAACCGATCAATCAGCTCATTGTACCAGATCACCGAGAACTATATCCTGGCCACCATCTACAAAGGCTTTGGAATCTTTGACACTCATGGCAACCTCTTACTCGAGTACTCTCCAGACAATCCCGATCACAAGACAGAGATCAATGGTGCATTGACATTATACGATAAGTATGTATTACATCAATAACGATGATGATGGAATCATTCCGCTCACTCACTCATTCAATCAATCAATCAAAAGTACAAGGATCATAACATGGGGAGATGATCCAAAGCTGACTATGTGGGCTTGGAACATGAGAGATGTTGAGACAAAGAAGAAGAGTGCACCTTTGAAGCCAATACCAATCGGTGAGATTAGAGGACATACTGATTATATCAAGTGTGTCACGGTACTAGGTGATCACTCCATTGCCACTGGTGGCTCGGACAACACCATCATCATGTGGAAGGATGGCAAGGATCAATCATCAATCAGGAATCACATGGCTGGCGTCTCATTATACAATCACCAGACCAACTACTCAGACTTCTACGTAAGTTCCATCATCATCCACTCAATCAATCAATCAATCATACTAATTCATTCATTCAATCAATTCCAGGATGAGGATACCAACAAGTTACAAGAGTTTAAGTACGAGGATAGAGAACCAATCATATAGTTGAGACGTGAATAGTTCGAATGATGATTAAAGGTTATACTCAATCAATGTACATTACATTAACTAATGAGATGTGGACTGACGGACGGAAGCATCGACCTACCTACCGCCGACGACGACGACATTTTATTCATAACAAACACATGGCGACCAGACTGGCTTAGACAACAATGGCAGAGTTGACATTCATCGATGTTGTAGTGGCAGCTTGCAGAACATATTGTCTGATTGATGTCTTGTCTGTGGACTCGTTGAACCTATAGAGCAGGTTTGGATTGATCTCAAAGTTGGATGGCAACACGATGGTGGCCGAGCGATCGGGCAGCGTCACCTCGATGGCCGGCTGCTTGGTCTGCTGCTGCAGATGTTGTTGCTTGCTGGTGCGCTGGATCTGGCGAGCGGTGGCGTGCAGCAGGTAGTTGAACAACACATTGACCAGCGACACAAAGAAGCTGGCGATGGCGCACCAATAGCCAGACTTGGCACCCCACTTGAGATAGGTGTTCTCGCCAATGAATGAGTCACAGAAGAAGCGACCGTGACATCCGCGGTAGTTGTCCTTCTTGAGGTTGGCTGTGAATGTGAGGAATACAAACACGACGCTTGCCTGGAATACTGCCAGCAGCACTGAGAACACATTGAGTGCCTTCCTAGCGGCCTCGCGCTTCAATCCAAGGTACACCACAAAGCTGGCCAGAGTTCCCAACAAACATGCCAACGACATCACCTCCAAGACCAAGCATGCCAACAATGTCATCCTAACATTATCTCTTTGAGTGTGTACTAGGTCACTTTCAGAATTCTGATTGTTGATGGGGGAGGAGTAAGTAAGTCTGGAATGGTTCCAATAATTAATTATTCAAACAACATACGAATGCATCATAAGTAGTATAGACAATATCAAAGTTGATGTGTTCCATGCGACGATCATATCGATATGAGTTGACGTAAGAGATTGAGTACCAGTTGGTACTGAATGAAACTGTGATCAAAGTACATAATGCCAGAGAAATAGCAAATATTGTCCACAACAATGATGTTTTCCTTGTCTTTAATATAGACTTATATTGGAATAATAAATCTGATGACATATCTAGATATTATAAATAATTACAATAATAATAATATATAATAATAATATGTATTTGATAATTGATTGAATGAATGATTAATTATTGTTGATATTGATGTGAATGAGTGAGTGAGTTGGTGCTTATATCAGAGTGTAACAATTGCGAATTACGAATTGTCCAGATATTGATGGCTATTCAAACTCTCTGGATGAATGGATGTATTGATGGATGGATGGAGCAATAGAAACAGGACGGATGTATCTACTACACTGGAATGCGATGGAAGTGGATGATAACCAATGAGAAATTATGTAATCCGATCGCCCATGATTAGCATGTCAATGTCCATTATCTTCTACGACATATATTATTATCTCAGATTGACAAGTCTGACTTGTTGATTGATTGACTGATGAGTGTGTGAATATGAGTGCGTGTGTGTGGCGGGGTCATTGTTGACATTCGTGTTGTTGACACTTGTGGTGGTTGTGTGTGTGTGTTGGTGGTGATGGAAGGTGAGCGTGTTGATGAGAGTCAGGTGTGTTCTGATTGAACATAATAGGGCAATTATAGGATAATAGAGCATTGATTGAATGATATCGAGTGTTGGGGTATGGAATGATTGATTGACTTAGTCAATTTGAGAGTCTCTCATGGACGAATACCTGACGACGACACCGACACGGAAAGTAAGTGGATTGATCCTTACTACACTTCTATAATGAGACAATCCTAAATTCAGACTCTCACTCACTCTCCCTCAACATCATCATCATCATGCTCTTAGCACTATCATTCATTATTTGATTGACTGATTGATTGAGTGTATCTAACAATAGATAGAGATAGATAGGGAATATTTGAATGAAGATCAGGTCAGTCATACTGCAATGATCATCATGAAGGTAATGGACAGGCTAGAGACAGGGCCTCAAACATAGACGTTGGCATTGATCGTCGGCGCAGCTCAATGAATGATCAAACCCATAAAGGGTAGTGTCGAATTGTACACAAGGCCTACTGTTGGGGCACTTTTAATAACCGTTCATAGTCATAGATATCTTTAGTGTGTGTGTTGAGAGGTCCATCCATTCAAAGTGGCAACAACAATCAGTTTTGTGTGTGTGGATGGGAGGTTGTTTCAACGCACTCTCATTGATTGATTTTTTAATTTTTTTTTGTTTGTGTTTTTGAGTGAAAGACAACAACAACACCACTTTCTCTCTCACTTCAAACCAAACACCAAATCATTCACCATATCCACCACAACACACACACACCCTCACACACACACACTCATTCATTCATTCTATATCTATCTTTCTATCTTAAGTTTGTACTTGTTTGTTGTTGTTATTGTTATTGTTGCTGTAATAATACACTCATCTATCTCTTATTAAGATACATATACATACATTACTTCTAGAAGTATAGTTAGTTTGTTAGTTAAACAGAACATTCAATCATTCATTCATTCATTCATTCATACTCAATCAATCAAACAAATATCAAACCAAACATAACAAACAAATAATAAGTTGTTTCATTATATATTATATATATATATATATATAGTAATAACACATATTTAGATTAAACATTGTTGTTGGAAAAGGATAAAAAACAAACAATGATGATGGAGGCAGACAATGTTGTCAATAACAACGCTCATAATGGAGTGTATAGTACAACGTCGAATGCTTCAATGAACATGTCAGCGTCGCAAACAGCGCAGCCAGTATACGAACCGATCTACGTCGATGTGATCGGCGCCGAGAAGGAGCGTGTCATCATCCAGTTGAACGGCATCAGCGCACCGCTGACAATCATCCGCGAGTGCACGCCCTACCGCATCATCTTTAACGACACCGACTCGGCAGACTCCAAGATGATGTCGGGCAACACCGACGACGACGACGATCTGGGCGACGACAAGGACGAGGAGCTCGACATGCCCGACGCCACTCCACAGCAGGCCATATGCAACATCTACGTCTTTGACACCAAGCACAAGCAGTGCATAGACGACTTTAAGAAGCTATTGGGTAACCTATCGCTCACACTCAATGCCTCTGGACAATCACAGCCACAACAATTGTTAATTGTAAGTTGATCGACAACCCACGACGACGATGACTACGATCATGTGACCAGTCGTACTAATATGTTTGTATGCGTAGCCAACAATATTTGTCGGAATGAACATTGGACCAGCACTCAGCTACATAAAGGACCTGAAGATGATCCAGAACAAATGGCCATTCATTGAGTGGAAGGACAATGATGGAGCAAACATTGTCTACAACTCAGTCGTAGAGGCTGTGTCACGTATAAAGAAACAATTGGCTTTGACCGATGCCTGTACCAGAGGTGATGTAGATGCATTGGATCTTGTCATTCGTTCAGATGTATCTGCTGTAAGCATCACCAATCCAACAATCCAACTCCAATCAATCAATCATACTTACACATTCATTCAAACAAACAAAACAGGAACAATTATCAGCAGCACATAAAGCTGGACATGCAATCGTATTCGATTCATTGTTGGCACATAACAGCAATGCATTGGTGGTCACTGGAACGATGGCACTGCTGAGCGCAGTGGTCGAGACTAATGAGATGAAGAAGCCAAAGAGGTTGTCGCTGACCAGGTCGAACCTGATGCGATTCCCAAGGTCAATCACAGAGAAGTGCACACACCTCGTCGAGTTGGACCTCAGTGACAACAGGATCACCGAGCTGCCCAAGGAGATCCAGGACCTCAAGAGTCTGCGCATCCTCATTCTGCGAGACAATCGTCTCGAGAACATCCCACTCGAGGTCAGCTACTTGAAGGACCTCAAGATCCTCGAGTTGCAGGGCAACCCGCTCAGCGACTTCCCGCCCGCCGTCATTGCCAGCGGCACCAAGAACTTGCTGTCCTTCTGCAGGAATATATTGGAGCGCCAGAACTGCGAGATCTGGAAGAAGGTGAAGCTGATGTTTGTCGGTCAGGAGGGTGTCGGCAAGACCAGTTTGCTGCAGGCCTTGACCGGCTCCAAGAAGAAGAAGGGAGAGCTGCAGGTCACCGGAGACACCATCTCCACCGAGGGTGTCAAGATCCAGACCGTCAAGGGCAAGAAGATCGACTTCTCTGCCTGGGACTTTGGTGGCCAGCAGGTGTTCTACCCAACTCATCAGTTCTTCTTGACGAGCCGTGCCCTCTACCTCGTGGTCTTTAAGCTCACCGATGCCAACTGGGCCGAGCGTGTCGAGTACTGGATCCGTCAGATCAAGTCCATCTGCGAGTACGGTATCAAGCCAGCGCTGTTCTTTGTCGGCACCCACACCGACGTCTGCACACAGGAGCAACTGAACGAGTGTGAGATGATCATCAAGAGGTCCTTCATGGGCCTGACCAGAGTGAAGGACCCTGTCTGCTTTGTCAGCTGCAACACTGGCAAGGGTGTCAAGGACCTGAAGAAGAAACTGAGCCAGGAGGCCGAGAAGAGCGGTCTCATCAAGAAAGACATCCCGGGCACCTACATCCTGCTGGAGCACCGTCTCACCAGACGTGGCGCCAACCCCGGCAAGATGTTTGCCGCCGGCCCATCGTCGCTCAATTTGGGCAGCTCTAACAGTCTGTCAATGAGCGGCAGCAGCTCCCAATCGGTCAAGGACCGCTATATCGAGTTTAGCGAGTATGAGCGCGAAGCTGAACTCTCCCACATGAAGCTACCAGACGACCTGCCAGGCGCCACCGCATTCTTGCACAACCTCGGCATCATCCTGCACTACAACACACCGTCGCTCAAGCACCTTGTCGTACTGGATCCCCAGTGGCTGGCCGACGTCATGAGCAGTTTGATCACATTCTCGCACAACTGGATCAAGAAGGGTATCCTGGTGCACAACGAGCTGACCTCCATCTGGGGTGGCCGCTACGATCCCTCGTTGTGGCCCGTCCTGCTCAAGATTCTGGAGAAGTTCGAGGTTGCCTACGAGTTGCCTGGCCGCGTTGAGGTCGAGGGCCGCTCACTCATTCCATCACTGCTGCCCGAGGAGCCCGAGCTTGAGATCCTCAAGATCATTGAGCGCGAGTGGATGCCCACGGCCGACCTGGTGGAGACGAAGCAAAATGTACATTTCTTTGGCCGCGACTACAACTTTGAGTTCATGCCGCTGGGCTTCTTCTCCAGGTTGCTGCTACGTATCCTTCACATCTCTGGCATCATCGTCAAGACCTACTGGAGGAACGGTATCCTCTTGGACATCATCAACACGGCGTCGCAGAAACAGCAGGCCCTCGTCACATTCAAGAAGCGCAAGAACTTTGGCTCAGCCGACTCATACAAGCTGACGATCGAGGTGCGCTCCTTCAACAACGCCGACCAGGACAGCAGCGCCGCCCACTTCCTCCAGCAGCTGATCTTCACTGTTGACTCGCTGCTCAACAACTTCTACCTGAACCTACCCAACGTCGGACGTCTCTTGCCTTGCAACCATTGTATCGAGAACAACCCCCGCTCCGAGCCATTCTTCTTTGATTTCAGCAGCTGTATCTCTGCGCTCCAGGAGGGCAAGCCCAACCTCTACTGTCGCAATGATCCCAACGTGCCAGTGCCAGTATCTCGCGTTGCACCAGATCTTGTCGCCAACAAGGTGCCCGTGCTCAAGGACAACGAAGTTGAGTACGAGAAGCAGATTGGTAAGGGAGCCTTTGGTCTCGTGCACAAGGGTAAGATGGTCAAGGGTGGCCAAGTCATCGCCATCAAGTCGTTGCTACTACAGGAGAACCAGGAGACTGAAGAGATGGTCGAGAAGTTCCAGGAGTTCCAGCGCGAGGTCTTTATCATGAGCGACCTAAAGCACCCGAACCTGGTGCGTCTGCTCGGTCTGATGTTCAGCCCGCCCAGAATGGTGATGGAGTACATCCCCATGGGCGATCTCTACAAGCGACTTCGCTGTGGCGAGCCCATGAGCTGGAACCTCAAGACAAGAGTCATGCTGGACATTGCCCGCGGTCTCGAGTACATGCAGGCGCTGAACCCACCCATCGTCCATCGTGATCTTCGTTCGCCCAACATCTTTATCTGCTCGTTGCACGAGGACGCCCCAGTTGTGGCCAAGATTGCCGATTTCGGTCTGAGTCAGCAGTCAGTGCCCTCAGTGTCTGGTCTGCTCAAGTCGATCCATTGGATGGCACCCGAGACCATTGGTGCCGAGCAGGAGAACTACACAGAGAAGGCCGATACATACTCGTTCGCCATGGTGCTCTACGAGGTTCTCACCAGCAAGTTCCCCTTTGAGGAGTACTCTCTCAAGGAGCGTCAGTTCATCACGGCCATTCGTGAGGAGAACCTCCGTCCTACACTGCCCGAGGACACACCTGTAAAGTTACGCAACGTCATTCAGCAATGCTGGAGCGGCGACCCCAAGAAGCGTCCATCGTTTGGCTACGTCGTGCGCGAGCTTGAGGAGCTGCGCGGCGGCATCACCACCACAACAACCACCACAGTGTCCGTGTCGAACAAGCCCACCGTCGACTCGGCTGTTGCACTGGAGCCACCCGTCTCCCAGACAGCCAACCTCAAGATCATCAGCTCAGCACCCACAACCAACCAGTCACTCTCTGAGATGAGCAACTTCAACTCCAACGCGATGCAATCGTCTGGAGTGGCCATCGCCAAGCCCATTGGAAACAACCCGATCAACTTCATGTCGATGGTGTCAATGCATCGCAAGATCGAAGTGATTGCCGCCGTGGAGGCCGGCGAGTACGTGTGGACCAAGTCACTGGACAACCACATGTGCTTCTGGAACAGCAAGAAGGCGTCACTGCTCCGCGAGCTTAAATGTAAACATAGCAACACGACCATCAACATGATCAAGGTCGGCTCCACCGTTTGGGAGGTGACCAAGGCCATCATCTACGTGTGGGACATTGTCAAGATGGACATTGTGCGCGAGATCAACAGTCCGCACTCAGCCCCAATCACCGCTGTGTTCCACGCCGGTGGCGAGAGTTCCGTGTACACAGGTGATGCCAGTGGACGTGTAATCGTTTGGGACGCCAAGACCGCCGAGCCCAAGGACAACTTTAGCATCACAGAGGGACCAGTTGTTGGCCTGTCGATATATGCCAGTATACTATTTATCATCAACCCACAGCAGATCTTCCTGTGCAGGACCAAGTTCATGCAGGTGCAGTCCAGCGCCTCATGGAAGCACACCAATGGCACCATGCACTCTGTTCTCGCATTGAAGGATGAAGTGTGGACCGGTGGCTCTGACGGCAAAGTATACACATGGAAGATCAAGAACGACAGTGACCTCTCCTTGCAGAACAAACTCGAGATGCACAAGGATGTTGTCACTTCGTTGGTGGCAATGGATGATAGTGTAATCTCCAGTTCACTAGATAAGTCCATGAATTGGTTCAGTCAATCGGTATGTAACATGATGATGTTCTTCCAAGTCGTGAACATCTTACTAACATTCAAATCAAATCAATCAACAACAAACAGAACCCCAAGAATGAGCACTATGCTTCCAATGAGCACTGCAAACAAGGAATCAAGTCCATTGTCAAAGTCCAACAGAACACTGTTTGGACGATATGTAATGATAGTACCGCACCCTTGCATCTATGGGACGTGCCCTCCAAGGTGGAGAAGAAGAAGCCAGTCCCAGCACCAAGAAACTTCCCAAAGATCTTTAGATAATCACCTCCTCCATCTATACACATCCATTTAATATATAATATTTAATCAATTCACGTGTATTCCAACATGGTTGTTGTTGGAGATTGATTGATTGATTGATTGGTTCGTTCGTCCTTTCCCTTGCACTCACACACATGACATCAATCCGTCATAATCACTCTACTTACTTTGAATGTAAGGATTGAGTTCCTTCCAACCTTTCGACGGTGTTTACAACTTGTCAATTTAATAGAATGACTAAGCCCAAGATGGAACAGTTATCACATTATGTGTGTGATCAGTTCCATATACTAACACTGACAGATATGGTAACTTTGATCACACTCAAAGTGTGTGTTTGAATCTTTAAACTTGTCACTGACAAGTTCATCCAAAGTTAACGTCTTTGTCGTTGTTCATCAAACACATACACACAGATAACTTTAATCAATCAATCAATCAATCATACCCTAACCACATCCACATTCCACACTACTCTATTTCTATTTATAACATGTGATATATGTGTTTATACATATATATATATATATCTAGTATCTGATGGTGTTGATACATGATGATAGTGTAGTAAATCGATTGCACTCTGACTCGGGCCTATCCACTGACACATCATYCATCCACACACACACACGCACACACACATACTGACTGATCATCATTCACTCCCACCACCCACGAACGCTAACCCATCAATCACACACACATCAATTCTGATTGGTTATATTAAGTGCCGGACTGCATGTCATCTTTATTCCCTAGCTCTGCACCATCAATGTGCCAGACAGTCAGCCCGCTTGATGATGCAACTCCATCAATCAATCCTCAGCCCGGCATCTAGACATGTCAAACTGGCCACCCCCACAATCAATCAATCAATCAATCAATC